ACGATTTGAAGAGTAAGTTTTTTTGAAGAATATAATAGTATCACATAGGAAACTTGATTAAATAAAATAAAATATATAATGAATGGTTTCACTATTAATATCATCGACCTTTTGTGATAAAATCTCACACTTACTAGGCTTTGTAGGTGGTTAAGTTGATGACAATATCGGCGTTTTTAATAGTGGCCGTAGACTCGTCTCTCTGAAATTTAACAAGTTTGTCTCTCTCTCTCTCTTGACTTTCCGGATTACAAGCGATTTGAATAAATAATAGTAAAAATGAGTATTATGTTCTGATAATTGCTAGCTACGTACTAGTAGTACGTAAGTGAGTACGGCATAGCCCATGTTAATTATCTGCCAATAAATAACTTTCTTCTTTAAGGGTCAAACAAATGGAACCTTTATTAAAGACGAATACAAACGATTACATCTTAAGCTAAAAAGATTAAATAGCCAACTTGATGCCAGGCCACCACTTCTATAATTAAGAGACTTGAGCCCTTATAATTAAGGGGAGGGGAAAACTTGCTTAATTATGGGAATATATATTATTAACTTGAACTTGATGGTCCAAACCAAAGGTCATGATGAATCACTCAATGATTACAACTTAGAAGAAGAAGCAGAAGCAGAAGCAGTATACACAAGTTAGTGGATGGATCATGCCAAGCAATATTGCAATTTGCAAGGTCGTCTTGTTAGTTTTCTTGTGTTGTGGTATGTATACTTGACCACTGTTTATGGCTCTCTTTGTTCGGCGACTTCTCCGCCTGCTATTGCTCCGGGTTTCCTCCACGTGTCACATGACACCCCAAATGCAATTCATGTTACCTGTGCTGTCTATATATCTATCTCATTCCTCACGTAAGTGCCTTGCCAAAACCCTAATTAACTACCAAATCCAACCAACACAACATATAATATATATCATCTCCGTCTCTCTCTCTCTCTCTCTCTCTCCTGCCTGTCTATACGTATAATATATGATGATCATGTATAAGTTATCACATGCATGCATGTCTGATGTCTCCGTACTTATCACAATCACATGTACCTGCTATAGCTTTATAGCCGCAACCCAAAGCTAACGTTCGTTCAACGACGTGCAAATACAATATACTTTTTGACTTTTGTTAATTTCAGCATAATCAATACAGCTGCACCGCAGCCTTGTTACCACCACTTACAGAATCTAGCTAGCGTGTCATGTATTATGTATAGCTAGCTAGGTAGTCACACTAGCTATAAATACTTCCAAACTATTGCCTGCTTTTGCAGCATCCCAAGTAAACGTATTTTTATCTCATCATAAAAATGGCTTATAGAAGCATCTGCAACTGCAACAGTTATTGTTTAGCAGTAGTTGTGTTATTTATGGGCGTACTATTATCCAATGCAGCAGCAGCAGCAGCTAGCAATAGTTTTAATGTGATGAAGTTTGGTGCAAAACCAGATGGGAAAACAGACTCCACCCAAGCATTCGTGAAGACATGGGCATCAGCATGCAGCTCTGCCTCTGGTCAAGCCAATGCTGTCATGTATGTCCCCAAAGGAAGGTTCTTGATTAAGGCTGTGGTGTTCAGAGGTCCTTGCAAGACTAGAAGAGTTACAGTTCGGATAGATGGAACCCTCGTGGCCCCCACAGACTATTGGGCTTTGGGCAACTCAGGCTACTGGATTTTATTCATTAAGGTCACCGGAGTTACAGTGGTTGGTGGTTCTCTCGATGCCAAGGGTGCTGCATTTTGGGCTTGCAGGAGATCTGGGAAGACTTGCCCTGTTGGAGCTAGGGTCGGTACTTTCATTTACTTATGTTAAATTAACTTAAATTTATAGACTAATTATATATTAACTATCTATGTACTTGTGTGCATGAAGTCGATAACGTTCAATTGGGCAAACAACATTGTGATCAGTGGTTTAACATCCATCAACAGTCAGCAAACTCACCTTGTAATCAACAGCTGCAACAACGTGGTTGTTCGAAGCGTGAAGCTGATTGCTCCGAGTGAAAGCCCCAACACAGACGGCATTCATGTGCAGAGCTCAGCTGGTGTAACCATCACCGGCAGCATCTTGCAAACTGGAGACGATTGCATATCAATTGGTCCTGGCACCACAAACCTCCATATCAGTAACATCAAGTGCGGCCCAGGCCATGGCGTAAGGTAATCCCCATATATAATATCAATTGGATCATAGGTTTTTTTTTTTTCTTCCTTTTTCTTTAATTTATATACAAATTGGGCTTTTGGCCTAGGCCTGTCAACCGTCTATACATTTAATGTTGCCATGGAGTGGAGTGGATCATATGTATTACGCAATTAACTTACGGGCTTAATTAAACATTCAAAATTAGCCTAAGAAATTAATTAACAATGGCTTGTAGATTGCAATAGTGATTTCATTGATGTGGTGATTGTTTGCAGCATTGGAAGTCTAGGCAAGGAGCTGAAGGAAGATGGTGTACAAAATGTGACGCTAACAAATGCAGTTTTCAGTGGATCAGACAATGGAGTACGAATAAAGTCATGGGCTAGGCCCAGCACTGGCTTCGTAAGGAACATTCTCTTCCAAAACATCATCATGAGGAACGTTGAAAACCCCATCATCATTGATCAGAACTATTGTCCAAGTAACCAAGCCTGTCCTAATCAGGTATTAATGATTGTGATTCCCCTTGTGTAAGTATATATATAAGGGTTTAATCCCTTCATTAATTCCTCCTCATTTATCTGATTCTGATTCTGATCTGATGTGGTTTTTCCGTTGGAGACAGAGTTCGGGTGTGAAGATTAGTCAAGTAACGTACAGAAATATACAGGGGACGTCGGCAACGGCGGAGGCAGTGACATTTGACTGCAGCCCTAGTCATCCATGTACAGGGATTAGATTGCAAAACATTAAGCTTACATATATGAACAGGGATGCCACGTCATCATGTAAGAACATTGACGGAACCAGCAGTGGACTACTGGTGCCTCAGAGTTGTCTGTAATTTTCGACGTACGTACGTGTATCTATGTGATCGGAAATACCAGTGGATGGCGATGGCCCAATGGCACCACATGGATGGATGGATGGATGGATGGATGGATGGCTTACATGGGATTTATATAATGTATGTCAGACATGTGTAATTTGAGTGTGGTATGTATGTGACGTGTGACATGTGACACACACAAATTGACTCGATTGAAACCAAGAAATTGGATCACTGAGTCTATATTCTCATATATCTCAGTCAAAAAAGGAAGCAGGTGGCTAGCTAGCTAGCTATCGATTCCTATCCAGGAGGAGGGAGGAGAGAGGAGAGCAGCAGCATATAAATATAATAGTTATCCAATTCCAACTCAATCTCATGCAGCGTGCGTGAGTTAGGTATATGTCAACTTTAGTTAATAGATAATGACATACGTAGAATAATTGAAAACAAATATTATATTGGTGGTATCGTAACTTTTTTAAAATTAATTGATTAAAAGCAGTGAACGTAGAAGAATCTGTGTATCATTCTCATTGTGTTGATGATGTCATAATACGCAATTGGGCTGCCCTGCTCTGCTCCTAACTTTGATATATATAGGCATATAATTGTTTTATTTTACCTATATAGTATGCAATTGGGAAACGCCATTGACCATTTCAACGCTATAGAGACGTATAGAGTATAGAGTATAGAGTATAGTATACGAAATATATACGTTCCCTTTCCCTCTGTGTGTGTGTAGGTGTGCAATGATTTGACCAATTACTGTTTTGTTTTGGAAAGTTTTGACCAACCAACTTTGAATATAAATGAACAAAGCGCAATCTAACACAAACTCTTTTTTAAGTTAGGAGGGCATGCATCATGCCTCATAAAAAGAGGGAGATGTGCAGTGCATCCATCATCCATGTGATGTGAAAGTGATATGCTATACCATATTTCTATCATGGATTCTTTCCTTTTTTGTATTATTTTGCGCTGTCTTTGTTATGTTTATGATGATTCTTCGTCATTATCATCAACATAATAAACTACTGCCAAGTAGAGAATTCATTTCACCTCTCTCTCCTGTTGTAACTAATAATAAATTAGAGTCCGCAGATTTTCCAATGAATTATTACCAAAACAAGATGAAGAAAAAAAAAAGCATAAGCATGATGGATGATTATGTTTATTATAAATGGAGAAAAAGCAAAAAGAGTTTTCAATAAAAAAATAAGAACAGCGTTTTTCTTAAAAGTATCTTACTTAAAACTCTAAAGTAAAGTAAATAAAAATAAAAATATCGGGTGTGTTGTCTTGCTTGTTACATGGATGGATGGTTTTCTTTTGTCGATAAGTAGAGCAGAAACATCACATGGATGGATGGATGGTTTTCTTTTCTTCTTGCTGTCTCATCTCATGTAAATTGATACCCTTTCAAGTTGAGTTGAGTTGAGTTGGGTTGGGTTGAGTTGGGGTTTGTTCTGCTACTGAATACTGATACGGTGATTGGATACCCTTTCAAGTTTCCAAGTTTCAGCTTCTGATCTAATATTCGCTCAGCTTCATTCTAGATTTTCAGATTCAGAGAAAGCTTCATTTTGGCCTTCTTCCCTTCCGCAGTAAAATATCACAATCAAGGTACCGGATATTGATATTTTGTTTCTTCACCTATTGCCTTGCGTTTTGGTTTCTGGCTTCTGTTGCTGTGCTCACTAAACAGCCGCTTTTGATATTTCAAATGGGTCAATTTCGGTTTGGATTAGAAACAGATTTTGAGTCAGAAAATTGGAATTCGAAATAACTAGTGAATAAGTCTGAGAGCTCGTTTCTTGCACAAGTTGTGTGAGTGAGTGGTCTTTCTATATCAACTGAGAATTGGGATTCTTACTGTCTCTGTAGGGAAGTAAACTTTGTTGAAATGTTTATCTAATCGTGGAAAAGTAGAATTTAAACTTGGATTTAATCAGGATTCCAAGTGCTAGGAACTTGGATTTTGTTTGAGATCATCAGCCAAGTTGATCATATGGAGAGACAGAGCAGTTTCCAGGCAGCAAAGATGGAAAAACAACCAAGTTTCAATGGGGCAATCGAGCAACAGCCTAGTTTCCGTGGAGCAATGGAGAAACAGAAGAGTTTTCGCGGATTCATGGAGAAGCAGAAGAGTTTTCGGATAGTTATGGAGAAACAGCTGAGCTTTATTGGTGGAGAAAGGAGGAAGAGCAAGGAGTCACCCGGTAAAAGAGGTGACTCCCAACTCCATTTGGCTGCTCGAGCAGGGAATTTAGTCAGAGTCAAAGAAATTCTTCAGAATTGTAATAATAGCAATGAGTCAATTGGTTTGTTGTCTAAGACAAACCAGGAGGGAGAGACTCCGCTCTATGCCTCAGCGGATAATGGGCATGCTGTGATTGTTGGGGAAATGCTGAAGCATATGAACCTTCAAACCGCATCCATCACAGCCAGAAATGGCTATGATCCATTCCACATTGCTGTAAGACAGGGCCATCTTGGTAAGATACTAGTATGAAATTGAATATGTACGCTTCTGCAATTACGATTCGCATTATGTATTCTGGAACTTGGTAGTTGGTAGCACTTCTTCCCGTGTTGAAAATGATGGAACGAAAATCACTTCCCCTTTTCCTCGGATGACAAATTTTAGGGAAGGAGTAGCACATGCTGATTTAATGATCTGGTTACAATTCTAGGAAATAAGTTGTAGCTGAACACAGCAAAGGCTAGACTAAACTGGGTTTCTTAGACCAAATTGTACTGTGTGACGTGAATCTTTTTCTTCCCTGATCTTCTTATCAGTTGAAACCACACCACCACCCCTTGAGTTGTAGCTTAAAGTTCCAAAATTCTAGTTGTTTGCATACTTATCCAACATCATTTGGAATTTTTCTTTTGTTTTTCCTTGCAATTAATAAGCAGTGTCTTCATTTTAATTTCTTCTATCATTCTTCAGTTTCACCATTTGATACAGTTGCATTTTAATTTCTTCTTGAAGATGGATTTTGAAATGCTTGTTGACTGTACCTTCCTCAATCTAAACACACGCACACACTCTTATTGACTTCTATCTTCACCTCATTTTTTCTGGTGAGCTATAAGAGCCTAATTATGCTTGAGAAACTATCAAATAATATTTTCTTCATCTTATGCATCATTATGATTCAGAATTGTTTCTTTCAGAGGTGTTGAAAGAACTTCTGCACGTGTTCCCCAACTTGGCCATGACCACAGATCTATCCAATTCAACTGCCTTACACACAGCTGCTACTCAGGGTCATATTGATATTGTAAATCTCCTTCTGGAAACTGACTCAAATCTCGCTAAGATAGCCCGCAATAATGGTAAGACTGTCCTTCATTCAGCAGCAAGGATGGGGCACTTGGAAGTAGTCAAATCCCTACTAAATAAGGATCCAAGCGCTGCTTTTAGAACTGATCTGAAAGGCCAAACTGCGCTGCACATGGCTGTGAAAGGGCACAATGTGGAGATTGTGCTGGAGTTGCTGAAACCTGATCCCTCAGTTTTGACTGTGGAAGATAACAAGGGAAACACAGCATTGCATATTGCCACAAGGAAGGGCCGTATTGAGGTGTTTCCTCCTTTCTTTTCTTTCAGTTTTATTTAAAAATCTAAAGAAATATGCTACATGTTATATCAATGATTCAGGTTTCAATTATTGCAAAGCCAAAGTTCTAAACTAGGTATGTAATCTGGCTGGCTTCCATATTTGCAGGTTTCGTGAGATCATGCGAAGTAATAGATCATTAATCAATTGCTAATATTTTAACTCAAATGTATGGTACAACTAAAGTTGTGGCCATAAATTGGAATTTCTTTTCTCCTTCTATTAATGCTATGGCTCCTCTTCGTCATATATGTTATTTTCAGTTGTGGCTTCAATCAAAGTTTGAATATGGATGTCATCCTGGAAAATGTGCTAAGTTTAAGTCTCATCCTCATTCCTCATTAACCTGGTATTCTGTGAGGGAGGGGGCTGGGCAGGAGGAAAGAAGTTAGCTTGATTTACAATGCGTTTGTGGTCCATTCTTAACATCTTAAACTCTTAAGTCTGTCCTACTTATGAACTTGCAAGTCTTTGGCTCTCAAGGATTACCTACTAGAGTATCAATTGCTTAACAAAGTATACTTGATTGCTAAAATTCATTGGGTATTTTAGTATTCAACTTTGAAACCTATTATTCTGTTTTGAGGACTCAATTAAAGGAAGTGAATGCTTCAAAGTTCATAAATCAGCCAATAAGATGACCCCTTTTCTTTATTTTCTAAAACTCAGTAAAATGGACATTTTGACTGAGGTTATTTAGGAGTGTTGGCATAAATATAACAAATCTGCATTTGTGCCACTTCAGAAAATTTTAGTTCTGCTAGCCAGGTAAAAGATCACAAGGTTTATTGTCTTCCTTTTTCGGATCACAGTTTACTCTGAAGAATGGTTAGGCAAATAGAGAGTTTTCATTATAGCAAAGGCCAACACCTGTAGTTTTTACATTTGAATTCAAGTTCCAATTGAACCATACCAATCTGAAAGTCTGAAAGTCTGGAAGTCTGAAAGTTAGTTGGAGACATAAGTTTTGTATCTTTGCCTTCCTGTTTCTAATGACAGAAGTTATGCTCATGTACCATATGTGCAGAATGTACGCTGTCTATTGTCCATTAATAATGACGGCAGTAACATCAATGCAAGTAACAAGGCTGGAGAGACCTCACTCGACATTGCCGAAAAATTTGGGACTCCAGAACTCGTGTCCGTGTTAAAGGAAGCAGGGGCCACCAATTCTAAAGACCAAGGAAAACCTGCAAATCCAGCAAAGCAGCTTAAGCAGACTGTGAGTGACATAAAGCACGATGTCCAGTCCCAACTCAAACAGACCCGTCAAACTGGTGCCAGAGTCCAGAAAATTGCAAAGAAGTTGAAAAAGCTCCACATTAGCGGCCTTAACAATGCTATAAACTCTGCCACTGTTGTTGCTGTGCTGATTGCCACCGTTGCTTTTGCGGCCATCTTCACTGTTCCTGGCCAGTATGTTGAGGAGAAAACTTTGGGGCTTACGCTTGGACAAGCTCATATAGCAAACAATGCTGCTTTCATCATCTTCTTTGTGTTTGACAGCCTGGCGCTCTTCATCTCCCTGGCTGTTGTTGTAGTCCAGACGTCTGTGGTTGTGATTGAGCAGAAGGCAAAAAAGCAGCTTGTTTTTGTGATCAACAAGCTCATGTGGCTAGCTTGCCTCTTCATTTCCATTGCTTTTATTTCTCTCACGTATGTGGTGGTGGGTTCACACTCGAGGTGGCTTGCTGTGTATGCAACAGTTATAGGCAGCACAATCATGCTTACTACCATTGGCTCCATGTGCTATTGTGTCATTTTACATAGGATGGAGGAGTCCAAAATGAGGAATATTCGGAGAGCTGAGAGTAAGTCTCGTTCATTCTCTATGTCTATGGCATCAGAGCACGAGATTTTGAACAGCGAGTATAAGAGGATGTATGCACTGTAAGTTCAATTTAGGGAGAAATGAAACACAAGGATTGAGATTGGGTGACCTATGCATGAATTGTGCTGTATATAGGACTAGGATCCATATGCTGCTGCTGTTGCCCCTAGCTCCTACTCCACTAATCAGATTCTAATGGTAAGAAGTGATGATGTAGAGGCCGATCTATCTATTTATCTATCTATCTCTTAACCTAGAAATATGGAGTATGCATGAAGAAAGAGTGTTGGGTTTAGCAAGTAATCTACAACTACTTGTTTTTTTACCTTTACATGAGATTTTCCTTGAAAGGATAAGGAATGTCTTGGTTCTTCTGTTCTGTGTGCGGTCTGTGGTTACCGGTTATGATGACGTGACCCTGCTATGCTACGAGCTCAGGTCAGGATGTATGTTTACTGTTGACCCTTGAGGCTGTCACAAAATTTATCCACGCTATGAACTGAGGTCAGGATCCATGTTTAGCCTTGAGTGAGGGTGTTGCAGTTGCAGAATTTAATCCAAGTTTCTTCAAGGCATATCCAACTACTATTATTCAAGTATTTAATTGCGAGTAAGTTTATAGATGATGTTTATTATGTGCAAGTATTGTAATAGCAGTACTTGATGTTTATAATTATTAATAAAAATCTGCTGCTCTTTTTCAAATGCTTTTCTTTTTGTTGGATTCACATGCTTCATGTTCGTCTCTTTTGTTTCGCACATGCATGGTCGGTTGGAAGTTGGAACGTAGCTTTTTTGTTATGTGACCAACGCAAGGGGGCATGAGTCAAAAGAAACTATTTTGGTGAAGAATAAATTCCATGTATATATAAATCTATATATAACTGTAACAGTTGATGCCCCTTAAACTAATGGCTTCTGTTCACAGAGAGAGAGAGAGAGTTTATGACCCACTCATCATAAGAAAAGAAGAAAAAATGGTAAGCATAGTTTTAGTTAGAGAAGCCAAGCAGTTGACGATGGACGACCGCCGCTTTCTTCGTCACAGTTCCTTTTTTACAGCCTCCACCCGCAAGGACAAACTAGTTGTTTGACTTGACTAGAAAGCTTTGATTTGATGTAAAAAAATGAAACAGTGATAATAAGCAATAAAGAGAGGACATGATGCTCAACATATGAAACCAAGAACGAAAGTATAACATAATTGATCAATTCCAATTCTTTTTTCCTTTCTTTTAAAACCAAAAAGAAAAAAAGAAAAAGAAAAAAAAAGACAGCCTAATGCACGAAGCTCCCGTTCTCATAAAATTGAGGAAGAGGAATAGACTCAAAACGTACACCACCTCCACCCTCTCGTTTCCAAACTGATAATCTTCTGGGGGCCAAACGAAAAATATACAACGATCATTCTCAGAGAGAGGATTTTCTTAGGGATCTCTTCCACCTTCCAAGCTTTTCTCTTCCCTGCAAAATATAATGAAAATATCTTTTTAAAACTTAATAAACATCCACTGTATTCTTGATTATGTCCAGCAAAAGGTGTAACTCAACTGGAGTGAAACTTTCATGGTAAAGTCTAGAGAAACACAAAGTGCAAAGCAATAAAAGCTAGCAACTTGGGCTTATCTCCGCAAAGCAAACATAGATGGACAAAGAGCGCATCAACATCAAGCACACATCTACAGTCTTCGCCCATAAGCACCCTTATAAGGGATGATCAAAATGAGGCCATTGACAATGTAATTGTTGCCTAATGCTAAGTTTGCTTTATAACAATTCAGTTCACTGTTCATGGGTTTTCCCCTTGCAAGCCCATTCATTGTGTTCTTTTCCACCTAATTCTCATCTTTTTGAATTGTAGAGAACCTTTACCCAATAATTTGTGAATTTCCTACTAAAATAAGATCCCTCCGAGTACTTATGTGCGTTTTAGGAATTAAAATTTAATTGGGTTCATGTTCACCCTGAGCTCTATCCTAAAATTTCCTTGAGGTTGAACAATAGCAAGAAGATGAGACTGAACATTTTCTTGAGGATCATATTGTAGCCTGATCAAATTGGGAGTTATCAACACTATCTTTTGTAATTATTTTTCTTTTGGTACAGATATCTGTAATTATGTAATTTATCTTGCAACACAGACTTCTTAACTTTTGCAATCTCATATTCAATTTAACTTTGATACATACCTTGCGAGGTGGGACAGCTAGTTCATTGTCTACGATAGAGGTTGCCTTAAAGCCCATGGGATGCAACACCTCTTCATAACTGCACAAAAATGAATCAAGAATAATGAGTATAGAGACTATAAATAAAAATAGTATCATTTGTACATCAAAAGTTCACTACTCGTAACAACACAAGTTTAGAACCAAGTCTAAAAGAATAGCAAAACAGGATATGGAGTAGGAACTTACTCTGAAACTGACACTTTGTAAGGGGGTCCACCAATATGATCACTGATCTGCCAGAAAATAAAATTAGTTTTCAATAGAACTATCAGAAACTATGTAAAAAAGTTAACTGTTGAAATTCAAAACATTTTAACAAACAAAATTTCAATAAAAGTGGAAAAAAATTTAATGTGTAAAGGGAAATGGGCGAACAGGGTGTCCTTTAAATATCAGATGGATGTGTTCATGTTCATTGCAAGAAGGGAATATTAACGAAGAACTGAAAATAGAAACACACACACACGGAGAGAGAGAGAGAGAGATGAATACAGGAAACATTAGTGTTATGAGCTCCCCATCTGGTTTTAAAATATCTCGAATTTTTCGTGCCCACACTGATCTCATCTCTGGTTCAACAGCACAGAAGAACCTGTTCCATTAGACGTGATCAATCAAGGCAAGAGATCTTTCTCATGGGCAATAATTACGCAACGTTTTAAGTCAACTTACGTATAATCAAAAATGAGATCAAACAATTCAGTTGGATGCCAAGTGAAAAAGTCCACCTTTAAGAAGCTATAATAGCGTGCTTCGGGAAGTGAGGAAAACAACTGCCATGACATTTCAAACAGAAAATGAAAGTAAATTCTACCCTCTTGTATTGAGGCACTTTGATTTTGCCAGTGTAGTCAAGTATTACCTCGGCTGCTTTCTTAATGGCATTCTCTGAAATGTCCAATCCAGTGACATGGCGTTCAGGGGATGCAATTGCCACAACATCATAACCCTGCCATATCCAAACCACGAGAAATTCAACGAGCATATATTAATTTATTAAAAGGTTGAATGCTAGACTAGTACTGAGAGAGAAGAATCAAGATACATACAGTGCCACAACCAGGGACAAGAGCCCTGCCCTTGGGAAGAGCACCCTGACGATGAAGATGCGCAATCACAGGCGTTGGCTGTCCTAAATCCCAAGGGGTCAAACCTTGCTCCCAGCACTTGTCCCAACCAGAACCACCACCACCTTATTATGAGTTAGGATGCCAAAATCCATCAACAACAATAAGAAAATTCATTTCATCTAATCATTCAAACCAAGTTTCATTTTTTTTTTCAGAGAAAAATAAAAAAAGATAGACAGATATAAATGGAACGGGTAGCTACCTGTAGACAGGAGTTGTTGAAGCTTATCAACGGCAGGAGGGTTGTGGTGAGATCGTATGGAAATGCTCTGTGCATCGATAACCTGGGGGGCGCGGGGGTCTTCTTTCCTCATCATCCTGGATCGGTTGGCACGAACAAGGAGGGTTTTCGAGGGAATGGAAGGCACAAGATTGAGATTCCTAACGCATGATGAGAGGAAATGGTATCCTCTTCTTCTACTGGTACTGGTAGTGATGATGATAAGGCTTCCTTGGTAAGCCAGATCGGACTGGATTGAGTTGAGGTTGGAATGAGAAAACAAAACACGATTGTAAATTTGTGACTGGTGCTGGACCGTGAAATAATAAATGATTGTAATCCTTTTTCGTTTTGGGAGTTGGGAGGATATATATCATATATGTATTTCGAGTGTTTCCAAAATAATTGCAAATATTTGAACATGATGATGATTTGATTACATTCAAGAACAACAGATAAGACAACTTGCTCCGTGAATTTCTCGAATCAAGCTGTGTTCACTTCACTTCACAGTCCGCTTGCGTATCCCATTAACTGTCTACTGCATGCAAGCTAAGAACAAAATAAACATCTCTATGATAACTCAGTCTTCCTTTTTTTCTTTTTGCTTTTTTCCCTTTCGTCTTCAAATTCCATATTTAAAAAATGGCATGTATGTATTTCTCATACATTTTGTGGTGAGCTCATGAAATTTAATTCAATGCACCAACATTTATTTCCAAGATTTCCTTCCCCTTAAAAATATACCAACAAAATACACCTCTTTCCAATTACAGAACGCGAGCAAATTGATCTCCCTCACTATTTCACTCTACAAAGTCATGTGGTCTGGTAGGTTCCATCTAATTTTTTACAAACAAAAATATAAGTGCTCTCTCCCTCTCTCACTCTCAAAATGTATGGACAGCATGAACAATGGTTCAATCTAGATAAAAGAGAGTCACGATTTTCCGGAGATTTTTGGCCTCTTGACAAGTTTCCATGAGCAATTTACTATCATGAAACGCAAAGCATATAACTTGTTGTACATGTGAAATGATGTCCATATTGCACAACCTGCAGTTTCAACATGGAAGACATGAAATTTGCAGTATTGCCTGCTATAACATGAAAGCTACACTAACTACCGATCATGACTAACTATTTCATTTTCAGATTCTAGTAGACCTTGGTTTAAAGGAATTTACACAAGCAATTCAAGTAGATGTTTGGCACAATTTGATGAGTTGCTTGATCAAACCTAGAAAACTCAAAGGGACTCAACTGTCTCGATAGAGACTGGGCAACAAATTCAAGCTCATCTACAAGCTTGATCATAGTAAATAGAGCAATGGCCGGTAACAGTTGGATTGGGTTCTTACAAGAAAATACACCCTTTTGGCCTCAGTCTTATCAGGTGCTGCAGAAGCAACCATGGCTTTGGCCCTTAGGAGGGGAGATGCTTAATATCAAATGCTTTGCATATATTAATATCTTGAATTTTCAGTAGGCATCATAAATAGGTAATGATTAGCGCTATATAGTACTGGAAGAAAACATGGTAGGTGAAATTATAATAATTAAATAAATATAAGTAAGTGGAGCAACTATCAACCTGCTGGCTTCTAACAGAGGTAGATGATCATTGTAAGGCTTCTCTATCACATTCTTGACCTGAAAACCCCAAAAAATTATCAATTCCCATAACAATATTGCTTTTCCTTTTTCAGGTGGTGGGAACAAGTGTATCATTACCACAGTCCATGGAAATATTAACTAGAAACATACTTCAGCACCTGAATCCACTAAATTCAGTTCCAGCTTATATGCACCAATCAAATTCGTAAATAACTATAGCCCCCGATTCAAATTCATTTCTGAGGAATTCAACTGCAGACCTACTCTTGTTGCTCTCTCTCTCTCTCTCTCTCTATATATATATATGTGTGTGTGTGTGTGTGTGTCAGTGTAGAGTAATAAATTGTAGGAACTGTATTCTAACATAACAAAACGATTGAAGCTAGATTCATGAGTGTTCCCTAACAAGGAATTGATTGCAAAACGACCTTACCCAACCAAATATGAATGGATGAGTATTTTGAGAGTGTAGGCAGATGAATAAAAATTTATATTAAAAATTCCTTAAGAATAAAAAAATGAAAAACAAAGATCAAATACATCAAAAGAGACATGGATCTTGTATAAATAGTTTTTCTTTGATAGATGAAATTTTACCAAGAGGAATGCACAGGGCAAGAATGATGTGCATGAGAACTACAAAAGACGCTTCTGTAGTGGTTAAAGAAATTATTTTAGAAAAATAGCATTAAGAAAAGCCAAAAAGGCAAAAAGAAGAACGAAACTCAACTGAGAGTCAAAACTAGGAGACAAAAAGCAATTAATAACTACAATTATGTAAACACTATGAGAAAATTTTAGTAAAGACCAAAATTTTGCAATAGATGAAAGCATAATATTTAACGAATGTCACTTTAAGAAATTCTTACTTTAGACAATAATTCCTGGCTCTCAGGAGGTTGCTTCTTCAAGCTTTGCGGCAAGATTACTGTAAGTAATTCTGGTTTCTCTGCTCTGAGAGCACCCCTGATAACAGCTGCATTAGTGCCAGATGCCCCTGATGTATATATGTGATTTTTCTGCAAACAGGAGTTGAGGAACATACAAGTCAAGGGCACTGATCCATTCAGATTCAACATAAACTGAAAAGAACCAGCATTGTTGAACATCTGATAGCTAAGTACTCATAATGCCAGAGAAAATATAATGTACAGCTCTTACAGTGATAACCATCGCATAGCTAAGAATCTCGATAAGTTCTTGATGCATGAATCCCATATTACGGGTTCCAAAGAAGCCAATTGCTCGGGGCCCTTGTTGCTGAATGGCTAATAATTCCTGCAGATAATATTACAGAAATAAAATTCTAAATATCTGAAGTAGCACAAAGTAGGAAGACTGATTGTGCTTTCAAGCCGCAAGTAAAATTACAAATGAGAGACAAGACAAACAACACAAGGCATGCAACATCTGTAAGAGATGGGCCACTCAGAAGTTGCTGCCAAACATCTGTGACTGTTGGACTTAGAAAGAAAATTTATTTGAAAAAGATTATCAGAGATACCTAACCCCAAGTTTTAACTGCACATTTATCTCAAAATAATATCTTTAGGTCCCAAACTTTTGGTTTGAAAGGAGACAATGCATACTATGATTCTTACAAAGCTTGGGGTGAACAGGTGAGGGACAACTATATTGAAATTAGAAAAGGAAAACGACTCGAACATGATTTAAAACAAAATATCTAATCACCCTAATTTTGACTGTGGATTCGTCTTAAATGATATCCTTTAGGTCCCAAACTTTTGGTTTGCAAGGAGGCATTACATACTATTGTTCTTAATTCTTATAAAACTTTGGGTAATAATCAGATACAGAAAACTGATAGTATTTATTATTGGAGCAAATCAGTGTCTTTTGTGTTTTAACAGTACACGACTCAAGTGAGTATTAATACTGCAAAAGGATATTGAGGATAAGGCGAAGTACCCTGACTCAAGTTAGGGGTTTCTCCAGTTGAATTTTTGTTTATTCAACTTTTAGATTATTTCAAACAGTCATTTTTTTGTTGAATTAGTTGAGTAACAATTTTACAATATGCGTTGAGATCATCCCTATGCTTGTCTACTTGTCAGTTTAATTTGGGTTCAATTAATGTTTGCTTAGGTTAATAGAAAATTGACAGGGCTAAGACAAGGGTAAAAAGGAAAGTCACTCAAAAGAACCCACCCCAACCCCAAACATCCACCAAAGGAGTGAAAAGAAAGCCAAATTGATTAATAAACACACCTGTAGATAATCAACATCGGCCACAGTTCTAAACTCTGATACCAGAACTGCTCCTGATCCTTCAACAACAGATTGAGCTTGGGTTGGGATTTGGGTGCCTACTTCTTCATCAGAACCAAACATACTCGCACCCTTATTGTCTTCATTTGATGGACTATCTATGTCTTGATCTCTTCTCATATGTCCGCAGAGCCACTATACCAGTACAGAAAAAACAGATCCCCTGGTAGTAAATCATTAGTGAAAACCAACTGCCCACAAAGAGTGGTGATCATACAAGTTCAAGCTTGCATGACTTCTAATACGTGTATAAAAGAAACAATAATAATAATAAAAACTGTTCTCTGTAGCATTTCCATGGAGAAAAAAATGTTTTTTTGCCTAAAAAGTTTACAGAGAGCTTGATGTTGGTTGATCAGTCCCAGTAAGTGATACTAAAACGGGATACAAGCAATATCAACTAAACTCTTTAAAGCCGAATATAATGACTACTTGCATTGGCTACATGTTTGATCCCCAAAGTTTTAGGTGGGGATGAAATCATAAAAATACTACACATGCAGATGCACTAAAACTTCAAAGCAGTTACCTTGTGTACTCCTGTAGACCCAAGAAGCATACATATGAACAACCGATGGACAAATTCACGAACCTTATGCTAACATTTTCCATGTTAATTCATAAACCATACAGTAACGAAACTAAACTACAACTGCGATCATGGAATATACACGGCTGAGTCTTACAAGAAATTAAACGGGTTTAGGACAAATAAAAATTGAAAATCTAGATTAAACCCATTTGTTTTAAACCTGTACCTCAACGTACACTAAGAGCAAATCGCATTGCAGCCTCTTCAGATAACAAAGAAACCCATGAAGCGCTTAAACAAACAAGACCCAATTTTCAAGGAAAATTTCAATTTCTATATGAAGGAACAGCGTCCCATTATAGCCAGCTCTTTCCAAAAACTAAGGATAAGGATCTCCAAGCCCAAAAATACTACCTTTTCCATCACAAGAACCTCAATGAACAAGACCCAATTCTTAAAATTAAGAAAAGTTGATGATATAGATACGAACATATAAATATGTAGAGAGATACCTTCCGCTTGGAGCGAATGGGTGTCTTGTTTCCAGTACATGTGTGGTGGTGAGATGAGAGAGAGGAAGAGTAGGAAAGCTTTAAATTAGGGCTTGCAGAGTGAAAGGATTTGAGGGACTTGGAGGGAAAGTCTGAAGAAGAAGAATAGGCAGTAATGGTGGTTAGAGGCAAGAAAAGCCTCAAAGGTGCTGTCATTCCTGCCTTTCAAAACTTTGCTCTGGGCAGCTTTTCCTTCCTTCTATCTTTCTGTGCTCCTTTTCTCTTCTCTTTTAATATCCTCCAATTGGAAAAGAAAAAAAATCTAATAAGCGAATTGAATAAGAGAAGATATGATATGTTTTATTTAGAAGTTATAGAAGATAGAATTGTGAAATGGAATAGAATTTTGTCAAAGGGCTTCCTTTACCCTTTACCCTTTACTCTTTCCTCTTTTCGCTTGCTTTTCGGCTTTTTTATTATATATATTTCTTCATATTTTGACCTCCGCACAGCTCTCAACTGAACTGGTAAAAAAACATCTACTTTACTGCCAACTGTATAATGAATTTTTCCTTACAAGCTATAATAAACTACAGGAGAGGGAGATTTCTCGTACACACGATTATAATGCCGTGAGATTCGAATATAAGACCTCTCATTTGCAAGTTTGGCCGTTTTTCCTTTTTAGTAAATGTATTCTGAAGTTTCTAAAGGGACAATACTTGCACCAATCCATTAAAGATGAGAATACTTTAACAATCCGGTCCAACGGGCAAAATTCTAACAATCCAAATGTTCATAAAATAAGAGGAAACTCCAATTCCAAATTCCAATGGGTAGAAAGAAAGAAAGAAAGAAACTCAACATATATATACCTTCACGTCCAATTTCCAATACTAGAGTTGGACACTGTGCTCTTTCGCTTCTCAAAACTTAGTGCCCCTCTATATTACAAAGTATAAATTCAAATGGTTTACATGAAAATACAACGCCATAAATCATTTTACATTTTTCAGTTTTCATTTTACAATTTACAATACAAATAAATATTATAAATGCAGCTTTCTTCATGTGGTCATGAAGGGAAGGGGATGATGCATGGCATGCGATGAGTCTCACAAGAATTTCATGAAACTTTAGGATTTCAATTTTCATGAAACATTGGACCGGTCTACTACGCAACGCATACCATTGACATCAGCATCAGCATCAGCATGAGCTGGTTGTTTGACAACAGAACAGACAAACAGGGACCACAAGCAAGCAGTTTATGACAAAAAAAAAATAGAAAGCCACTTGCTTTCATCCCTCCCTCCCACAGCTTTTTGTTCTTTAGTATCTGATCCAGCAACAACCACACTTCTCACCTCTCAAATTTTATTCGTACGTAAATCAAATGCAGACTAAATCCAAGGCATATTTTTCTTTTGGGAAAAAATTAGTAGCCACAAACAACTAGTTTGGAGGCAAGGAAGGAGCGGTGGAATTTGTGTTACAAAGGCTAATCTGAAACAAAAACAAAACAAAAACTGTGTTAATGCTTTTGCCGCATTATTCAGGAGGAGGGAGGACCACATTTTCTTTATTTTTGTTTCATTTCAGAGAAATGACTTCTTTGTGTGGTTTAATAGGTTTCCGTTTGGACTGCTTGCTTGTCACCTGCTAAATATCAAAGCATTTTTTCAACTGGTCAAATACAAAACAATTGATGCCATTATACAGCAATAAGCATTAGAACCCGAGTTGAAAGTGTATAAAAGGATAGCATGATCCCATGATCCCACAACCAACCAGAGACTATATGTCCCATCTCTTTTTAACCCGGAACATCAAAGTTGATGATCGAATGTCATCTTGTGGCACTTGGAGCATGAATTGAACCTTCATCTTCATTGGGGCTGTCCTTGCTTTGCCACCTTCATCTCCAACCTGAAACAGGATCAAGATCACTATACTATACTATCATTTCTTCATAAAAAGCTAATTTTTATGAACCTCAATTTTCTTACAAATGTACTTAACAAAGCATTATGTCAATACTAGTGTGGGTGTATGTGAAATACTTGTTTGACCCCACATATACCCTTAGGTTTTCCTTCCAAATTCCCTTTTCAAGAGCACCAATGCCTCCTTTGTGCCAATTCCAAGCCTTCTTTAACAAGAAAACTTTAAAATACTTTTATCATATAAGCACTTACCCAAAGAGATGCCCAGCCAAGGCGCACCTCTGAATCATAACCAGCTTTAAGTTTCAAGTCCTTGCCATATGTGTGCTTGTATACCGCACTCCAGTAGTCAGAATCAAAATTGTACCAGTAGCTGGAGATGAAATCATCAAAATGAAGTATAAAAACTTTTCCAACAGTCTGGACACACTATTTATATGAATAAATACTGGAGACAAGATTTACTTTCAGTTTTACAAATGCTTTGCATGAATTGATGATATTAAGCTGACAACACAGTTACTCACACAGTGAAATATGATATAGAGATTGGCCAACTCAACTTGAATGGATTTATAAGCACTAAACCAAGCACCTCATTCTCTTGACCTAACATTTATATACGGTCCTGTTATCCTAAAAACTAGAAAAACATGATTGCCAGGTTTACATGTTTAGCAGCAGTCAAGTCAAGCAAGTCAACTAAAAAAAAAAAAAAAAAAAAAAAAAAAAAAAAAAAAAAAAAAATTGAATTATTTGAATTAGAAGAAGAAGATTTCTAACCTCAACTTGTCTGAAGGACCAAACCGACGCTTAAAAGCAAATGACAATGCATTTGAAGGCAGAGAAAAGGTCGGGATAAAAGACATCTCCTCATCCTGTGAAAAACCCAAACATCTCAGCAAAACCCACAAAGATGAAACACCAACATGATGAAAAATGAATTCATTCAGCTATTAAGAGATGATGAATATTTTCGTAGGGAACATGTTCTGGACTACACCTTTACACAACCCAGCCATACATATTTTCTACATTTTTTATTGGGACCCAGTCATCCAGCTTGTTTAATTGAAAAGCATCCAAAATGAAAAACCAGAGTAATATAATGCTTACCTTGTATGAGTACCTCAACCTCAAATCCTCATCCGCATAATGGGCAGTGCACGACCCATTCAAAATTTGGCCTTTCACAATGCCATTGATCGACAACATTCTCTTCGTCTCCTCTTCTTCTTTTTCCTCCAAAGAAACTTCGCCAAGGGGGAATTTAAGGGTAGCTTTTGGCTACAGCACCAGAAAGAAATTAATGTAATAAAACTTATCATGTAATATGGTGCAACCAGATCCTCCAATTCTGTTTCCCCCAGTAAAAATTAAACAAGGGGAAAAATAAGGGATACTCTGGCAGCAGAAACAGGAAGATAATAAATTACTAAATAATGGATTTTTTATTTATTATTATTATTTTTTTCTGTTAGGTAATTCATACATAGTGGCATTACTTGTAAATTGTAAAGCAGTGCGATAGCATCAGATAAAAACTACACTAACTCAGCAATCCAAATAATGATTTTTGAAGTACGTTATCGTTGAGTATCAGAATGTAACAATCCAAGTTATGAATGCTGAAGCACGCTTTAAAACAGAAACAAGTTTGCAACACCATTGAGTCCTGACAGCAGTAAAACTCCAAGGACATGTCTTATTTGCGTCTGGTTAGAGTTACATGCTAAGATTGTACACAAAAACAATATGTAAATGGAATGCCAGATGAAAGTCCACACGTGGGGGTGTCAAAACATGGTATAGTGTGATATATTGTACTTACGAAACCAACAGAAGGTACAGGAGAAGAGAGTTCAAATGCATAGCCAGGTTCAGCAACCTTCGCAACCACGGATGCCTCTCCTTGTTGTGCCTAAAAACATTATGACATTCAGAGAGGCAATACAGAAGCACATAAAAAAAAAATCACCAAAGGTATAAATCATCACATGCATCAGGGAAAAAGGGGTCAATCTCATGTCAAGAAGCTTGGGTAAAACATAGACATAGACATAGACATAGACACGAAGATATTAATTTCTTTTATTAATAGAAATGAAATGACATTAGTTACACATTGCTCAACAACTCATGGGGCCGGGCCAGGCCAGCAGAAGCAAGCTCCTACTGATAATATAGTGTAAGATTACATTAGATTACAAATTTGCATGTGAAAGAGAAGAGACTTGAAGAGTTGAGTTAAAGGGGCAAAATTAATAAGAAAGGTAAGAAGAGACAAATGAAAAATAGATAGATAGAGAGATAGGTAACCTTGAGATCATGGGTAGCACGGAGTTGCAATCGAGGACCAACATCGACGGAGCCGCTGAGGAGAGTAGATTGATCTTCAAAGTCGTAGTTAATGGAAAGGTGCTTGGAGACAAGTGCCAATTGGGGCGGAGAGAGCTCGCCCTTGTGGTTGTTGTGGAAGGAGAGCTTCAGTTTGGCCAGGCTGTCAAACAGCTTGCACGAGACCTTATGGAAGAAAACGGACGAGTCGCTGTCGAACTCGGAAGTGAGTCGAATCGAAGGCCTTTTCGGGAAGCTGAATATGATGGGACTCCACGAACCTCCTGTGGCTGGTGGAGGCGGAGGAGGAGGAGGAAGATCAACACTTGCAGTTGGTAGGCCCTGGTAATTAGGGTTTGGATTCCCCGGAAGGCTGGGTACCATTATTGGCTCCGCCATTACTAAATTCACTCACTCACTCACTCACTCACTGACTACTTTCTTCTCCCACCTCTGACTCTAAACTCTGAACCTCAAAGAAAGAAAGAGAGAAGAGTGCGCATGTCACCTGTTTTTCTTCTATGATTCTTTTTATTAGGCGGAAATGTAGATGACTGGCCGGTGGCCATTCACCTTCACTCTTTTCAGGTATTTTATTTAAGTCTTTCTTATTTCACTTTGATGCATCATTCCGGTTTCGAACCTGGATCCTTGTCTTTTATTCTTATTATTTTTTCATTGAACCCCCTGTTTTTTACCAACCAAAGATCTGTTTTTTCAATTTAAAATCATAAGCGAGGAGGATGCAAAATTAAAACTGAATAACATAGTTCTTTCTCGGACACCGAGGATATGACACTGTGAGTGTGACAACAAAGCCGACTGATGATCTCACCCTCTTATAAATCCAATGAATGTCAAGAAAAGTTCAATTTCAATATCCTCCTTCACTTCACATTTAACCATTGGCGTTTATTTTTTTTTTTTTTTTTTTTTTTTTTTTTTCCTTCCCTATCTTTAAAAAGAGGGCAAAATCACATTTGTTCCTAATCATCCTTCTCTCAGTACAAAACACAATCAGAAAATTTAATCGACATATAATGGAAAGTTGACCCTTCAACTACACTGGATTGACAGCCCTTGTAAAACCTTGCCATCAAACACCACACGAGAAGGCATAGTTTCCCATCCCCAACATGTACTTGCAGCCACAGATACAAAACGAAAAAACCTCTCAAATCCCGTCCTTAATCCTTATGCAATATTAACAGCAACTGGCTTCCCCCGACCCATTGCAAATCCCCTTGTGCCATCCGGCATACGCGGCCCAGGAGGCTGCTTGGCTACTCCTGGCTGCTCAATACTACCAACTGAATTGTGAGGAGGAGGCCCCACATGATTTCCACGATTATTATTATGATGGTATTGACCTCGCCCACGCCCCTTCCCACGGCCTCGATTACGCCCTTTCCTCCGCCCGACCTCCTTGTCATTGCCATGCTCCTCTCCCTGCAAAGAAAAAAATTACAACATGCCTATATCTTCAGGAAGTAATGATTTCAGATGTAAAGCTACATTCCAATACTATGCATATGCTACCATTAAGTTTATGGAAAAAGCCTTGACCAAAAAAAATTTTAAAAAAAACTTTATGGAAAAAGTTCGTCCAATTAGCATCTTTGAAAATTTATCAATGAAAATCTAAGGGCCCGTCTGGTAACGTTTTCGGAGAATGTTTTCTGAGAATATTTTCAGAGAATGAAAACAAGAAAACAAATTTGCATTTTCAGGAAATGAAAATGCGTCTGGTAGATTAATTAGAAAACATCTTTAGAAAACAAAAACAATGAAAACGTGTCTGGTAGAACAATTGTTTTTCAGGTGTATTTTTGCTAATTTCAGTTCTAATTTTTTTTAATTCTGATATTTTTAGAGGCTAAAATTATTGTAAACAATGAAAAAAATTTAAGCTAAAAAACTATCTTATCTCCTTTTTTTCTTTTTTTCCTTTTTCTTCTTTTTCTCCTTTTCTCTCTTTCCTCCTCTTTTCTTCTTCTTTTCCTTCACATGGCTGCTTCTTTTTTCTCTTTTTCTTCCTCTTTCCTACTTTCTTCCCCTTTTCTTCTTCCTTTCCTTCCCCAGGCCGTTTCTTTTTTCTCATTTTCTTCCTCTTTTCTTCTTCCTTTCCTTCCCAGGCTACACCCACTCCTCCTTCCTTCCATGGCATGAATCCCATACACCCACCCATCTCTCTCTCTCTCTCTCTCTCTCTCTCTTGATCCACTAATTAATGGTTGTGATGGTTTGATTGGGTGATGATGGTGGTTGAGTTGGGTATGTGGTGGTTCTTCTTCTCTGTTTTTTTTTTTTTCTTCTTCCTCTGTATTTTTTTTCTTAATTTGCAGATCTGTTTATTTTGGGTCAGAGAAGATGGGTGTTGTTCCTGTTGGTGGGTTTATCGGTTGTCAAAAGAGAGAGCTAGAGTTGTTGATGGGATGCATTCTTGTGTCTTCGGAAAACACTGAAAATGAAATCACTGAAAACAACTTTTTTTCATTTTCAACTTTTGTTCACAAAGTCAGATTTGTTTTCAGAAAACGTTTTGTGAGGGAAAACGAAAACGATGCACCGAACGTGTTTTTGTGAAAAACAGGAAACAAAAACAGAAAACAGGCTCTAAAAACATTACCGAACGGGCCCTAATTGTCCAAAACAAAAGACATACACATTTAAATGAGTCTCTGAGTGCTTACATGTTCATGTGAATGGGCATCAGACTGCTGGGAAGAATCTACTGATTGCTTTTCATTGGCCTGCTGTTCAGGTGAAGAAGCATCCTCTTCGTCTAATTGCACTTCCCCATCTTGCCCCTTTTTCCCCCGCACTTGAGCAGGTTTTGACTGAGAATGGAACTAACAGAAACATCAATGGACTGGTCCAAATCAACTAAGTTACTATGCTGAAAGATCATCCAGTCAAGCAGCATGGGACCAATCACATACACCAAAATCATCTGATTAACTAAAATAACAAGAAAGCAATTTATGTCAACATTTATTCTATAACATTAGCTCATTTGGGAAAGTATACATTTCAATTATACAGTTCGAAATCTTAGTTTCATAAGCCAACTGAATTTCAGGAACTGAATTTAACTATAATTTCATAAGCCCACAGTTCGTGTTAAACTATAATTTCAGGAACTGAATTGAACTACCTAACAAAGAACCATAGTTTTGGGCATATACCGCTCGTCTAAGCATTAAACGGACTTTAAGGCCACTCCTCCAGTTGGCCTCATCATTAAGCTCTGCAACCTGAAGATAGAAATGCACAGTTGTCTGTCTTACCAAAGAAAGAAATGGACATTTATTCTGTGTAATGAGCATGGCGAAAGCCATATTGATGTCAAATCACAGCTAACACTTACAGCTTTCTCTGCCAGCTCAGGGGATTCATATTCCACAAATGCATGCAACTACAGAAAAAGAGTCCAGATATCAGATATTTCTGTCCATCTTTAACTGTATGAGTAATAATGATAACAAAACTATTAACCATAAACATCATTACATTTACATTAATGTTGATCTATTTCGCCGAGTATGATTTCTTAAAACGTAACATCCTTTTTTTTTTGGGGTGAAAGAATGTCACTACAGCCACTGCAATATTAGTGTAAAGTTACAATATAAAATCGATGCAAGGAAAGTCCTTCATAGGCCAGGCCCAAAGCCAAAATGATTGCATCATCAGACCAATACACTTTGGTTTGGTTAATCTGCAATTTTCCAGATTACTTTAAAAATTGAGGCATAATTTTGTAAAAGCATCTTTCTGTGAGACAACTTCTCAAAAGGTTAGCCCCCTCATACTAAATATTGTAACCTAATAAAATTTGAGTCAGAAACCAGTCTTTTGGGAGGCATACCCTACTATCTTTTTATACCTGAAGCAATCTAGAATGAACGATTTTCTTTTTGTTACATTGGAAGGGATCAAACCTTTCACCTATCCTAATATTGACCCATTTCCCACCCTCCATCACCACTTGGGGTTAGAAATAAGCAAACTTTACTTCACAGAAGAAAAATGGTCATAGTTGCTGAAAACAATGAAAGCCAAAGAACAGCACAACCCATAACAAACCATAACCTGCTCCAAGCAAGTGCATGTGTTTGATGTATACCTTGTTACTGAAAAGCGTGCTATCTGCTTTTGTAGATCTGGATGCCGAGGAAGCACCACTATTGGAGGTTTGTGGCTGGCAGGTACGGATTGTCTTCACACTGTCGAAGAACAACTCAACGTTATATAGATTTCTAGGATTGATAAAACATATTTTACTCAGAAAATAAAGCATTCGAATAAAAAAAGTTTCTACAACACAATGTGATTTTGGTACCTCCCAGCAGCAGAGAAAACCTTCATGAGGTTTTGGTGGCAATGATCCTCAGGCAAATTTTCAGCAACAACTATGCGAGACTACAGATCAGAATGCACATTATATGATAAGAGGAAACAAGTATGTAGTTTTCATGAAACATCAACAATTATCAATTTAAGCAAGGATTTAAAATGAGTATTACTACAGAAGTATAACCATAAAAATAAAATTTACCTGTTATACTTAAAATGAAACTTTTTAAAAGACCCATTCACAAATTTTTTGGCATAAAGGCACAAAATGACACAATAGACAAGGCACCAAACCAAAGCTTTTGTCCTGAAAACATGTAAATGGGACTGAATACAAGTAAAACATACTTGCAACTCTTCCATATCTGACTGAGTCAGGGGATGCTGGCGTCTGACTTTCTTTCCATCTTCATGAACTACCTGCAGAATATGACATCATTAAAGATTAAAAATATAGACTAAATGAAAAAAAGATACACACGTGAGTCGAAAAAAAGTTCCATTTTTAGAGGGGAAACAAAAAACAAAAGGAGTCAACAAGAGGATTCCTTAAGGACAACAATAGCATATTAAGCACGAGCTCAAACATATAAACTCACAAGTTTTGAAGAGTTCCGTAATACAGTTGCAAGCTGAGATTGACTATTTACGAGGGCCTTAATCTTCTTGAAAGATGCAACAACAGATATTGGCACTATATCAGAATGAATATTAAATAGTTAATAACGATAAAAAAATCAATAAAGGACTTCCAAAATAACAATTAGAATACAAAAATCGTATAAATTACTTAGTGTTTCAGCAGGCACACATGCCCGTCTTAGAGTAAGCTATTTTCCCTTTAACTTGAAGGTAAGCAGATCAAGTATATTACGGGCACACAGACAGTGAATCCAACTCTATGATACATATAAAACCATACGAAATTATAAAAGAAAATCAACAGAAAAGTAAAAGAAAAAGATTGGTATGTGCTGCTTTCCTAATCAAAGATGGGAAAGGTAAAAGAAAAATAGCTTACCAAATCCTTCAGGGTCTTTGTTTATGAACCTCATAAGATGATCAGTAGTAGCCAAGTTTAGGTCACTGAAATAATACTCCACCTACAAAATGTTAGGCCAACAAAAAGAAATCAGGCCAAGTTCATGAAGTGATCTTCACACTTAATAACAATAGCTGGTGACTCTACTGCACATTATCATTCTCAAATGTCTTTTTTTCGGATCAACTTGCATTATCTGAACCATAATGGACTAAATGAATGGTATTGCTTTGTTTAATACTTCCTTTTGATGAGGACTGACTTATTCAATTTCTATGTTATGCGATGATTTAGTCTATTTAAGCTTCTTATTTGAAGAGAAGCACAAGTCAACCTCATCACACTGATTCTATCTTGACCACTAGGTCTGCCGGTGTTCTGACAACCACTATTCCAGAAGCTTTACCTAATGTTTCCTCTTTATCTATGTAGAAACCTTCTCCTCAAGGTTTTGTATAGGTCCGTTGTTCCATCTTCTGCTCTTTCGGACACTTAGATCTTTAAAATCCCTTTCTTATCTGTTGTAGATCTTTAAAAGTCTTGTTGCTCAGGTATGATCTAGGTTCTACTGGAGAATGAAGAGCTACCTGAAGAACCAAAGCAATGCTTAAGATGGTGTTCTTTGCTTGATCTTACACTTGGGGTAGAGAATTGTCACCTATGATAACTTTAGGAGGAGGATCATTTGACCACCTTCTACGGAGGTAAAGGAGCAGTAGATGTTTAGAGAATGCAGAGGAGGTTCCAATTTGAATTTTGGGTAAACTTAATTAGTGTCTAATTTTTCTCAGGTCCTTTTGGAGACTTGAATTGTATGCATAGGAATACAGGACACGCTGCTCTTCCTTCCAACTTATTGAATCTCAACTGCACCATTGGAATTTGGAATCGCTAATTATATCCGAAAAAAGATTAGGCACAATTCACAAGCACAATAAACTGCCAACCTATAGAATCAGAATGAGACACGTGTGTGTTTATGGTTCGAGGTGTTCAAAGATTAGGATCTGGAGTGATGGACCGAAATCCAAAAGAAGCTAATATTATCCGAAACGTGATTTGGTGAAGATTGAATATTTGGAAAAGACTAAAACAGCATAAGGCAGATTATGAGCTATGAAGAAAAAGGTAGTAAAAGAGAATAAAAAAAAGTAAACGCGAACCTGATTCAAAATCTTGGAAGTAGCTTCATCGGAAAGCTTGTGAGTCTTCGAGGAGGAGGAAGAAGCATGATCCGCCTGAGCTTGCTCTCCCAGCTGCTGCTGCTGCTTGTGCTGCACGGCCGCCTCTTGGTCTCCAAATCCAGAGTAATGATACTGGTGGTGATGATGGTACTGGACTGGCAAGTGATGATGATGGACCGGCACCGGCACCACATGAGGAGGAGGAGGAGGAGGGACGACCTGGATCGGCACATGGAAAGGGACCGAAGGCGGAGAGTAGACGTGGACCTGACCCACAGACACCGGAGGCGCTGCCGGCCCCGGTGCGGGTGTGGGCCCAGATGTGGGTGTGCTGCCACTGCGATTGGTTGGGACGAATTCGGGAGCCTGGGCGTTCAGCCGGCTAAACGAGACGTTCCGGGACAGAGATGGATCTGATGTAGAATCGGACGGTGGGGATTCCCCTTGGGCCATTTTAATCTTGTTTGTAGGGGGTTTCGGGGTGGGGGAAGAAAGAGGAACTTGTTGGAGTAGAAAAACGAGGGAGAGAGCCCTGTGAGGGGCGGAGAGGACAGTGGAGAGGACTTCTCGGGTTTCAGGCTGCTTCCGATCCTCGCCTATTTATACTTTTGATTCTCATTCCTCATCGATTGGTCCATTTGGATTTTCGTAATGTGGGGACCCCTACATTATGCTTGACTCTTCTCATCGTTCTCACTTCTCTCTCTTCTTTCTGCCCTACTTCTCCAACAGTTGGACTGGACTGGACTGGGCCTTTGTTCTTCACCCGTCGTGCCCGCTCTCACATAGTCAGTCTCTTTGTCCATTCGTCAACGTACGCTCAAAACAGTACAGATAGTCACCCCAAGTCTTTTTTTAACTATTGGGCAAAAAAAACAGAGTCACTTTTTGCCACTGTCCGTTTGAATGAAGGTAAATAATTTGGAATTTAGTTGAAAGTCGAAAATTAAAGAGGAGAAATTGATATTTTCATTGTTTGACAACTCAAGCATAGAACTTAATAGTTGGCAAAAAAAACCCTTGGAAATTATTCACCTATTTTCAATTGCCATAATAGATCCTATAATGTAACCCCATGAGATTTTATTGGCACCCCATTAATTACTCTTTACACCCCATACTAATTTTAAATATAAATAACCTATTTTACCCTTGTACACAATTACCGTTAAGGACAAAAAAAATTAAAATTAAAATTAAAATTGCTCACTACACCCCACATATGTTCCTGCAACTCTAGTTTGACTTTTTTCTCAAACTATCATGTTCCTAAACCCTAAACCCAAGATTTATAAGTTTATACTGGTGAAAAATATATTGTATTTATTCATGAAGGGTGAGATTGAAGTTAGAGACGCTTCGAATGAGGAACGAGTTTATTTTTTGGCGTTTTGCAAGTTTAATATTTCATAACAGTCGCTGGTTGTGTTCAGCACATCAGTACCGAACACGACAGATAATTTCGGTGGGATGCCACCGAAACTTTGCACCTTTTTCGGTTGGATTTCACCGGTGAGAAACTTAATATTCGGTGGGGATCCACCGTAAGATGGAACGTAGTTCAGTGGTGTACTACCGAACTTTTACCCGCGTTTCAGTGGCATCCAACCGAAATTTATTTATTTTTTCAGTAACTTATTGCCAACCACAAATTTAATCCAAGCTATTTTGATCTTACTCCCATTGAAGGAACAAAATCAAGGTGACGCCCCTACTGAAGGCAACAATGTGGGAACAGAATGTGTAATGGACTATAGTGATCAATTCACAACTTATTCGGTAATTATTTATCTGAAATCCTTTTTAGTATCATTAACGTGGCATTAATGTTTCAAATTTTATATTTAAATAATATGAGTTTTATGTGTAGATATTCAATGGTAGAGATGCATTACTTCAATGGGCTCGTGAACAAGGAAAATTGAATAATATTATCATTGTAATTAAAAGGTCTGATTATGGAGGTGAGGGCAAGAGGAGACCTCGTGTAATACTTGCTTGTGAGAGGAACGCTAACTATAAGTCTTGCAAGTCTAGTGAGACAACTGATATAAGATCGGATGCAAATAGTGATATGAAAAAATGTGCTAGAGACACTGGTACCAAGAAATGTGGATGCCCATTCTTGTTAAAAGGTGTTAATATTGGTGATGGGGATGATTGGAAGTTGGAGGTGGTTTGTGGAGTACACAACCATCCTATTTCAGAGTATCTTCAAGGTCACCATTAAAGATAGAGATGCAATGAATGTTTCAACTATGAAGACAATATACAATGCTAGGATCCGAAATAGAACCAAAGAATTTGCTGGGAGAACCCAAATGCAACAATTGCTTACTAAGTTATCCGAACACAATTATATTGAGTGGCATAGGACATCTGGGGATATTGTAACTGACCTGTTTTGGACACACCCCATTAATATTGATATTTTGCGCGCATTTCCACATGTACTTATCATGGATTGCACCTATAAGACTAATAGGTATCGTTTCCCACTATTGCAAATTGTGGAGGTGACATCTACTAATATGACATTCTCTGTTGCGTATGTGTATATGAATGCCGAGAAGGAAGACAATTACACATGGGCATTGACTGCGTTGAGGAATTTGTTGGATGATAATTGTCTTCCTGGTGTTATTCTCACCGATCGAGAGTTAGCACTCTTGAATTCTATTACGTCTATATTTCCGAAAGCACGACATTTATTATATAGATGGCATATTAACAAAGGAGTGTTGGCAAACTGCAAGAAGTTATTTGGGACCCTCAAACAATGGAAGCAATTTAATGAGGATTGGAATACTTTGGTTGGTTCAGAAACGGAGGAGGAATATTGGCGTTGTTTGCGACAGATTGAGTCTAAGTTCAGTGAATTTCAAAAAGCTCTTGAATACATACATGAAAATTGGTTAAATCCATTTAAGGATAAGTTTGTGGCCGCATGGACAGACACTTGTATGCATCTTGGATCGACGAATGGATTCTTGTTTTGTAGGTTCATTTGTCTCCAGATCATCCTATTCCACCAGTTTCTAGAATGTGGCATGAACAAAGTGACATATGCAATGTAACACATTTGTACTCGAGGTACCAAGCACGTGTGGATGCTTTTCAACAACTTCCGGGAGTGGAGAATGTAGGTACTACAGATACCGTCATCCTAATGACTGATGAAAATGCACCTGTTACAGAATTGAGATTATAGATCTAATAATTTTATTTAATTTTTTTTCACATGTAACCTGAAAATACATCTTTGTGTGCATAGTCATTTAGAGTTGAAGGAGAAAGTTGATAAAATAATGCAGGAGTTTAACCATAATCTGTCGCAGAACCTCCAGAGTTGAAGGAGAAAATAGAAAAGGTGAACACAGAGAAAAAGAGAAAAAATATTAAGTACACACTCAGTAACGTATTCGGTACATAATCACTGAAAAATGGAAATAAATTCGGTGGACAATCACTGAAAAAAGAATACATATTTGGTAGAGTACCACTGAAAAACCGAAAGAAATTCGGTGGGAGTCCCCTGAAAAATAGAAACAGATTCGGTGGACTACCACCGAAACAAGGTAACAATTTCGGTGGTAACCCACCGAAAGTACAGGTTTAATTCGGTGGACTACCACTGAAGCAATGTAATCATTTCGGTGGCAATCCACCGAAACTAGAATCCAATTTCGTAAAACCAGGTTCGAACTACCCAGAACCTTGAAATCAAAATCAAAATCAGTATCAGACTTTGGCTTTTCAAAAGTGAAATCAAATGTAGGCTTAATCAACACTTAGAAACGTAAATATATAGATCAAATTTGAAATCAAACCTTGAATAAGGATTTGTGAGAACTTGACCTTCAATGGCTTTTGGGTTTGCAAAGATGGAGATGGGTGTGATGGTTCTGTTTCAGAGATGGTTCAGGTTTGCTGGAGGCGATGGCAAAGGGCTTCTTCGATGGTGAGCAAAGATCTGCGATGGCAAGGGATGAGTTCTTCGATGTTCTGCGATGCAGGCAATGGCAAAGGGCTTCTTCGATGGTTCTGCGATGGAGGTTGGTGTAAATGGGATGGGGTGTGCAATGGGGTGTGTCTGCAAGAGGAGAGAATTTTCGGTGGGGTGTGGCTGGATATCAGATGGGGTGGGGTTTGATTTCAGATGGGGTGTGGCTGAAAGGGAATGGGGTTTTCGGTGGGTGGTTAGGGAATAGGGTTTATGAGGGCAATTTAGGGGAAAAAAAGGGGTTTAATGAGTAATTTGAAATTTTATTAAAATTTAGTGGGGTGTAAAAAATTATGGGGTGTAAAGAGTAATTTATGGGGTTCATATAGAATTACCCTAAATTGTTTTCTTTTGACATCCAACACATTTTTTAAAAAAAAATTAAAAAAATTAAATATTTTTCCATTAGTAAAATAAAAAGACCCGAAATACAATTCCATCGCAACCCCCTCCTCCTCAAACGTTTCCTTGATCGTCTTCATACTAGAGCCGTTTAAAATTCCTACTCACAAAGTTTACAACCTTTTTATTATTATTTTCATTTTCATTTTTAAACAAATATTCGATTCTACTTCTTGTAGTTTTGAGAGGTCGGTATAGTAGTGCCTATCCCCCATCGGCTCATGTTTTTCAAAGTAAAGATTTCCTAACTTCTAACTCCTTTTCTTTAACCCGATTCTTGCGATCCAAAGATATGAAAATGACCAAAAAGGAAGATGAAGAAGGTTTCATTGCTTAGGGTTCTCGAGATAAGAGTGCAATTTAAGTAATAAAATACAATTCTATTACAAGAACTCTTGCTTCTGTAAATCCGTTGATATTATCAAACTTCATGTTAACAAACCAACTACTTGCAGGTACAAGTCAAAACACTAGCAGTTGCTCATGTCGTCCTTTTCAATTCAAATTTCTTCTTAATAGCATCCCAAAACGCAGGGATGGCAACTTCATTGGGAACTTCCTTGAATGAGGGAAGGTAGTTTACATCAACAATGACATGGTCACCAGTGCCTTCCTGAATCTGCATCCACATGACAAGAAAAATTGGGTCAAAATGTGGACAAAATATCATGGCCACACACGTCAGCACAATCCAACACAGGGATGTTCATTTTTGCTCTAATGCATAATGTATGAAGCAAATAACTTGTACGAGACAGAAGCAAAGATGTCTAAATGGGTGTCACGGAGCAAACAAGTAATATCACACTACCTTGCTTCAGATAGATAAGGAAGTTCTGGTGGTTACGAACCATAATGTTGTCCTCATTGTTCTATTTTGTTTTTCCTTTTCCCAAGCATAATCCTCAATCAACGCATCAACATAGGCTTACAGCTTAATTTGGTGAAATTGTGGGTTGCTATAATATATAATTGAGCAAACTTAACTTGGTTACTTACAACAACATCAAAGCCAAAGATGGTCAGTTCAAGCTTTCTCATAAGCCAATGAGCTGCACTAGTAACCAGCTCGAGATCAATGCAGTGATCAGTGGCCTTTGAGCTATTACCATCTCCAGAATTTGGGTTTCCCTTGGTAGTCGGTAGAGATTTTAAGCTGTGAAGGAAAATCACCACGACATGGGTCATTGAATATATGCATTAACAAATCAAGAACAAAAGGAAAGGTAGAGCAGAAGGGGAAGAGAGCATGCTACCTGTCAAAGACCAAGGGTTTGAGCTCATTACTTCCAGATAATTTCATCAAGGTATCTGCATTCGGAGTAGAGTTCTTAACTGCATGATAAACTTTTTCACCCAAGACGTAAAATTTGTAGAGTGTTGATGAATGATCCACATATTCCTGCAAATAATTTCTGATTTTCAGACCTGTAAATTAGCATGCATGGACACGCTTGGCAAACCATACCTGGACGTTGACACCTATTCTTTTAATACATAACTTTGCATTAGGTTGGAGTAAATATAATTCCTATATCAAATATGTTAGGTAAGATGCTACACCAAATTCATCTTAAAATTAAATATTTCTCACCTGTATAATTGCTGGAAGAGGAACAGTCAAATCCTTGAAATCTTCAACTCTAAAAACAATTGCCTGTAAAGTAAGGGTTGAGTTTTTTCAAATTTAAACATAACAGCAGAGGCGGTGACTTTAGATGAAGAAATCAACTTGATAATGTATGCTTCCATAATCTCATTCCACTACACTGGCCCCACAACAGTTCAATGCAATTCATTTAACAAATATATAAACACCTTTCAGAGATGGTGATAAATGCAATCAGATATGAAGGGGAAAAGAGAAGTATTTGCAGCGACGTGACTGATATCCTTATATTTTAAAAATAAAGAAAGAATTACCATACTGTGAGAATCGGCTACACCACAAGCAACTTGAGGTTTTACTATACTTGGAAGAGCTAATTTAGCTTCAGATAGGCTTTGAATCAAACCAGCCTGGTTAAAATCATCAACCTGTGCATATTTAAATTTTAAATAAAATGAGAATAACAAAAACTCCACATATAACTGCATCTAAGAAGAAACCAACAACTTTGTTATACTGCCCAACCTATGCCATATATATATTGTGAATCTCATAAATTAACACAATAACTGCAAATAGTGAAACTCCTACATAATACAGTATCCCAATTGACTAGCCAATTCTAATACAGGAGAACACTATCATTAAATTGATGAAGAAATAATGATACGGAAATATCTAATCCCACTTACTATGCGCATGTATATAGATAGTTCTCTCTCTTTCTTTCTTTTTTCTTTTCTTTTTTTTTCTTTTTTCAAGTAATTTTCTTTGAACGTATAGGTGGTTTTGACAAGATTTAACTCTTACGTCAATTTTGTAATTATGAGCAGCAACCACCCATCCATATTTGCATTTGCAAATACTTAAAAAAGAAACCCAAAAAAGAAAAAGAAGAAGGAAAAAAAAGCAGTTGTGAGTTAGAAGAAAAAGATTGATTCTGTTAGAATATGAAAACAATAGTTGATCCATATCTTACCCTGTCAAGTTTTTGGAATGGTGATGAACCAACGGAATTTAAATGGTATTAGATCAGGAGATCATAAGTTCAAATGCTTACCAGTACAACCTCACAATTTAGGTTAAATTCCACGTATTAGGCTCTGATGGTGGAGAGAGCCCCACATGTGAAGGTTTGTATTGGAATATTAAAGCAATAGTTGACAAGCGTTCTCAAAATTTAACCTTTTAAGAAATAGTATACCATCAACATTAAACAAACTCTAAGGCGGTTACTTAAGTAGTTATGAATGGTTACCCGCTCAAAACACTTTTGCGCTTGCAAATAAGTTAAAAAATACAAAACAGATGTGTGCTGGCAAAAGGGTCACATCCCTACCTTAGCATCTAGGCATTTTTATAATAGAATAACAGGCAGACACATTTAAAACTAAGCTATTGATGCAACACATACAAACAACTCTTATTGTCGTATGCATAGAAAGATCAATCACGTCCTTAACATAGCTACTTACTTAGTAGACCATGCCGACAGGATATATCCATGACTATTTATGCTGCATATTACCAAAAAGTTCACTGACAAAGTATCAGCATCAAAGTTTTTTCTTTCAAATTGTGAAACCATTATGAGGAAAAGAAAAAAAACACCTTGAGAAAATTGGCCCCCCTAATTGCATGGCAACCTCTGGTTTTGAGATCCTCCAACCCAAGTAGAATCTGTTGAATTTTCAATCGATCCAGTACAGGATAAATATAGTTAAGTGGGTCAATCACACAGAGGTCCAAGTGATGTTCCATATATCTGTGTAAGAGAAAGAAGGGTCTTAGAAACAACCAAATGGATTAACTTAATACAAAAATAAAAGAAATAAGGACTGTATAATATGGTGAAAAAAAGGCTTAAAACTAAATTGGAGCTGCACAGATATATTGCTTAATAGAAAGAAAAGAAAATTACAGAAGAGCATAAACTATAAACCTTTGCATTTACAAATCATTAAAGCACACATGCGTGTGTCACATTTCAACTTCAGTACCAATAAATCATATCTTATGATTCAAGAAAATGTTCCAATTCAGATCATTGTGTCACTAGGAACCCAAAGAGCACATTGGGTTTCTAGTTCTCAGGTGTGTTTCAGTTCCTTATAGGTGGAAACATTTCACGGGCTAAGATGGAAGCACCACAAAGTGTAAATTCATCTCAAATGCTGTGCATAGTGGAATAATTGCCAATAGAAGATATATGAAAAGACCAGCAAATGTTAAGATGAATTATATTTTTTGGCATCAAGCCAACTACTCTATGGGGAAAAAAATCAGATTCATAAACTTCGTAAGTTACCTTTGCAATTCCTGCATCCCCCTGCTGTAAGTTATGGTGTTAGAGGACTGTAAAGAACTATTCAAATCAATGGATATAATTTCATCAGTTGCTTTGTGGAGTACTACATCAACTTCTTGTAACTGAGGTGATAGAGGGAGCTCAAATGTGAGGGGAACAAACATCAGCCCATCTTGAGTAGGATACATAGGGAATGCACCCCTCTGAAAAATTCAAGATGACTTGTAAGTTTCAAAATGCAATCATATATACATGTCAAATTTACCTGATATTTTTTATGAATAAACAATAAACGATCACTTGGAATGCTAGCCACAACAAATCAGACCAAGCTGAGATTTTCTCAGGACAAAAGTTACTAGACATCTCCAATTAAATAATTTAATCTGTCATGGTTCTTTCACAAGTGCCAAAAGCCACGAGAACAGTCAAAGCCCTTCAGATGAGTACAGTTCAGAAATTTTCACTACACCAAGTATCAGAAACATTTTGATGAGGCATGTTTACATAACACAAGTCTATGGTGTCACAAGGCCCTCTTACAAGTTACACTACTTCCTTTTCTTAAATACTTTCTTAGCTACTACCACTGATCACCTTCAATTATACAGACGGCTCACCTTAGCAAAATCTTCTTCACGAGAAGGCTTCATAATATAACCAACAGTCACAACACTGTTCCCAATTGCCTGTTTTCCATGTGAAACATAAAAATTCAAACTTACAAGCAATATATAAGAAAACCTCTCCTTTTTCCTATGCATAGGCCGATAAGCTGAAGAGGTTGTACAGAAAATAAGAAAACTTCCAGGATGAAACCATTTTTTGAATGTGCAGTATATTGAGAGCAATGGTGGAACCAGAAAATTCCAGTGGCAGGGGCCATAGATGAGCCACACAAAAATTGTTAAACAAAAAACTTTGGAAAAAAGCATGTATAGATCAAAATTAAAATGGAGGTTCGTTTAATACTTTATAGGTGCTTTAATTCTTTCTCTTAACAAAATGAATGTCCGCCTCTTCTTAGTTGCTATGAGTGTGCAGTGTAGTGGCCATACAAGCCCATGTGGGCTGCTATCAGCTAGCTTCTATCCAAATGACTAATAAAACTTGTTGCTTTGTCAAAACTTTGGAGGGGCCATGGCCATACTTGGTGCCGTTCCACCTCTAGAAAGCATATAAACAAAGTACGGCACATTCAAGATGCATATGTTGAAAGCACATATCTATACGACCACCCATGTAGACAGTAGGAATAGTAAAATATGGACAGCAGTTACTCTTTAAAACCTTTCTATTTATGTGGCAAATAGTCAAAGGCAACTCCTGTAGTTTGTTGATATAAACCATGCTTGAATTCTCACATGCACTGCTACCTTCAACATCTGAAAGCAAAATAATTTGTACTTTAGCAAACAACAGGACAACATTGACTCACAATGTTGCAGACAACTTTAGATATAAAACATTCTTATATATACAAGCCCCAACACCCTCACTAAGAATTTTATAATGACAGTGTTCTAATGCAAGTTTTCCCTTGCCAGACATTAAAAGAGAATACCTAGTACTGAAATACTCACTTGTGTATGCACACATGGGTGTAATATGGAATATATTATCAGAAGGCCCCATTTAAGCTCCTTAAACAGCTTCTCAAGTCAATTTTCCTACTTCAATATATAGAAATGTCCCAACTCCATAGAGAACTTGATTCCATTAAATTTTTTGGCTTTCACTAGTTTATTTATGCCTACAAAGAGAATTTTATGTGATATGCACATGAAAGGGGCACTGTATGATATCACCGATTCTTCGTGAGGAGATATTCCATTCAATTGAGAGAACTTGCAAAAACTCCTTGTACAATTTCCATTTATCACAAGGTCATTCCCTATAAACCGATTTATACATACTAATAAATAAATAAACAAAAAAAGTAATCCTAAATATCTGAACCTTTGTCCATAACATCAAATGCACCTGGAGAATTGTAATCATTCTTTTGTCAGAGATACCAATATCAGGTTTAACAAGAACCAAAACAAGAAAATGGTGTTTGATACCACTTGATCAAGTCAAATTTGGTATGACACATGACAGACCTAAATTAGTAGACCTGGTTTTCATGCCATAGTGCTGCTAGTGCAGAACAAAAAGTCCTGACTCTCATTGTTGGGGAAAACATGAATTCTGATACTCACTTAGAATGGTGATCAGCCAACCGCATTTGCTTAGTTTAGGATAGATGTCTCTCTTCTTGTTAGAAACCAGATACAAAATACAGCCTCCAATGTTACTCCAAGCTAGCTTGACCTCTCGCGTAGCACCATCTATAGAGGACGCATCCAAGATGAAGCAATGGATTGAATACTGCGTCGCCACCTCTTTAAGAATACTAACCTATAACAAGCAGACTTGGTAGTTAAGGATAAAGTTTGGGTAAACTACTACAGCATTTTGCTTTCTTTTTATAATTTATTTAATGTGGTATCAAAAAGGGAATTTTTGTTGTTTTTACCAGCAAAAGCACAAATGAATTATAAAAACATTTAAAAGTGCTAATTTGAAAAGAAATGAGAATTATACTATACACAGCTAAATGAATCAGTAAAAACAGTAGAGTGCGATAGTCAAATTGGTAAGCGCTCTAATGAATATCTAACTATAGTGTTAGAAAATTGAAGGTTGTTAGGTAATGTAATTCTTTCTTTCATTAAGAAAAGAATAATGTGCAGGAAAATGAGAAGCTACCTTATGAGCTTCAAGACCTGGCCCATAAGAAATGCCCTGCAAAGAGAAGCCAATATATGTATATCAAAAGACGAACAATTTCCATTTTCCTTCCAACATAATTGAACTTTTCCTAGGGAAATGTAAGATGCCCAGCACATAAGAGAATTATTTTCGGATACATAGAAAAAGCGGAAGAAGAAGAAGCTAGCGAAGTGATGAGAAGAAACTGATGTGAAATGTTGAAGAATTAGGCAGAATTGGAACAAGAGAAAGTACAAGTAGAAGTAGTAGCGTACCGTAGGGATGTTGGAGTGGCGGAGCTTACGGAGCAAAAAGTGGGCGTCTGGTTGGAAGGAGGCACAATTGCTGCTGCTATGAGAAGAAGAAGAAGAAGAAGAATCGGGATGCTGGAGTTGTTGTGAGGCCAAAAGTACAGACTCGTCCAGTATCACTCCTCCTACAACACCACCCACTCCCGCCATCTCTCTCTCTCTCTCTTTCTCTCTCTCTCTCTCTCTCTCTCTAAATCTACTACTAATGGAAGAAGGAAGTAAGGAAATGCGGAGAAAGAAAGAGAAAGAGAAAGAATGTGATGCGGTGCGTGCGAGCGAGCGAGGGAATGGAACCAAAAGCGGAGTGCGTAAGCGTTTTCTGCTTTCTCCTGTCTTATTTTCAAATAAATTTATACTTATAAGAATTGGTTAGTTATGGAAATGGGGCCCAAATGCCCATTCCAATATGAAGGATCCGATCCTATCCGATCACATCATCTGCATTCTATTCTACTTGGCACACCGTCTGTTGCACTGCAACTGCAGTATGCCTCATTTGATCACCGCTTCTCGTCTCTCTGTCGTATCTTTAATGTACGTTCTTCTTCCTCCTGACCTGATGCCTCTTTTCTGTATCGCTTCTCTTTTCGTGTTTTTTATAAGAAAATTCTTGAGGGCTCGAAATTTGTTTCGTCTCCTTCCGGACACTCATTACTGTATATATAAAAAGAGAAATCGTTTTGGTAAATTGATTTCAAAAGGGTTTGGGTCGTTAGGACCATTAGACAAGTGGGTTGGGTCGGGTCCCTGGAACGCACCCTTCTGCTGGTTCTGGCCCATGTATATTCTCAAGAAATATCCAGTTGCGCTCTTCTCATATGCCTTGGCCATAGCCCACTTGCGCACTTGCCCATCATGGGATTTCATGAGAAGAACCAACCAACCAACCTCATCATTATTAATTGCAATTTGCAAAGGAAGAAGTAAAAAAGTGAAAACAATTTTAATTGCCATAATAATCATCAATAAAATATAAAATGCTTGCAAGTTGCCACAACAAAACTGTTACCACATCATCATTGATTACTGCCACCCTCACCCCAGAAGAGAATACAATACAAACAAACAATTTTATTCTCTGTAAATGGTTATTATTATTGTGCGCATGAAGATGGTAATGTATTATATGCAATGCAGCATCCGAAACCAGATGCCGTGAACATGATCAACCATGTTTGTTTGTTTTCCTGTAAAGAAAATGAAATAGATGCCAACATTTGTTCAATCATCAGAGTGCATTACTTTCATCAGCACTAGTTCAATTCATCAAGAGTCCATGAGGCGTTCCATAACCAAGTTGACTACTGCGGGAGCATCAACCGTCACTGCAACCTTCACCGTGGGTTTATCAGACCACTCCGTCACTTCACCAAACCTAACCAAAGCAAAAAAGAGATCACGACTCCATCAAAACTACATTATTATTGGAACTCGGGTGGGGTCTTCTAACAACACATGCAAATCTGCCATGAACTCAATATTTCCATTATCAACAGCGAACAAGCATTCCATTCCATGCGTGCAGAAGAATTCTAAAAGTTTTCATCTTTTGCCTTTTTGAATTCAAAAACTTCTTTTAAAGTACGGTACCCTCTGTGCTTTTTGACATCTCATCGTGGTAAAGAAGGGCCCCCTACCTTTTCTGTTTGTTGTACAAAATTGTGAGTCCTCTTGTGATGCCGTTTGTCTGTACTCTAACAACACCCTCTGTGTAAGTGATGAGTGAAGGATTAACAGCTGCAAGAAGTGCTGTGGGATCATGAAGGTAAACTCCTACACCAAGATTAAATCCACCATCAATATAATGTCTACAATCATTGTTATTCCACTGCTTTGAGTTGCATCAACACTTCAGTAAACTAACCTTTTGTGCTATAGGCATCACGATGGTAGGAGAAGTACACATCTAAAATTTTGCACAAGTACTGAGCAAATTTTCCATTTGACCTTGCCAACTTTTCCCGATCAGCATCTTCATGGGTCAGAATGAAAGTAAAATATCATGCAGAAAGTATGATGATTTATGTAATAATTACAATCAAGCATGAAGTTTTCATACAAGAATTTTATTTATCAACTGGCCATTTCAAACATACTGCTTTCATAAATGCCACAACAGTTTCCAGATAAATTACCGATTTGGCACCCAACGGGAGTCCAAAAATTGTATTTTAAGATTTCCTGATGAACTACAAAAGGAAGTAGATTGTGTGGAAGTTTTTGCATGAAGGCTAATTGAACTCCTAAAGCCTCTGTGACAAAAGTGTTCTCAAAGGTTACACTTTTCAGAAAACAGATCTTAGTATTAGTGTTATTTCATTTCAAAAATAGGTAAAAGAAACATAAAAACAAACATGGCTTCTTAAAGACATTGTCCAGCACCACCTATTATTTGGAATATGGCATGTTGAGTTCAGATAGTTTCTTTGATACTGCTACAAGAAACAGTACTATGAGAAATCTGTTTCTTGAGGAGGACAACATATAAGGATTGGTCCAATGATTCAAAAATTGAATAAAAACCTCAGAGGATATTAATGCAGATGGTCATGGCCCATGGGTAAGAAAAATAGGTTTTTCAGGATACAATTTATAGGACAATAAAAGAAGCAAAAAGTTTATTACATTTAGAAGACACGCAGAGTTAGGCTCTACAATCTACATTGACCAACTATAAAATAGAAACCATATTTTTTACTTGAATTTGTGGGATACTACTTTGAGATCACAAATATGGAGTATATGTATTATTAGAAGGCTTTTCTTTGATAAGTATGTATGTTTTTCACCAAACATCAGTAACAATGAAAATTTCCCAATATAGTACCTGTCAATACAACTTGATGGGTAACATTTATCCCCACACCCAAAATATCTGCTCCACTTGTAAATACTATATCTGCAGCATCTGGATCCCCAAATATCTGTTCACGGATTGCATCCAAGGACATTATTATCAACATCTATTTAAGTAGATCTTGAAGATATTGCCATAGAAACTTCCAAAGCTTAAGTTCAGGTGGGAGATGAATAAGCCCAATCAAAATATCAGTCTGGCTGATATACAATAGAAAAATGAAAAGGTTGTAGCTGATTTGGAACTAATGGTATTCCACAATAACAAATAAACCCAATAAGTAGGCAGGAACTGGATAGATAATAAATTGAATTCAAAGCGAGTTACATGCATAAACTCGAGCTGAAGTCTTGAAAATTTTGAATCTGAAAAGTGTGTGTAAATATATGTATATAGTTTAAGCAGCTTACGTTGGCCTCTGCTGCTGGATTCACATTCCCATTGACTGCAAAAGCACCACCAAGAAGAACAATCTGCCCAATGTTCTTTGCAAATGCAGGTTCTAGTTGAGTAGCCTGTATCAACGGATACTCTGTTACAAAAGATTAAGAATAATTGTCACAATACAAAAGCATGCAATGCATCAAGAATCTGACCAGTGCAATATTTGTAAGTGGGCCCAATGCTACCACAGTGATTTTTCCAGGGTAAAGGTTTGCTTGTTCAACCAGAAAAGCTGCTGCTGACTGTTCAATTGGCTTTCCTTTTGGTGGGGGGAAATTTTGGTTGCCAAGTCCATCCGCACCATGAACAAAATCAGCAATACGAAGTTTTGTACCTTTCTTTTCATGGAAAAGATGAAATGATTGATGAGTTATGGATTTTAATCATACATCAGCTTGTCTATAAGCAAGAACATAGTAAGGCTTGATAATTGAGGTTCAGTTGGTAAGTGATTTTAATGCAAGAAATAAAGCTGAAAAACAGCTGCCAAAGGAAATGGATAGGAAGTTTCTTACTAAATCTGCAAACAGCGATCTCAGGTTATCCCTTCATTCATTTACACAATGTGCATAAATGATACATATACAGGTAGATTACCATCAAGAAACTAACCACATGTCAGTAGGGTAGCACTACGCCATGTGTGTGCGTAACAATATTTTAGTCAATATATAAGAAAAATATTTCAAATTGGTTTATAGATGCATTTCCAATTGGCTTCCTACATATAATTTCTTATGAAAGGACATGTCAGACTTTCTAACTGCTAAATATCGTTGTTTGTTAAAAACCATAAAAATATAAATAAATAAAAACAGACGAGTTAACTAATTTATAATCACCATTCAGTGCTGGTTTTAACTTTTATCACACAGGAGCACATTAAAAATGAAGACACTAGACAAAGAAAAAAAGAGCTCGGGGCACAGAACAATAGGAGGAAGACAAGAAGAAAATCTCTGGTAGAAGTTATGAAAGTGACGGAACATATATACAAACTTGAAGAACCACTAATAGATTAATTTATTAATAAGTGAAGAAACCCAAATAGGATGAGAACTTACAGTTATTGTGACATGAGATCCTTCAGCCACGGGAATATCAGTTCTCCCTGCAACCTCCAACTAAACCAAATACAAAAACAAAGAGACAGGGAATAATTATTTTTTAATGAGCAACGAAAACAGTGAATGAAATGCCTAATCCAATGCTAGAATATACAAGGAAAAGGAGATGAAGGTCAACATATAGTACGCGGAACAAGACACAAAAGGGCAATAAGTGTACCAAATGCAAGGCATTTCTTGTGGCCAGAGTCGTATAAACGTTTCCATATATGGTAGTAAGTCCAATCACTTCCACCTCCGGGGATTGTAATGCCACAAAGATGGCCATGGCATCATCTGCATGCATAACGCAACTGTATTACTAAAAACATAAAACACAAAAGCAGAATCCTCCATTTGGTTGCCAATAATGTAAAATTGCACAGGAAAATGCATGGCCTGAAGCAGAAATGGACGACTCTGCAGCAGCATTGGGTTCCTGAGTCCCAAGTGATTATGAAGAAAAGTCCTAGATTTATCAGAATCTTGATCTTCTTAAGTTGTTGTTTTAAGAAAAGAAAAGAAGTGAAATTGGTGGCATTGGCATCCCAACTTGAAAATTTCCCAGGGATGGATCATGGATGCCCTAGGCCTATTCAATACCCGGATTGATATTAGTTCAATCGCAAGCAAATTGGAAAGGTATTGTTGGTGGTGACCAAAGTGGAGATAGCCAAATTTGGCTCCTTTACTGAAATTAAAAAGAATTCCAGATGCTGATTAATTAATTAATTAGTGGGCAAGGGGCCACGGCAATCCATGAAAGCTTGAAGCTTGAATTAATTTATAGATGTTGGTAATAAAGGTCCAGAATTGGAATAGTGTTGGAAGAAAGATGAGATTATTATGAGATAGGATTTGTAAGAAAGTGAAAATGTGAAGGAATTATTACCGATGCCAGGGTCGGTGTCAATGATGATCTTCTTGGGTTCAGTCACTGCCATTGTCGACGACTGTCAAACAGTCAAAAGGAAAAAAAGACTTAACTACTTATTAAGGACGCTCGCTCGCTGCTACTGCCTCTGCCTCTGGCCTGGCCCGCTGATGAAGATGAAGATGCAGATGATGACTGTTTGATTGATTGATTATATGTACCAGAAAAGAAACTGTGAGTTGGAAAAAAAAGAAAAAGAAACTGTGAGTGTGAGAAAAAGTTATTATTATTCTAAACTCCCGCACTGCTGCAGTTGGTCCCCTCCTAAAATGAAAAGCTAAAACAAACAAACAAACAAACCGCACAAAAGCTGACGCTGATCCCATATGCTTGTTTTGCTAGCTATTAACGGCTATGAGGGACCACGGCCCCACTTGAGAACTGATGGCATTTCAGAAAATATATCTGAAAATAATGGGTATCTTGATAAAACAATGATGATCTTCCCCCCTTACCCTCTCTCCCTCCGTTAGATTTTGAAAATCATTTCCTTTCCAGATCTGCTGTTTCCCTTGCTTAACACTCACTCATACACACGCAGAGTGAGGCCTTCATACGCTATGAACCGATCGTTGTCGTCAAAACTCGCCAAGAAACCCTCTCCGGCTCCGTCTGCGGCACCGGCGACGGCGAACAAGAAGAAGAAGAAAAAGGAGCAGAGCCCTCGAAATCCATTACAGGATCTCAATACCAGCAGCATCATTAGCAATAGCAACAATGGCAGCGAGGCTTCTTCTTCTATCTCTGTCGAAGCCCCTCGAGGTTGCCTCAGGTTCTTTCTCTCTCATTCTTCTTCTTCTTCTAATTCAAAAACTCCTATTTGTAGGCCTAAAATACTGCCCAAAACCCCTAAATCGGCTCCTGTTGTGAAGCCTTCAAGGCCATCAAAATCTAAGGACAACCGGTCCAAATGCAATGCTTTGGAAAACCCAGAGAAACTCACATCCCGGAATGCGCACAAATTTAAGAATAATTCTTCTTGTTTGTACCAGTGGCAGTCTGGGAACAAACCCAGTTCTAGAAATGGACAAAAGATGAAAACTTGCTCAGTTTTAAACTCAAATGGAAATTCCCGGAGTAAGTTCGAATCTGGGTCTGTGGTGGAAGATATTGTCAAGGTGGTTGGTAATGCCGGTCAGCCCACTGAGCTCAAATCATGTGGTATTGATGAAAATTTTACACCTTTGAGTAAGATAGTGATAGGGTTGGGTTTGGACTCCAAAACTGTTAAGGATGAGGATTTGCAACAGAATTCTAGCAAAAGTGATAATAGAACTCCACCAGTTCAGGCCTCTGTATCTCCAGAGATACAATGTGGATCGTCTGCGGTGTCAACAGCCACACGTGCTTGTTATGCTACTGGCCATGTTCTTTCTGGGATCACTGACAAGAGGAAGTGCAGACCTAGAGGAATTCTCAACGTAGAAGAGAATGATTCAGGTTTCAGTAAAGGGAAGGCTTTAGGCAGTTTTGAGGATGATGATGACGATGGTGATGATGATGAAACTGGAAAAGGAGTTTTTGGCAATCTTGATGCTTCTATGGTTCCTTTACCTACTGAAGCTTCAATGCATTGGCTGTTATCACCGTGTAATGAGGAGGATGAGGATCACAAGGAGCATTCTGAAAATAGTTTTCAGAATTCTGTAGAGTCTGTCAATCTTTATTCTCCATTTTCAACCTCAGGTCATCATGGATTTTCTTTAGATGTATGCAACAATACTAATGTGGGAAGTAGTACTAACTGTAGCCGGAGGAGTACTTCAATTTCTCCAAGCTATCAAGAAGTGTTAGAGCCCTTAAATACGGATCCTGTTTTATCGTCTCCCCCTTGCACACCTGGTTGCGAGGCTCTAACCTTGAAAGACGAAAGAAAATACCATTATGATTATGGCTGCGATACTTCTCCATTCTCTATGGTTTCACTGGGCAGTGAAAATGTTATTCGTACTCCTCAATCACACTCAAGTATGGACAATCAAAGGAAACACTACTTTGATTCTGAACTCAGTTCAGTGGCTGAAGCTATTCGGATGGCAAGCTTGTCCCCAAACAGTAATGTATTAATTGAGGATCAGATTGATTCAAGTTTCCAGTTTGACTGTCTAACTACAACTTGCAATTCAATCAGTCGATTTCAGAAAGTTTTGGACGATCGGGCTTCCTGGCCTTCCAACTCTACACCAGAAAATGTGTCACAATCTGAGATGAGGATATCATGGAGAGAAGGGTTAGTGAGTCGTATCTACGATATGGATGAATATGATTGCTGCAGATGTTTGTCAGACGAAGAGGAAGATATCAATGGCTACAGCAGTGATCGCTTAAAAAAAACTCGTCAGAGTCCTGAACTCAATATCAATGTTGGAAAAGATAAGATTTTAAGTTATAATTCTCGGTCTGGTGAACTGTTGGATGATGAAGCAGGAGCGGGGAAAGTTGAAGAAGGCTTTCCTTCTCAGTCATCTTGCCTGTGTGCTGAGTCCATAAGCACTGATGGAGGTGGCCTGCTTGCTTCAGGCGATTCAGATTGGACTCTGTGCTACAAGAACGAGTTGTTCCATGTATAACTAGTTAGTCTTGCAATCATATTAGAGCAAGTCTGGCAATCCTTGATCCAAAGTGGTTTTTTTTTACCAGGTTAAAGGACCACTGTTGTATCCTATTCTTTCCATAGTTTAGTTTCAGTTGTGTATCATATAAATTCCCATTCAATTGAAATATTTTACATGAAATGCATGTGTAAGGTTTTTTAGGAAACTTAAGAATTGTTACATAAACTCTTCAGCAGTCGGTCAAGGATGGGAACAAGGAACTTCTATCTCCCTTGTCATGTGAACGAATTTACCCACATCATTATTCATTTGGCAGTAATAAGATGTAGGTGAGCATGGATTGGATACCTCAAATGCGGATTGAAAGTGATTGTAACTGGTGAAAATGCCATAATACCAGTATGAGGAAGCCGTTGACTTGTGATATGGGGTTCCAGTCATAAATTTGATTCTGCCCCTTGGTTGGTACCCTGAACCGGTAGGCATTAGAGGGAACTTCTTGTAAGTTAACCTACCCCTAGAATGTTAGATGAAAACTCTGTTTAGAATAACATATCGCAAATTGGAAGAATATATAAATAAGTGCAGATTGGACATTTTATAGATCATTAGTTGGGAATAGATTAGTTAATGCCATGAACAAAATTAAATGTGAAAAATGAAAGAAAAGAACAAAAGTAGACACCTAATATTAATAAGAGCCTGGATGGTCAAATTCCCTTTTTCTAAAGTGGAAAAAGAAAAGGGTAACTTGAACAACGATGTTAATGTATTTAGGAAGAGACGAACTAACTAATAATCTTCCTACTAGTATGCATTATTTTTTTTGGTTACATAGGGAGTTTCGAACCCGGGTGCCAGTTGGGGGGAAAGATGCTGCCAAACCACCGCAGCTAAACTCCATTGGCCTAGTAGTATGCATTTTGTAGCTCATAGTTTTGTATATTAATGAATTGAAGCTCATAGAAATTTTCCAAGGGGATTAGGTGAACGAGGAGGCCAAGAGAAGGGACACCAATTTGTCAAATATTCATTCCACCAACCATGCATTGTCGACTCTGTTCAGCTGCTTCACTCAACATTAATTTAAGACGTACGGCTGCTGCTGCTGCCTGCTAGATTTGGTATATGGTATATACTATATGCGAAGGATGATTAATTTTGACCTAGGCTAGAATTAATCGAACTTATTAATTATTATGATCATTACATAAACAGGTGAAGTGATTAGAGTAGAGGAAATGTCACATGTGCATGGATGGACAGTAATAGTATAGTGGACTAGCTCAGCTAGAAAGTTGAAAAGCTGGTGTGTGTGTGTGTGACTGAGTTTTTAAGTTTGTGTCTCTTTCCTGCAGTTGCTGATAGATTTTGATAAGGATCCATCGAGAGAAGAAATCTAACTGGCGATCACTGGCAAAGGTCGGAGGAACTGGGCAAGTAGATGAGCTTTGAATTTTAATTTGACATGGCCATGGGCCAAATGTCAAATGTCATATGCCAAATGGTTGGACAAACCTTAGCAAAGCTTGACCAAGTAAGCAAAAACCAGATATGCTTCTTAATTGCAATTCTTTATTTCATTTGTACTTAGATAAAACCCAAAAATAAACAAGAAGATGAAGACGATGACGAAGCGTGCGTAATGTGTTTCTTATTTAATCGAATTTCAAGATTGATTTTGCATATGCTGAGTCACACTATGAGACTTTGAATTGAATTGGATTGGATGATATTATTAGTTGGCTGGGTGGAGGTAGGGGGCGGCATTTGATTAGTTTCCCTGTTAGTTAAAGTCAAAAATAAAAATGGCGTATTGGACTTGCATTCCATTCCAATGGTGTGTGTGTTGATGTCCCTTGTTAGTACAAGAAAAGAATATAATATGAATATATATATATATATATAATTTGATGATGCAGTTGAATGATGGCTGATGAAATGATGCATGTCAAAAACTAACCAAATGACCAATAAGGACCAAACCAACCAACAAGTAGAACAAAAAGGCTGGGTGGCTGGCAAGGGGAGACTTTCATTTATAATAGAATAGTAGAATAACTTTTTCTTCCTTGTTCAATATATATATTTATGTATATATTGCAAATTCTTGCTGCTCTGCTTCATCATTAATTAAGATCAATCAATGGAAGGTCTGATTCCAATGGTGTACAAGGCAATGAAGAGGAACAGAACTCGCCGCCAATACAGCAGCCTCTCATCATCATTATCATCATCAGCATCAGCAGCTCAAACTAATTACAACATCGCCGACTTCCACATTGATCCTAATCAAACTAATTACGTCTATGTGCCACCACCTCCTCCTGCTGCTGCTTCAACTCCTCATGATCATCATCGTCGTCTAAGTCTCGACACCATATTTAATGTAAACAACAATGGTGGCTTTTCTACAGTATCTGCCCCCGTGGAGCACAAGTCATCATCGTCCACAAACAACATAATCAATGGTCAAGTAATTCAACACCGACGACACAAATCTGTTTCTGTTTCTGTTTCTGCTCCTCCAAAGCAACTTGTCCGGTTTCGGAGCCATCGAAGAATCTTCTCATGCATGACTTGTGGTGTGGTGCCTAGCTAAGAGCTGATTACCAACGCATACCACCTGCCTGCACTACAATTAGTAGATAATATTTTGATTATCTAGCTTAGTTAACTTAATGTTGTAATTAATACCTCTGCACTCTGTTCCTCCATTGCCTCTGTTTCTCTGCTTTCATAATTTCTCCATCTGCCAAATGCAAATCTATAAGAAATGTTGTGATGCTGGCCTCAGGCCTGCCTGCCTCCAATAATGAATCGGATACCAAGCTTAATTAGGATTTTGTATTTTATTTCTAACTTTGTAGGATGATTATCTGTTAAAGGTGGACCTTACATATGGTAAGGTAGACAGCTGATCGCCTGGTCGGTCATCAATTATGAATTATGATGATGGAACATTAATCCATCCATACAAATTAAACTCGTTTCATATGACTCTAGAAACTGGAAATTGGCAAACTTTGGTCAGTCAATGGTCGAATGCAGATATGGTACTGAATATCACAGGCTTTGTTGTTGAGAGAAGTACAAACAAAAACAAGGAGTTTTGGAATTATGTATTAATCCTTCTATTCTATTGGAAGGAAAAAGAAAAAGAAAAACAGAAAAAAAGCAGCAGGAATGTATATAAGAAGAAAGAAATGAATTGATTCATCCAAAACTTAAACAAACTCTGAGACTGAGAGAAGGAGCTAGTCTCATTTCACGCCTGTAATGTAAGACCAGCAGCAAATGAGATGATGGCGAGACAGACAGACAGACAGAGAGACAGAGATCTGAGATTGCATTGCAAGAATATAGATATATCATGAATGTGTTTGTTGATGGTCATCTAATCATAATGTCATATATTAATTGTACAAAAATATTGAAGCAGAATAAGTAGATGACCATAAACAAACATATTCACTGCTGCAAGCCTGCAACTATACACTTCGTCCCTCAACTTTGAGCTTTCAGTGGATTCAAGTTCTACTTCTCAACTGATATATTATCTGAGGCTGGTTGGAGTCAGATACCATACCCCCGGTATCGTACACGAATTATTATTATGTTATATATATGAAAAGGAATATGCCCAGTATCATTCCCCTCCCTTACAGGAGAATATACTTGAGAATAAACTTGTCCTACTGGTTGGTAGGAATGGGAGTTGGAGGATGGAATACACATTCATAATCATCAACTGATTATCAAAACTTGGATTGATTAAAGGAGGCAAGGCAATGATATTACATTGTCATTCCAAGATATATCTTTTTTTCCTTCAATAAACTTGGGGATTGCTAAATGAATCAAATAGAAGACTAAAATGACACAAGCACCAAAATTATAAGTGTGGTATATAATATGTCAAAAAGACAAGATGTAAGACTCTACAAAAATAAATAAATAAATTAGCCAAACTAATCTTTACGCACTTGTCCGATATTTTTATTTTTTTAGTTTCATTTTGTTAGAGGAGGGGGTGCTATTAGAAATTGCATTTGTAAAGTGAGACAAAAAGAAAATAAAAGTAGTGTAGAATGACTACTTTTAAAGTCTTACTTTACACGGTCAATTACATGATACGTATATATAGAACAATTACTATTATAAATTATGTATGTATCATAAAAAGATAAGTATCATGTTGTTTTTAACAAATGCAAAGTTCAGCCCTATTTACATCGTATCTGACCAAACAATCAGAAGACCTCACGTGGAAAGAAGGGATCCAAGAAGATGACGCACTAAAAAGCTACGGTCGACTGCGTCTTACATGAGCACCATCGGCAAGAAGAGCCCTCGGCACCCATGATTGCCGATTGAGGCAAAAGACTCATTCCATTTAAGTATTTCTCACAAGTACACGTGGAGCCTCCTCAAACAATATCCACAATCTCACATCGAAGTTTCACTCAAGATGCACGCCTCTCAAAGTCTATAAAAAAAAAGGGCACAAGTCCTAAAAAGGAGGTAACTGCGACATACGGCAATCCTGCCATTACTCTGTCCATATTACTATTTTCTCCATACTTATCCTAAATTAAGCATTGGAGAGCCTTCGGCCGGTACCAAAGGGCTTACCGAGCACTTGTCTTGCAGATGCTCTACCGAAGCTCATGTTAGACCGAAACCGACAACATCACTAAGTTGGGCCCAAAAGTGTCAAACCATTTTTGAGCATCAACAAGCCCAAATACGACTAACAGAACATCAAAGCACTCTTACAAAAGGGCAGTCGCAGGGGTGCGGAAGTCTAATAGGCCGATCATAGGAAAGCATCGTATGCGTGTGTATGTCCGAACACTGTACTTTCTTGGACAGTAAAATGTCAAACAATGTTAACAGGTTAATTTATGTCATTAAATTATTGAGCCTGCCATGAGAATGAGAATGAGACTGATCAGCCGGCCGCCCCATTTGCCCAATATATATATTCACTAATGGGGATGGGAAAAGAAAGAAAAGAATCTACTGTGAAGATATATAATTTCATTTGTGCCCAACCTTCCTTCTTTTGGAGAAAATCAGGGTGCAAACAAAACTTTGTGTCCAGTTTTCACAACGACCACTAAGAAAAAAGGCCAACCTATCACCAGCTATTGTCTTGACAACATAAGGAATCCGCAAGTTAAATTCCATTAATCATATTAATACAAAGGGATCTGATAACATCAAGAACAAGAAAGCGTATATAACCATGTCAATCTCTTCTAAGGAATTACCAACAATTCTTTATCTATAGAAAGATAGAGAGTGAGAGAAAGGGAGGCAAGTAACACAAGTTACAAGCCTACAAGCCTACAAGCATGGGCATGGATAGGCATTGGCATTGCCTTTCTCTCTGCCTGCTTCTCGTCCTCGTAATACCTAATGCCTATGCAGCAAATGATGCCCCAGATTTGAAGAGTAAGCGGCTTTGCAGCCAGTGCTCCAAATGTGATTCAAGTAAATGCCCTGCAAGTGAAGCCTACCCCCCATATGACAGCATTTGATGGCACTCTTATTGCTGGTGCTTTACAGTCCGACTATGTGGACTTGAATGACAAAGGAATTTACTCAGTGCCAGATATCAAAGGTGGCCAATCAGCAAAATTAAATGCTTATTTTGGCTGGAAATCTACTTCTGGTTCAGCTTCTGGTTATCACAGGTGAGTGATCCTATTTTTGCGCTTAATGTGTTCTCTGAAACTAAGGCCAAAAAAAAATTGAACAAAAGAAGAGCATGGGATTATAATATATAGACAAACGATTACCTAATGCCTCAAGGAGGCTCTCAACCTGGTAGCACTTTCTTTTCTCTGTATATTCCCCATACCTAATGAAAGTGATTTGATCTCAGGCTGTAATACTATACCAAACGACTTTAATATCAAACTAGATAGATGACACTCCATTGTGACTGAAAAGTCCATTAAGCATATGCTCTTTTTCATTGTGTGCTCCCCAGGTTTAGCAACTACATGGACAAATGTTCAGATGGACAAACTTACCTCACTGTGGACAAGCATGGCAAGGTTAGCCTTCGGTTGTTGAGCTCGCTAAAAAACTTGGCAGAGGCTGACTGGAAATCATTTAATCCACCCAAGAAACTAAATCACCGCGAGTTCCGCTTCTGGGTCTCTCACAGTACAGGAAAATGCCTCACTGTGTTTGGAGGCAACACAAAGAAACGAACTGTAGGTGTGGCCGAGTGCAAGTTTGATGGCTCAAACCCGTACCAGCTGTTTGCCTTCCGCTTTCATTACCACAAAGCCTTCTGTTGTTGCGGTGTTCACAATGAGTGATGAATTATGTTTTAAAAGAGTCTAAACTCAAAGCTCCCACAATTCAAAATAATATGGTACATATGTGTGTGTCTGTGCAATTGCTATACTCATAGCAAAACTACATCATTTCCATCACAGGGTATTAGGGTCCAAACCCTTAAATTCGTGGTGTATGACTAAATATGAATTTGTAACATGTGAGATATATTGACACACAATGCTATTTCCTGTAATAAAATATTAAAGAAGTTCCAAACTATGTGGCTTAGCCTTAATAACTGTTAGGAGGAAGAATTTACCAACAACCCTGGAATATTACAGTTTAGCACCAACCCCATGCAAAGTACAAACTATTCATCACAATATCATGGTTGGACATTGGCAGAGACATATGGAATCGGTTCCTGCCTATCTCCAATGCCATTCAAGCAAGGTGGTCTGGCCGCTCCATAGTAAAAGAAGGCCATCACTTTTGACAACTCATCTCCACTTCGAATTGCTGAACAGATTAAAAAAAAGGAGCTGAAAACATGCTGCAAATCAGAGGCAAGAATCAGATGCACATTCTCTAAATAAAAATTACCTTTCTCACGATATAAAATCTTCCCAGCCTTAGTGAAGATGATCTCGGGGAAGACAGACACTTTGAGAGCAGATACCAAATCATGCTCAGTAACAGCATCAACTGCAATACACTGTTAAATACGAAAAACAAATATTAGCAATAATGACCAATAAAGGGGGAAAAGGTACTAAAGAAAGCATACGGTAGGCTGTAGCCTTACTCTTGGTGAAGGTAGCTTGCAGTTCCATATGATGTGTACAGCCTTCTCCAGTTCATTCCGAATCTTTTCATTTTCTTTTGGTCTGAAGAAGGAAAATTTTCTAATATGATATAACAATTTTCTCATAGCAAATATAACATAAATACAGTGTCATGAAAGAGTTCCAAATTGGGCAGTGTCCAGGATTGGAACTGTCAGATGATATCAACAACCATTGGTTGGTTGGAGGCCTCTTTGAATATCCTAACTTCGTAATAAAGAACTATAATTTGGAAACAAGGTGCTGAAATCATAAATGTTAACAAGGATAAGGTAACATAGCAAGAAATAAATAAAAAAGAAGAAAAAAAAGGAAAAGCATACCTTTTATAGCGATTATGTACAAGAATGATTAAAGGGCTGATGTCCTTGAAAACAGTCTCTTCCCATTCTGCAGTTACTACATCTTTAATGGGACGAATGTAATTATCATCCTGCCACACTATTTCATTGTCGCTATCATCATTATCATTGTCATCCTTTCTTGCCGTATTATTCTTGATAGTAATCTTGTCAAAGAATTGATCCAACTTGAAACCCCGCCCATCCGCGTCGTCAGGCCATTCAGGATCATCCTCCTCCACAACAAGAGGATAATTGGCCAGAAGTTGTTGCACCTTCTTCGTCCTTTCAATAGGGTCTAACTCCTCTTCAACATCAGGGTTGGTATCTAAAACTTGTCTAATTTTGTTTCTCCACTCGCGTCTCTCTTCAGAACCCATCAAATAGGGATCATCTTTGTCACCTAAACAAGGTTCGTCCTCCTCATCAGAGTCATTAAACGGTTTAAAACGGCTCTCCCTTTTCTTCATCGGAGCCGACCTTCTCAACAGTTTTAGAAGCATACAATCTAGTTACTTTGGAGCTACCACCACCATGTGTTGGTACACTGGTGTTCTTCATCCATATTCTGTTTTCATTAGCTCGAATGTCTTGAGACTGAGGACCTAAAGAAGCTAATGAAAGGGGTACTATGAATTTGTTCTGTTCTGGTGATGAGAAGAGATATGGAAGCCTCAGGGTATGTTGTAGAGCCATTTCAACACACAATCAGTTGCAGATATCTGAAAAAGCAAACAATTGGTAACTAGTAATGTAATGGTTCACAGTAAATGGCAGCTAGAGAATCAAAATGCATATACTTATACGGCAGACAAAACACAAGTTTAATTCATTCAGAGAGTTCTCTCTTCTGTCCTCAGTCAGTCGTCTCCATTACAATTCATATGGTACATATCCAATCCAATTCATTCCATCTCTGTAAGAACGGGAATTGAAGAAGAAAAATAACAAGAAAAAGCTGACTAACCTGGTAAGTATATGATGATGTTCCTTCGTCTTCTTTCTTTCCTATTTTGACACAGATGAGATGAGCTTGGCATCAAAAACCAAACCCCAGCCCAGCAGCAACTAAGAGCCTAAAACCCCATATGCCAAAGCAGTGTCCGCAAAGATAAGGTAACGTGGATGGTTACTGTTAACCAAAGGGAAAAAAAGCTCCGTCGGAAAAGCGAGCAGTGAAGATGGATGTTTAAAATAAAATAGCCCGTGAGATAAGCTGCAACTTTATTTGGGCCTCCACTTTCGACTTTTCCGCCAGTTTGGGTTTAGGCCCTCTTCCTACTTGTTTTTTATTCCTGCCGCCACTTTAGGCCTCCACATTTTTCTCACCAACTTAATTCGAGAGTAGACCATCACCATTCTTAAAGGGGAAATTCTATATGAACCCCATAAATTACTCTTTACACCCCATAATTTTTTACACCCTATTAAATTTTAATAAAATTTCAAATTACTCATTAAACCCTTTTTTTTCTCCCTAAATTGCCCTCATAAACCCCATTCCCTAACCACCCACCGAAAACCCCCTTCCCTTTCAGCCACACCCCATCTGAAATCAAATCCCACCCCATCTGATATCCAGCCACACCCCACTGAAAATTCTCTCCTCTTGCAGACACACCCCATCCCATTTACACCAACCTCCATCGCAGAACCATCGAAGAAGCCCTTTGCCATCGCCTCCATCGCAGAACATCGAAGAACTCATCCTTTTGCCATCGCAGATCTTTGCTCACCATCGAAGAAGCCCTTTGCCATCGCCTCCAGCAAACCCGAACCATTTCTGAAACAGAACCATCATACCCATCTCCATCTATGTAAACCCGAAAGCCATTGAAGGTCAAGTTCTCACAAATCCTTATTCAAGGTTTGATTTCAAATTTGATTTATATATTTACGTTTCTAAGTGTTGATTAAGCCTACATTTGATTTCACTTTTGAAAAGCCAAAGTCTGATATTGATTTTGATTTTGATTTCAAGGTTCTGGGTAGTTCGAACCTGGTTTTACAAAAATGGATTCTAGTTTCGGTGGATTGCCACCGAAATGATTACATTGCTTCAATGGTAGTCCACCGAATTAACCCTGTACTTTCGGTGGGTTACCACCGAAATTGTTACCTTGTTTCAGTGGTAATCCACCGAATCTGTTTCTATTTTTCAGGGGACTCCCACCGAATTTCTTTCGGTTTTTTAGTGGTACTCCACCGAATATATATTCTTTTTTCAGTGATTGTCCACTGAATTTATTTCCGTTTTTCAGTGATTATGTACCGAATACGTTACTGAGTGTGTATTTAATATTGTTTATTTTTAGATATGAAGAGGATTCGCAGGGGTACTACTGAAGTTTCATCATGCTGACCTAATAGACAGCGTCCCACGGCCTCAGCGAGGAGACAGAGAGCGGCTCCCCAAGATCACATTGAGGATACTATATAGGTTGAAGATGTAGTTCCTACTGATTATAGTAATGTTGACGCAGAGGTTGAAAATGTAGCTACTACTCAAGATAGTAATGTTGAGGTACATGCCGAGCTTACTGAGCCATCTCGAGTAGGTCTCATTGATCCATCTTTACTTACGAGTTTTAAAACTCACATAGTAGCTGCAATTTGGAATAACCAGGTAAGTCGTTTTACTGTGACAATAAAAGGTAGAATATAGGTTTGGTAACTCAACTTGTTAATTTATTTTTTTTTTTTTTTTTTTTTTTTTTTTTTTAAAACTAGGAACGTGAGCCCCTTAGGTGCATGTCGAAAACATCTACCATTCGGGAGTGGAATTGGTGGGGTAATCCAAATAATGGTATATTCAAAGGGTACATTCAGAGGTCTGGATTAGAGCACCTTATTAGGTGTTCTTATCGGAATACTGATAAGATTGTGGTATCTACATTTGTTGAGAGGTGGCATCCCGAAACGAACACCTTTCACATGCCTTTTGGTGAGATGACCATCACATTGGATGATGTGTCATCTATTTTAGGCATTCATATGCCTGGTACACGAGGTCTCCTCTTGCCCTCACCTCCATAATCAGACCTTTTAATTACAATGACAATATTATTCAATTTTCCTTGTTCACGAGCCCATCGAAGTAATGCATCTCTACCATTGAATATCTACACATAAAACTCATATTATTTAAATATAAAATTTGAAACATTAATGCCACGTTAATGATACTAAAAAGGATTTCAGACAAATAATTACCGAATAAGTTGTGAATTGATCACTATAGTCCATTACACATTTTGTTCCCACATTGTTGCCTTCAGTAGGGGTGTCACCTTGATTTTGTTCCTTCAATGGGAGTAAGATCAAAATAACTTGGATTAAATTTGTGGCAATAAGTTACTGAAAAAATAAATAAATTTCGGTTGGATGCCACTGAAATGCGGGTAAAAGTTCGGTAGTACACCACTAAACTACGTTCCATCTTACAGTGGATCCCCACCGAATATTAAGTTTCTCACCGGTGAAATCCAACCGAAAACGGTACAACGTTTCGGTGGCATCCCACCGAAATTATCTGTCGCGTTCGGTATTGATGTGCTGAACACAACCAGCGACTGTTATGAAATAATAAACTTGCAAAACGCCAAAAAATAAACTCGTACCTCATTCGAAGTGTCTCTAACTTCAATCTCACCCTTCATGAATAAATACAATATATTTTTTCACCAGTATAAACTTATAAATCTTTGGTTTAGGGTTTAGGAACATGATAGTTTGAGAAAAAAGTCAAACTAGGGTTGCAGGAATATATGTGGGGTGTAGTGAGCAATTTTAATTTTAATTTTAATTTTTTTTGTCCTTAACGGTAATTGTGTACAATGGTAAAATAGGTTATTTATATTTAAAATTAGTATGGGGTGTAAAGAGCAATTAATGGGGTGCCAATAAAATCACCCTTCTTAAAGCATAACATATGTCTTAGAGGATAGAACTCTCTAAATCACCTTCTTAGACAACTTTTAGAGATGAATTGGAAAAATACAACTTCAACCATGCTCTCTATCTACTTCCTAAAATAGGGAGACCTCGAGAAGTTCCTAAATATGATGAGAGAAAAATGACTCTTAGTGGCTCCCTATAATTTAATACTGCTTTGTTTTATGCATAGTTTAAACTTTTAATTAATACTAACTTTTTTTTATTTATTTATAGAAATGGACCAATCATATTTAATTAAAAAATAATTTTAGTATTTATGACTCTCTAAACTAGAGAGTATAATTGAAGTTCAAATTTTATAGAGCGTGCCTAAAATAACTTGTGTGTTTTTAGTCAAATTTTAACTAACCATAGTTAACCTTCACCTTAGCATTTATAAGAATCAATCATTAGAACAAAAAAGAAAGAATCAATAAAGTTTTTATTATAATTTTAAGAGTAGTGCTATTGGTATCATATTGCTAATTTAAGTGCTTTTAATCACTTAAACTACAAGCCCTTTATAATTTTTTTATGAATAATGCTACTCTTACCACATTTGTATACCACATTCTCATACCACCTTATGTGGCAGATAAGGTGGATAACACATCACTTAAAATTAATTTAAAGTTTTCTTATCTTTTATGATTTATTGACACTTTTTAATTGATGTGATTATCCATTTCATTTGCCACATAAGGTGGTATGAAAATGTGGGATATAAATGTGGTAAGTGTAGCATTACTCTTTTTTTATTAATCTGACAACTAAATTGATGATGCCATTGTCTTTGGGTCCTTGCACGAATCATACCACATTTTTTTTCTCTGTCCCATCTTTACCATTTTATATTGATTTAATTCTTATCGTCTCCCTCTTTGTCTCTATGAAACAATGGGGAGACGTCCTATTATGTTCTTGACTAGGGGTGACAGCGAACATGCGACAAAGCCTTCTATACCCTTCGCCAAACTCACGCAACCTCATTAGTCATTACGATGCATTCGCCATGAAAACGATCTGTCACAGCCTACCCTAAAATGCAAAGAAAGAAAGGCATTATGCATATCAACAACTAGGAAACCAGGCAAACAACACAAAAGTAAAAAGCCAAAAATGCAACGTTCTACATAAATAACTAGATCAACAAGCCAATACAAGCAGCAAGTTTTAAGACGTTATAGGTGAATCCAACATCTCAGTATCATGGGTAAGTAGAGATGGAAGGAGCCAAGTAAAGAATCCATCATTAGCCTCTCCCTTCAATCTCTGCAATGAGTACTCCACCAGCAAATTCCAGAGATCACCAACTGTCCATTCATGTGACAGTATCCATTGAGTTACCTACTTCAGACAAAGTGAAAAAATTAATAAAAAGAAAAAAGAAAAAAACTATACAAAGGAATAAAGGCTTAGCATGAGTTGGGTGTGGAGCCAATGAAAATTACATACCTGGTCTAGGTTTTTCAATGCCTTCATGCCAAATGTGTAGTACGAAATGAAAGGTCTTAGTGCCTGAAACAAATGCACCCAGATAATAGTCATTTTGTGTCACTGATCCTTTGTTATATTTATTTACACACAGACATAGAATCCTAGTGAATATTGTCTGAGTAAGCTAAAGATGACACAGAATCCCATTTAATTGCCTTTTGAAGGCTTAAGATAAAACTACCTGAGAGGCAGCAAGCCACTGAATTATGGTCTTCACTTCAGGGTCTCCTCCAAAAGCACCACATCCCCAATTCCCAGTTGCAATCCCAACATCATCCTCATTATCAAGAGACAGGATCTCCTCAGAATCTATGATCACTTTGTGTACAGATTTTCCTCCACACGATTCAACAGAAGTTATTCTAGCTTCATGACTCTACAGAAAAGCAAATGTAAAAATTCGAAACAAACAAATTTCAAAGTGGAAAGAGCAAGTTTGGACACTGCTAAACCAAACATAAACTTCAAAAAAAAAAATCCTACATTAGGAACTCAGCTAAAGTTAGTAATGCAATATCATTTCTAAATGTAAAGCATCACCTAACTAACACACACACGCACAAACCAAGATGAAACTGATAGAAAACTCATACCAAAAGATTATTACTGTATACGTCATTGGAGTCTTTAACATCTGAATGCGGCTGAATTCCAGAACACCCGCTCTCTCGAAACAATCTCTTGTACTGCTGATATTTTGATTGATGAAAAAAACCACAGAATGCCTTATTATTCTCCCTGTAGGAACCAACAAGTAGGAGAGATAAAATTTCGGATTAAGAAAATGTTATACGAAGGATCTGAAATCTACACAATTGGGATAATGATCCAACATATTCAAACATCACTGAGAAATTTAAGGCAAGGATTTGGAATTAGAACAAAAAAAGAAAACCATGGTTTAGGTGTGCTACTCTTTTCCTGTGAAGAGTTTCCAATAATAGTAATTTGGATTTAATGGGAATTTCAGTTTATGCTTGAAGCCTTCCTGGAAGTTACAGGGAACATATTATAATGAAACAATGAAAAAAGTCTTTGACTAGATAGATCATGGATTTCTGTTCTGGAAGTAAGACTGTTCAAAAGATCAAAACTGCATGGAAACCACATTCTATGTAGTAGTTTGAATTATATTGTCTTATTCTCCATTGAATTCCATATGTTTCTAGTAATATGTGTGAGCTGAAGTAAAATATACATACCGGAGGAGTAACTTTTGTTTGTACTGTCTCATCCCCGGGCTGCATAATGCATCTATTGCAATAATTCTGATTTTACGTCTTCTAAGAGAGTCTGTATCCCTTTTGTCCACATAGTCACCAGAAAAACGAAAGGAAGAAGCATACCTACACAACTTAAAAAGATGGTGACACATTCGGAAATCAATAGCAATAGTAACCAAGTTAAATAAGTGAAGTTTAGATATTTAAGTTAATACTTAGAAAATCCCCTGCCATCTCATAGAATTAATGCATACATAAAGTTTAAGAAAGAACCAAATTTGAGTAATTATATGTCTCCACACATGCATGTATGAACAACATATGCTCAACTTCTCTAAGAAAAACATATACATTAATATTTTCTGATACAAAGAAATAAGCAAACAATAGGCTATCAGTACTCACCCTGTATAATTTGAAAACCTTTCTGCACCAATAATTTCTATAGCCTCATTATCTGCCATGGAAGGCATGAACAGCATGCTAGCAATTAATTCAGGATTGATCATGAAACGGATCTCTTCCTACGTGAGACGATAATAACAAATAAAATTAGGTGCTTCTGCAGTTAGATCATGGCCTGCGTGATTCAAGAAAAGGTTAAACAAATAAAAATATAGTTTAAAATAGCCAGAATGCAAACGTAGGTAAAATATATAACGAATCACACCTGTACACAGCCCCTATGAAGAGCACCACCTCCTATATACTTGTTTGCAAAGTCGACTTCAAGAGCTCCACTTGATTGATTTTCTATAAAGCCTGAACTGTGAACCTAGAATGATATGAAAAGACTTGTTAACAGGTTATTTTCTATTGCTAAACTGAATTAGGAAAATAAAAAGGGGAAACCAATTCATCTGCATGTAACTAGAGGCTTATTATGTAACACAGCTAGTCATGTATTACCTCAAAACGGCAGAGAGGAATGGCTGAATTGCTCCAGAAACTAGCCTTGGGGTAAGAAATGCTTAGAGGACCATGTTCCTGAGGAAGTACTTTCCGCTCAAATGAGACATAACCCTTAGGCATATGGAAACTTATCCTTTCAAAATAGTGTATAATACACCTTATCTTATTCTCCTGTTTTTCATTATAACTGTCATATAAAGTCCTGAAAATACACTTCAAGTGGTAAGTATATTTAAGTAAAATAACAGAAGTAGATATCTAGTGATGCTGTATACGAAATGGGTGACAGGATATCTCTTAAAATATTATGGCGAGATATCTAGCATAAAATTGGAAACCCCAAACCCAGTATTTATAGACAAACATCTGTGACCCAAAAAAAAAAAATTGAACAAAGGATACAAGTGACACATAAGAAAGCAAAGCTCACATACATAAACAAATGGTCGAAGTTGATCATTGGGAGATGTTTGGCACCTCTATTATTGATTGGGAACAAACAAAATAAAGAGCACCCAAGAAGAGCACTAATTAGTTCCTGAAAAGAACATAGACAATAATCAGCAAAGTAATACCGCAAAAAAAAGAAGTTCTAACAAAGTAAAGAAAGAAGTATTCAGAACTAGTTTTTAGCATATGACAGAAAACAAGCATCAAACATACCACAAAATCATAAGGGATATTTGAATTAGTCTCCGAAATAATGAAAAAAGAAATAATCACTTGATTTTCCCTAGATAAGACTACTTAAACTCAAATGTGAGTAGAGATCTATATAGAAGATAAACCTTTGCATTGGCAGAGATCGGACACGAAATATCCACATAAAAATAAAATAAATAAATAATTTACAATTTTTCAGAAGTTCTGTTACATTCTTTTTTTTTTCCTTATTCCAATAGAAAATGCTACTCATTTTACTATGCATGTTCAGTTTCTGCCGCACCAGGTTGTATGACATTGAAAAAAAAGAGGGTACATTTCAAGTACCGATGCCTCTTAGTATAAGTTTTGATTCAAACCATGTGTGATGCGTGTGAATGGTTATGGTTGTCCGGGCATATGGGAGCGAAAGATAAAAAAGCAAAGATTCATGAAGGATATAGATACCTGGCTGAGGAACACGATTCCTGCTTCTTGTGAATGCAGTAGACGAAGACCAGTTTTGATTCCATCTCTGACTCCATTAATAAGGGCGTCGGCGTTTTGATAGTGCAATTCTAACAGGGAGGGCAACCGCAAAAGCAAATTGGCCAATGCCGGGACAACCTCTCCAAACCATTTCCTTGCTTCAGCCCTAGACATGAGCTGCACTAACACTTTTCATTCAGATGCTATGGAATGGATAATACCGTTTTAACTCTTAATGCCTTGCCTTAACTGATGATGATGATATCATGTATACCTACGCTACCAACATCTTCTATACACATATATTGCAATTCAATTCAATTTCTATACCTCAATGAAAAGTCACAACTCAACTCAACGAAAAACATTTAATTTAAACGATTATCGGATACTTGCAAAAAGTAAATATTGAAAAAAAGAAAAAAAGAAAAAAAGGTACAAAATTGAGTGAATTGGATGACCTCGTCGAAGAAGAGGGCGTAGCCGTGTGGGGCGGAAGGAGGCAAAGGATGAGAGGAGAGAGAAAGAGAGCACCTGAGGTCCGAAATGGCTGAGAATAGCAGCTCCCCAGAATGGACCCCACTGTGCTCAGGACCTCTCGCCAACGCCTTGAGAGCCTCCACCACTTGGGACGGCCAGAACAGATTCCATGTCCGCACCACCACCGGCAAATACTCTAATATCGACTTCAAGTCTTCCCTGCCTTCCATTCTCCTCTCTCTCTCTCTGCCGTCGTCCGTTGGGGAAGCACTTCTATTGCTCGATACTTAAATTTACATGTTTTGTTGTAGGAAATCCACGTGTTATTTGACGACAATTTTACAGCGTTTGACGAGATGGACTCCTTGGACCCAAAAACTACTAATTACGCAAGAATTAGGGCCGTTGGTTTGGGTTGGGTTGGGCCATTACCAATTACCAATAACGAAGTGGACTTAATATAAAATCACGTTCAGACAGAGAGAGAGAGAGAGAGAGTGGTTAGTTGTTGTGCATGAGGGAAGCGGTATGGAGGAGCTGGAGGCTGGTGACTTGTGTTGGTCTTAAATTTGAACTAAACCTCATTTTATTTAGGGTTTGGTAAAGCTGAAGCAGGTATTGGAAATGTGTGCATGCCTAAGTAGCACGCTTTTGCCAACTTTTGGTCGGCGGCTCATCTGAGCTCCAACTAAAACACCCACCTGTTTGCAAATTGCAGGAACAAGAAAGAAATGTGCACCCCTTAATTAAACCTCTCACTGCTTAGCTAAACAGCTAATATGCCCAGCAGTTTTCCAAGCTTCACAAACCAAAGCAAGGCAAGAATGCCATCAATTGAATTGAAGCATGCCCAAGCATTCATGATTCATCCCACACCCAATCCAACTACAAAGGCCAATATAAGCTGCATCTCTAACAAATATTACTTCCAACTGAAATACAAAATTTTCAAGCTCCCAAAGTTTTCACAAACACAAACAGCAAGGGAAGTAATAACAGGAAGGAAAAAAATTTGAAACTACTAGTCCAAAACTTATGTCCCTATCTTCCTAAACCATAATCTAATTATTCTAAGCTAATTAATACACTAATACAGACAACACCCTTCGTACATAGTCAACTATCATCGCATATTACCCTCTCGCAGGACATCCATCATATTGTATATCCGCTTGTCTGTCCCTGAATGAACCTGCATTAATATTTCATATCAGAAAGTGAAGGAGTGCATAGTCCTATGAGTACAATAATAACTAACCAAATGTTTGTTAACTATATTCCTGCCAAATAATCGATTGCTATTCCAATCAGATAGGATCATTTGAATCTGAATTTAACCAATCTTTTTCCCAGAAATAAAATTAGTTCTTAACATATTATACTTTCTAAGACTGAAATTTCAATGAGATGTTACAGAAAAAAGGTAAATGCGAACAGATGGCAATGACAGCTGAATTACACCAAAGATAATCTGATTTATAAACCATAAGCACTGTAACAAGTAGTAAAGCAAAAGAGGGATGGAAAAGCTTCATCACCTTCTTAGCAAGGAAAATTACAGCATCAACTGTACCCTCTGCATATATTGATCTACCACAAACATTATGCTGAAACTCAAAAGAAACTCTGCAGAGGGGAAAATTAAGTCAATGCAATAAAATGAAAACTACATACGCATAATAAATTGAGACAGAGAGAGCGAGGATATTTCTTATTACGTTTGATCAGGTGAAGTAAGATGATACATATGAAATGCATGACCAGACAAATGCTCCTCTGGAACTCCCACCATCTCTATCTGTTGCTGGGTATCCCGGATCAATTGGATCTGACAAAATTGTCAAAAGATTGAAGAGGAAATATTAAAAGATGAGGCATGATAAGAAAACTCTCTAAGTTTGTTTGGTGCTTCATGTATGGGGACTGAACCCATTGAATAGATTCTAATAGACACATAAAAAAGGAGGGAAGCAGGGGAAAAGGGTGAGGAAAAGAGATGCTGCAGTTAACCAGTTCTAATTATCCAAAGCTATAATTAACCATGTATCCTTAGCATGCCTGTTCCATATCAAAGCACACGCCCAACTTCTGGAAGCAAGAAATAACAGCCTTAGCAGTTCCAGATGTGTCAACTTTACTTGATTGATGGGATTCCATCACCTAAAATTTTAAAAAGATGAATCAGCCACATCATCCAATATGAATAGAACAAATAGAAAACAAGCACCTTGAAAATTTATAACATTCTGCCGTTTTGAAAGATATTAACGATAAATAAAGTGCACACAGTTGCAAGATTAGTTTATGCAACTCGCAGGAAGGCATAAGCACACAGAAGCCCAAAACAGAAAAATGTACCACTGAAAAAAAACATGAACATGAACATGAACACTAACTACTGGAGTTCTACTGGACAAACGTATTTACTGTGAATAAAAAGATACCAAAATAAATAAATAAATGAAAGTTTTAATTGATATATGAAAGTTGTCGTTTTCTTCATTAATAATTCATTTGGAAAAGAAAAAAAAACAATTGCTATAGGTAGGAAGGATATAAGATAAATACTCGTTATGAACAAAAAGAAAAATATAGCAAACCAGAGAAATGAACGTCAATAGCATACTGAAATATGACCTTTGTCAAATAATTAGACTATCTCTTATTCTATATTTTGCATTTGTACCAAATTCTAAGAAAAAAGTGAAGCACCTGTAGGGAATACCCAGAGAAAGCTCCAGGAAATTGCTCAGCCATAATTTCCATGGCCGCAAGAAATGCCACAACCTACTCATACAAAACGAATATTAGGATATGGAAGGGAAAGCCCTCACAGTAGTAAACAATATTAGAAACCATTGAGATACAAAATCTGATCACCTGTTTTCCCATTTGTGGGGAAATTACAGCATAGACTTTTGAGTCTTCTACAGTTTTATACAACTGATCCCTGTCTCCACCGGTTGTTCCCATCACAAAGGGAACTCCAACTTTGCCATATAGCTCTGCATTATCTGAATATTACAGAAAAAAACAAAACAAAACAAAAGATCCAAAAGAATCAAGACATAAAGTCACCTAGAAAATTTACCATTTGCTGTTTGCAGCATCAATGGAAAGTCAAAATAGAGTTTCAAACCTACGATATTTACCATTTACTGCAGAAGGCACAGTGAAGTCGACCACAATCAAATTGGGATATTTCTCAAGAAGGGATGCAAGGGTGCTTTCTCTTTCAGAAGGACCATGCACCAGAATCTCGGTTGCACCGACTTGGACTGTTTGCCCAGATTCCTCAGCAGAGCCAAATGATACGGGAACCACTCCGAGTCCTGCAGAGTCTGCTGCTTGGATAATGGCCTTCCCCATTTTGCCACTACATCCGTTTACCTGTTGGACAATATGAACACGAAGAACTAAAGGCATTTCGCATATGCAGTTACAAGCGTTCAAATTATCAAAGCAGCAAGCAATGTAGCTACTAGAAAAAGATATATTATACAAAATGATGAAATATATTTCAGCTCAAATCTAGATTTAGCATTACCATGATAGGAATGTCAATCTTGTTCTTGGACGTAGACTTGTCATCACGTTGGTTAGGAATGGCTGAAATTGACATCTTTGGGATCATACTGATTGCTGATGATGATGATGATGATGAAACTCTTTGCTTCCGATTGGTACTAGTAGCACCCAATCTACTGGTTCCAGCTCCACCCAAGAATGCCCGCTTAGGTTGCTGAACAACGATGCAATTGGCTGGGACTTTGAGCATCAACGCCATCGTACGTACGGAGTCTGAAATGCCACAGCTTCTTTGGGGTTAGGGTTTTAGAAACCAAACTCAGAGTCAGACAGAGCGCATCGCTTTGTTTTCGTCTCCTTTTTGAAATAATCGCAGCCGTCGGGTTAAATATTTGTATCATAAATACAATCCAATGGCTGAGATTAAACAAAGAGGGAGGGAGATTGAAAGAGGTTTGAAACGCGGCGTTTTTGCATAACCTGGTCCAGGTTTAGGTTAGGTTAAGTTAGGCAAGCGGCAAGCCTATGTAGGCATTTGAGTTGAGTTGACTCTAATCTCATTCTCTCTGACTACCTGCTAGTGAGTAGAGTTGAATCCAGTGAGCAGAGCTTAATTGATTCAACAGTCGAACGGTAACCTAATTCTTGTTGATCTGAAAATTGAAATGGCTGCTGCTTCCGCCTCCGCTTCAACCCAGTGTTTTAACTCACGCCTCCCACTCACTGATAATTACCATTCTCATCCTCGTCATGGTGGTAGCAGCATTCTACGCCTTCAGCTGTCTCAGATACCCAAATCGCTCTCTCTTTCTTCATCTTCATCTTCCATAGGAGGTTCGCTTTATTCTCTCTGCTCCACAAAGTAATTCAAGAAGTTTTCTTATTTGTTGTTATTGTTTTTACTCAAGTAATGTAATCTATTTGGATTCAATCAAACAATTGAGGGGCAGGTGCAATTGAGAGGAAGGACCATCACCCCCAGTGTTCGTCTTTTGCACGAACTGCGGCTGTTCGCCATCTCGTTGGTTCCGTCACCACAACTCAGGGCCTTCGTTTCGCAGTGGTCAGTCTTCACTCTCAATGTCTCAAAAGCGCACACACCCTATGTATGTATGTATGTATGTGTGTATGTAATTGACTAATTGTTGTTGAGTGAGTCGCTTTCTACTTTATGGTACTGACTTCTCTTTGCTTTCTATATTTCTTTGATTGTTGTTGATTTAATTATCTATTTTCAAGGTTGTAGCGCGGTTTAATGAGATTATCACAAAGCAGCTGTTAGAGGGAGCACTGGCGACTTTCAAGAATTATTCAATTAAAGAAGAGGATATTGATGTATGTATCTAACATAAACTTCCAGTCATCTGCCTGGGCTTCTTCTTCTTCATCTAGTTGTTTTACACTCTAAACCATTGATAATGATCCTTGTTATAATGAAAGGCGGAGTGCTTGGCAGTTTCTGTGTCAAACTAAGGTTTACTTTGATGTTTATGCTCTAATTTCCAATTTGATGTTTATAGGTAATTTGCTGAATTGAAACCAACTATATGCCCTCATGTCTTCTTATCCCAAACTCACCTGTTTTTTGTGCATTTCACCAAAAATTTAAAAATAATAATAATCAGACTTTGACTGCTTCTCTGTTATGTCGGAAATTTCCATTTCTGACATACCACTGCTGTCAAATTTCACTCCTTGGCAATAAGATGATAAAATCTCAAAAAGAAGTAAAAATGTAGGGCTTTTCAGTTCTTAGCATTTTGCAATATCATTTGGAGACAACTTAAACCCCAAAAGAATAATTTGTTACTGTGCTTTTTGGTTAAATGTAGCAGATCTGATATCATGCCTTATATTTGTAAAGTGGTCCGTAGTCTTATTGTTGCATGAGCTGATTTTACGTGGCCTGATTATTTCTATTGCTTCTCCCTCAGGTTGTATGGGTTCCTGGTAGCTTTGAAATTGGTGTAGCTGCACAGAGGCTTGGAAGTTTAGGACGATATCATGCAATTTTATGCATTGGAGCTGTGGTATTTTCATGCAATTTTACATATCCTTAATATAATATATTATCTCCATGAGAAGTACATTCTTTAGCATACTGTATTTGTAAGTCTTGCTGCTAAAACCCTAATTTATGAACTGATCATTGTCAGTAGATAAGAGGTGATACAACTCATTATGATGCAGTTGCTAATTCAGCAGCATCTGGAGTACTTTCAGCTGGATTAAAATCAGGTTGGTGTCTGTTTTTTGTTAGTTGCCGAATTAGTTTTATCTTATATCTCGTACTGAGAAACAATAGCATTAGGATGGTCTGGGAAATCTTTTCCCATCTCGAATTTCTTCTTTGGTTGGTGGTATTGTTTCCATTGTATTAATGTTTCTTTTTCTTCCAAAATGCTTGAATTTTGTTTCCTCATAACCACTTCTCTTATGTCATACTAGGAGTTCCATGCATTTTTGGTGTCCTAACTTGTGATAATATGGAGCAGGTAAATCTTTTAACAAAGTATTCAAATGTAGCACTGGCAACTCTCTACAGTTTTCTTCTAATTACCAAAGTGGGGAATGATCTTACTGTTGTGTCTCATAACAATTGCAGGCTTTAAACCGAGCTGGTGGTAAATCTGGAAATAAGGGTGCAGAGACTGCTTTGACAGCTGTAAGTTGATATCAAAGTATCATAATAAGCTGTGATGGTACTGGAGTTGTTGCATTTGGAATGGATTGCTTCTGTTTATATGTATATCTTTTATTGAGTTGGTTTTGGTCTTGCTTCTCTCTCTCGAGTTTTCTTCCCTTATAATTCATTGTTTACCTAGATTTTTGCATGCTGTCTTCTTGTTTTGGGGAGGGAGTTCCAAGATTTCTCCCTCTTGCCTCCATTTTAATCTTTTTCTTGCTGAATTTTGTTGTAGAGTAGGTAGTAGAAGGTAAGTGTAAATAGAAATGATGGAAAATAGTAAAATATTAGTTAGATTTATATAACTTACTTCTGTTGCATTGATATACTATAACATTAAGTTAGAAACTGTAGTCTGATTAATAGCCTTTCGTATGACACTAATATGAAACAAGAGGGTAGTAGCAAGTTGGTGCCATGTTGAGGAGGGGTTTGTATTTTATTTTTTTCTCATGAACTGCACTTATATATATTAGATTTGTTCTAAGAGTAATGTTATTTGTCTTTGTATTTTGATTTTTGGTATAACCCTTTCATGGTTATTTTGATTTGTACTGCAGATTGAGATGGCATCTTTGTTTGAGCACCATCTGAAGTAGTGGTAATGTTACATTGAGGAGAGGCAGATGAATTCTTAATTTGGCCAGCGTTTTCCTTTACTAGATGTGCTTGGTTGTTGTTGTTGTTCCATTTTTGAACTGCTAAAATAGTCTTGTGGGTGATTGAAACTCCAGCGAGGTAGCCATGTTGTCCCAAACTATAGTTGGCTATTTGTTGATTGCTAAGCCCTGATAAAAGCATCGAGGCTGAAGCTGAATATTAAAAAAAACAAGAAGCAATGTTTGATGTTTCGAATAAAAGATTTCTATCTTGCTGGGTAGATGTGATTCGATGTTGCTTTTTCATATTTGCGAACATTCATTGTAGTTCCTTCACCAATTATCTCACTTTGAGGTTGAAATCTGAAAGGAAAGGTCGTTACCCTCACCACTTGCTATGTTTTGGTGACCGACTTGTGCACGAGCTGTGTTTGATTTCGTAGCCTAACTTTATTTTTGGCAATATTTCGTGGCCAAACTAGCATACTTGTTTTTTGTGTACGATTGCACTGTAAGATGTTTGGGATGTCGCTAGTTAGTTACTTAAGAATCTAAGATGTTGTAAAAGACAGGTCGGTCGGTAATCAACAAAATTTGATTTGGCTGACAGCATCAAACTAAAGTATTCAAGAAGCGGGCTCATGTCCCTTGTGAGTGCGTTGCCGCATAGACCAGCCATATCCAAGACCTTTTCCTAAGCTGCAAGCTTCTTTGACGCGTAACAAAAGGAAAGAAAGAGATTGAACCAGGAAAACACACAAGTCTTTTTAATATAAAATTTTAAATAAATAAATAAAGGGAAGAAGAAAGATACTTTTTGTTATATATTAAACAATCATTGTGGCTGGCTGGCTGTCTGGCTCTTAAGATTAGACCAACTGGACATATTAGCAAGTGAATAATCGTCACTTGTTGTTACACATATATTAGCTATACGATATGAAAAATAAAGTAAATTTGTTTTTACAATTTTACATGTGCGCCTGGCCAGTACTCTTAATTCGAAGAGAAGACCATAAAAGCTGAGCCAACAATGCCTAGCTTCGATGCCACTCCATTCCAAAATGCCCAACAGTCGCCAGAAGGCTTCAAGCTTCATTTCCAAACTAAGTGACAAAAATGCCCTTATGTCCACCCCTTTCCTTCCCTAGTTAAAACTTAAAACTTGAATTTAAAAGATGGCGAGGAAAATGACTGGTCAAATAAAGTGGTGCAGTGCAACTCCTAGTGAGTGAAGAGCAGCGGTAAGCTTCAAAATCCATGTTGATTTTTACCGGGCATTTTTGCCAGGAAGAAGCTGTCGTTAGGTTAAGAAGGTCATTTGCAGTTGCATTTTATATTATTGGACAACTGGTTTGTTTGTGCATCCGTTAACTATGAATATAACTTTGAAGTCTTATGAAACAAAGAGAACAATTGAAAAGAATAAAGAAAAAAAGGGGCAATAAGAAGCTTAGAATCAAAGTTATATATGTACATAAGAACACGAGGAAAGATTGATGATGTTCGACATGCTTCATGTGTGATATATCATATGTATATATATATATATATATGTTCATTAGAAAAATGGTTCTAATCAGGTTTACGCAAGTGGGATGGTATTTGCTCAGAAACCAAATCCTTGCCTCTAAGCCTCTAAAGCCTCAATAGCCATGCAAGGAAGATTTCCTCAATAGCCATGAGGCGAAAGAAAGCAAAATACTCCCTGCTTATTCTTTCTATTTAGTGATCTTAAATCAGTTACAGATTGCAGATTGTACATACATACATTACGTCGAGTCTCTTGCTCTGTTTTGTCATGGTGATCTTGCAGCGTTCTTTTATTCATACCTCCCTTGTTAGCACCCAAGCAAAGCACCACATAACTGGATCGGATTGTATTCATGAAAAAGGTTCACTGAAGCTTCATTCGTCTCTTCCTCCAAGTCCAAGTCCAAGTCCAAGTCCAAGTCCAAGCTTGTTGATAAACAATTCACAGCAATCTCAAACTCCCACTTTGTTGTTTCCTCCAGCCAAACAGGTTTGTTTAAATTTCTACTTAAATCATGTAAATGATACATAATTTGCCTCTTAAGTAAGCCTAAGGGTATGTATATTCTTTTCTTTTATTATCTTTAATCAATTCTTCTGAAGAGCATCGATCTAGATTACATTTATTCATGTCAGAGTGTGGCAGCTATTGTGTTTGGAGATGGACATGAATCACAGCTTTACCCATTGACAAAGAGGAGATCACAAGGGGCTATACCTATTGCAGCAAACTACAGGCTCATTGATTCTGTTGTGAGCAACTGCATTAGCAGCAACATAAACCATATATATGCTCTAACACAATTTAACTCTACTTCTCTCAATTCCCACCTTTCCAGAGCTTATTCTGGAGTAGGTCTTGGGAATGAGGGGTTTGTTGAAGTAATTGCAGCATATCAGAGCCCTGGCAATAATGGATGGTTTCAGGTCTGCATAATCAAATCCTCTGGAGTTTTATTATTTCATTTACATGTACAAGTAGAAGATATGTATATATATACATATACATATATACTCTCTCAAGTCTTGAAATTCTAATAACTTGATATTAGGGAACTGCCGATGCTGTCAGAAGATGCCTGTGGGTGCTGGAAGAGTATCCAATGACTGAGTTTTTGGTCCTTCCTGGTCACCATCTCTACAGAATGGACTACCAAAAACTCTTAAAGGCCCACCGAGACAATAAGGCTCACATTACGGTTGCTGCATCAATTGCCAGGAAACTTCATGATCCGGGTTTTGGCTTTCTAGATGTGAACTCTGAAAATCAAGTTGTGGAGTTTAGATTGAAGTTGGAGGGAAAGCCAGTTAATGTTGTTTCAGTAAGTAGTAGTAGTAGTAGTATATTTTTATGTTTGTTTATGGTATTTCTGGTGTTTCCTGAGGAAGCCTTAATCTGAAACTTCAGGCCAAAAGCTCAGGAGAATCCAAAGATACTGCTCAAAATAGTATGACGAGTATGGGAATCTATCTCATCAATAGAGATATAATGAAAAGGCTTCTAGAAGAAGATTTTCCCAAGGCAAATCAGTTCGCAAGTGAAGTAATTCCGGGAGCCATATCTATTGGAATGAAGGTCCAAACCATACCTCTGACAATTAACCAACTCTCTGTAGTGCGTTTGTTTCAAATTTCAAGTCCTTAGATAGTTAGAGGCGAAGATTTACTAGAATTTTGTGCATGTGATGTGAGAGGTCAGGTTCAAGCTTATGGATTTGATGGATATTGGGAGGACATGAGGAATATTGAAGCATTCTACCAAGCAAATATGCAAAGCACAAAGGATGCAGACGTGGGATACAAGTCGGTAGTAACTTCTAAATTAAGTTGTATATATTGGAGTAGATCCCCTCCCTCAAATTTCAATCTCATGGACTAACACAAACTTGCTCATTTCTTCCATATGTGTATAATTAACGACACAGCTTCTACGACAGAGAAAGTCCAGTCTACACTTTGCGTCGGTGTCTGCCTCCAACTCATATAACTGACGACTGTGTAATAACAAACAGTGTAATTGGAGACGGCTGCATTCTCAATGTAAGAACTTAGAAGAGGATAAAGTCTTCGAATCATTTATCTATGTCTCCAATTAAACAAGTGGTAAGTAGTGACCACTGATATGTATGGATCTTAATAGTTCTTGTTTTCTTGTTTTCTTGTTTTGTGGGTGGGAAATGGTTGGTTGGTTGGTTTTGGACTTGTACAAGAGTAGGGATGCAGGATCAAAGATACAGTAATTGGTACCAGGACAAGAATCGGAGATGGGGCTATGATTGAGAATTCAGTGATCATGGGTTCAACTATCTATCAAGTAAGCCTAATTAAGTTTTAGTTAACTTAATTTGCTGAAATCAGAACCACTAGTGTAGTGTGTGTTTTTTCCTTTCTTTCTAATGATCTGATAATCCTTGCCACTAATTGTTAAGTAGATTTATTTTATACTTTGAAATCAAAATCCGGCCAAGACCAACCACAAACCACAAACCATATATCTAATTTAGTCTAACTAACTGTTTCTAAAGTAATGTTCCATTATGCTGTGTTGTTAATATCTAATCCACTGCTCTCACACTCGCAGTTACAGACAGAAGGTGGTGAGAAGAGGAAAGTTCCCATCGGAATTGGTGAACATACTTTCGTAAGGAAGGCCATTATAGACAAGAATGCAAGAATTGGCAAGAATGTTAAGGTACATACATTATTATGTATATGTAGCTGCAATTCAATGTTTCATAAGCCTTGAGTGAGAGATGATGATGATGATGATGATGATGGTAATTAACTATTATTCTGGTGCTGCTTCAGATCATGAACAAAGACAAGGCCCAAGAAGCGGACAGAGAAGCTAATGGCTATGTCATCCGTGACGGAATAATAGTCGTTGTTCGAAGTGCAGTAATCCCAGATGGCACCATCCTCTGACTCTCACTCTTTCTCTCATGCTCATGCTCATGCCCATCCAATCCAATCAATTCTTTCTTATCAACGCCATGCCATTCATTCTTTTACAATTCAGTTGAGATCATGAAATAAAATTTAATTTATAGTTACTTCTTTTTTTTCTTTTTTTTTAAATGTTGGAATTTGCTTCAGCTCCAGGCACGCATCGATGCAAAATTGCAAATGTACCATTTTCCTCCAATTCTTCAGATCGTTATCCACTCTCTGGTTCCTCTAAGTTCCCGTTTTCGATTGTGCATCAAATTCTCCCCCGCACAGAATATAAACAAAACCAAAAAGTAATTAAATATTTATTTTTTCCTTTTCCTTTTAAGCCTGGATATTAAGTATACCTGCCAACCAATAATAATAAATAGTCTTACAATGATTGATTGTAATGAGATGGAATCACTGGAACCGTGGGACCTCTCTTGGATGGGGAGACCTTTAGGGGCTGTTTGTTATACAGGGTTGACTTGGATTGGTTTGGACTAAACTTAGTATCATGTTTGTTTAATTTAATTCTAGGTTTGAATAAGATTGCTAATATCGGATCCACCAAAAACACTTCCTCATGAGAAGACTAATAAACCCATGTGGAAAGGGAAGATTAACTAGCTTCATGCTCAACAATATATAAAATGCATGTATTATAGATGAACAACCATTCGTGAGGTGCTAGATGAAATTGGGAGTCGGAGAAAAAGAGATTGAGAGTCGGAAAGAGAGTGAGGAAATATACAAGAGACTTGAGGGAGAGGGAGGCTCATGCGAAAGAGAAGAGAGGAGATTGTTTATTTCATAATTAAGACAAATACAAAATAATATCAGATAACTTTGATTCCATCTTCTACAAATCTGGAAATGAAAAACCGTGAAGAATAGTTTGACTATAAAAACATAAACAACTATAATAAATAAACCAACGGTGAGTTTCCATGTGAGGGGTTAATGGGTTTTTTTTTTTTTTTTTTTTTTTTTTTTTTTTTTTTTTTAGATATATACTCTTATCACATTTGTATACTACATTGTCATACCATCTAATATGGCATATAAGGTGTGCAGCCACATCAATTAAAATTATATAACATTTTCTTTTCTTGTATGATTTATTAGACTTCAAAAAAAAATTGTTAATTAAACTTTTTTAATTAAAATACACTTCATTGATTTAATTGATGTGACATATGATATGGACATGTCACATCATATAGTATATAAATGTGGGATAAAAATATGGTGATGTGGCATGAGATTGCATTCATAATTTAACGTGTTTTAATTTTTGTCATTTTTAAAAATTCTTTTAGATCTGTTTAGTGGCTTCATTTGACCATTTTGCCCCATTTATATTGAATTTCTTTACTTTGGTGTTTTTCATAAAGAAAGGGTAATTTCAGGGTTTTTGAATATTTTACCATTGTAAATTGGTAACAAATTAAGAATTGAATTGAATGCATTCACCATGTTGTGTAGGAGAGATTTCGCAATTAACCGGCCCCCAATATAAGTGCCCATTTGGCTTTGCTTATTTGGGATAATAAGTTATTTTTTAAAAAAAAATGGGAAGCTCAACCTGTTTGATAAACTATGAGAAAATCACTTATTGTTAAAAATTATTGTGAGAGAAAGCTATAAGGGAAGCAACTAATGAGGTGCTGTCATTTTCTTATTATGAGGGAATTAGTTTCGAAAAGGCACTAAGTTTAGTGAAATTTACAGACTTCCGAAAATACCTCAATCTATTTCACGCAATCTCTTCTCTTGAATCTCTTCTATTCTTCTTTTTTTTTTTTCTTTTTTTTTTTTAAATTTTGGTTGAATCAATTGAAGCACACTCTTGAGAAGCCACAAGACTCATGTAAGAGGTATATTATGTTTATTTATTCTCAATTTCTTTCTTCCTTCTTTCTCTTTAATTTCTAGGATTTTAAACTGTCAATGTGTGATTGGTTGGTTTTTTTTTTTTTTTTTTTTTTTTTTTTTTTTTTTTTCTTTCTGCTTTTTGTTTTTTTTTGATAGAATATTTATTATTAATGGAATATATTGGATTTAACTTGAAACATTAGTTTAGAGCATTTGGATACAAATATTTAATTTTCAACGTAATATTTTATTTATTTTATAATTAAAATAATTTTAGGGTGTGATGGAAACAAATTTGATACCAAAAAATATATATAAGTGAAAGTGAAAGTGCTTTCTTTTTTATCAAACACTCTAACAGAAAAGTCATTACAAAAAAAAATTATCAAACACTTAGAAACTGATTATTGTACCAATAACATTTTTAACAAAAAATTTATCAAGTGCCAAATTGCTTTATTGATAAGCTGATTTCTCTTTCATGAAATCTCACAGCACATGCCAAACTAGCACCAAGTAAAGTCATATAACTCGCGACCCCAACCGAAGCTGCTTCTTCTTTCTCACCGCTGATTGCTCATACTCAATTTAATTTTCTTTCTTTATATCTTTGCTGCTTGTGTCGTTGGGCTGCATACAAATTGAACTCTGCCCCAGCTTCCAGGTATTTTAGCTTAGATCTCATCCAAAAATCAAAAATATTTATTTAGATCTGACATGTTCTTCTTCTTGGAGTGAGTTGATATTCCTTTTTTTTTTTTGGTCAAAATTGTTCATTTGTTTTATCTTGGGGAGTCAAAATTATAATCAAGTGGCATGATCTGCATTCGCAAATAGATCAATAATTCAGAATGATATCCATGTATCATCAAAATGTGTTAATAACTGGTATATATGAACTTTTGAAGGTGTTGATAAATCAATTGTAAATTGTATGTATATGTATAGGGCGAGTAGGTAGGGAATACATCTTCATGGCATCGTATTCGTCGAGAGATGATAAGCCAGAAATTTCTGATCGGGATGCTAAGGAGAAGAAATCTGACAAGAAGAAGGAGGAGGGAGAGAATGATGAGGATGATGAGGGTGGATTTATCGATAGGGTGAAGGATTTCATTCATGACATTGGGGAGAAGATCGAGGGAGCAATTGGGTTCGGGAAGCCAACAGCGGATGTTACTGCGATTCACATCCCTAGCATCAATCTCGAGAAGGCGGAGATTGTGGTGGATGTGCTGATCAAGAACCCAAATCCAGTGCCCATCCCTCTTATCGACATTAACTACTTGATCGAAAGTGATGGCAGGAAACTGGTCTCTGGCTTGATCCCGGATGCCGGAACAATCCATGCCCACGGAGAAGAGACTGTCAAAGTTCCAGTCCACTTGGTATACGATGACATCAAGAACACCTACGATGACATCAAGCCTGGAAGCATCATTCCTTACAGGTTCAAGGTCGATCTCATTGTCGATGTCCCTGTTCTCGGCAGACTCACTCTCCCCCTCGAGAAAACTGGAGAAATCCCTATCCCTTACAAACCCGATGTCGATGTTGAGAAGATCAAGTTTCAAGCCTTCTCCTTCGAAGAAACCGTTGCAGTCCTCCATGTGAAGCTGGAGAACATGAATGACTTCGACTTAGGCCTCAATGCTCTTGACTACGAGATTTGGCTCTCTGAAGTCAACATTGGCGGTGCGCAGCTCTCCCAATCTGCTAATCTTGCTAAAAAGGGTGTCACTTTCATTGAGCTTCCCATCACCTTTAGGCCTAAGGATTTTGGGTCTGCGCTCTGGGATATGATTCGGGGAAAGGGTACCGGCTACACCATCAAAGGTAATATCAATGTGGACACGCCCTTTGGAGCCATGAAGTTGCCCATCGTCAAGGAGGGTGGCACTACACGCCTCAGGAAGAACAAGGAAGATGGCGGCGATGACGATGACGAGGATGAGGTAATTTATCTACACAATGCACGTTCACTCTGCTGCACTGCAGGATTCTCATGATTCTCCTAGATTAGATAGTAGATCAGTTGTGGTTGATATATTCCTTCCGTCTATAATATATTCAACCCAAACCCCTGAAACAAGGATCATCCAATCCAATTATTGGACTCTATATTATTACATCTCACCACCATGGCCCATATGTAGGGAAGAAACAAGCAATTAGTTTAATGTACGATGGAACAAACTGCAAAAGGGGCGGCCATTATCTTAGAGAAACTGATGTGGGTGCAATGCACTTGCCTGATCAAATAGACCAGAGGCACAAGGCAATATTCCAAAAAAATATTTCACAACTGCACTCAAATTGCCAGAGACAAATTTATGATATATCTATAAATTGCAAGAGTATTTCTCAAAGTGCAACTATATACATGTTCTGTGTATGGTGTCGTTGTATATTGACTGTAAATGATGATGTACTCCTGCTCTGACTTCCCCAGGAACATTTTGCAACTTCCTTTTTTAGCAAGCATCATAATCATTCTTATGGAGTATTAGCGTTGAGCTTTCACATGTTTTCCGCACAGAAGCCCCTGCAGTTGCAAATAAAATTCATGGTTACATTAATACATAAAATGGAAACGAACACTCAAAATTGAACACAAGTATCACAATGTTTTTTTCTTTTTCTTTTCCGGTTAACAGTGTCACAATGCTTTACCTTGCTACATTGACTTCTTGCTCTTGTAACTCAGTTTTATAATTTTCTGTTTGCAGGACTAGACATGGATTTGGCTTGAAATGTTAAACTTGTTGCTGTTGTCTGTTTATCTGTACTGGTATTTTAAAATAATAGATAAATAGGCACTTGAACTTGAGGTATTATAGCTTCTGGTTGGGGGAGAAATTGATATGATTGTTACCGTATATTTGTTATGTTTGGATAGTAATACACATCTCATAAAGAAGGTGTCAGTTGCTTTCTTATTGTAATGGATGTTGCAGTTCGTGCTTTTGGCTCCAAGTCCATTCTACTGTTGAGACTTTTGTGGTAAGTGATTGAATAGTTTATTCTCTCATTTTTCTTATAAATTTCAGTATCATATGATTGTGTGAGCCAATGGGACTATAGTAGCATGTTTACTTATCAGTAATGGGTATAGTGATTATTCCAATTCCTTTTTTTCTCTGTGTGTACTAACACATGTGTATTAGATTCATTGTAATTCTTACTTCCCTTGTGTTACACATACGGAATACAAAATTATGGGAGTTCTATAGTAAAATCGGTAATCAAATACACTTTAGTGTTGTAATTGTTTTTCCTTCTTCTCTTGTTGTGAACCTCTGGCAATCTTGTAAACAATTCTTGTGTCTTGAATAATTGGTTTATTTTTGTTTTTCTCCATCGTGCTTATAATGTTTTGCACTTTTTTCTTTCTGAAAGGTTAGGACCCTAATTTCCTAAAAGTATAATCATGGTTTCAAGAATGAATTTTCTTACTAGTTCTTTCAGTATCACAAACAAATTTTCGCATTTTGTGGTTTCGAGAATGAACTTTCACATTTCATGGTTTTAAGAATGAATTTTCGCATGTCGCGGTTTCAAGAATGAATTTGTGCATTTTTGGGTTTTGCCAATGAATTTTCACATTTTGGGGTTTCGGCAATTAGTTTTTGCAATTTAGCGTTCCGCTAAATAATTTTCGCATCGTGGGGTTTCAATAATGAATTTTTTCATTTCGTGGTTTCAAGAATTAATTCTTGCATTTTAGGGTTTCGCTAATGAATTGTCGCATTATGGGGTTTCGTCCATGCAATGTGAGATTTTGTTAATGAATTTTCACATTTTTTGTATCACAAATGAATTTTTACACATGAGATTTTACTTCAACATAATCAAAATAGTCTCTCTTAATCCATGTTCCCAAGAATCCAAACATTGCCAGTGTCTACATACCTGCCTCAAATCCACAATCCTAAGTTGAAATATCCTCCTGTGTGATGAGGTTTGGGAATCCAGCCTCCCATCCTCTTTGGGGTTTCTGTTGCAAGCTGATGGGCTCCCATGTCCCCCTATGATGTGAGTCTTGGCTGTTGGAGGCAAACACGTTCCCTACTGGGAGGTGTCATAGGTTTGGACACGTTGACGGGAGGAGATAAAGTGGGTCATCAAACCTCAGTCAATGGATGAAAGTGATCCATTTTGAGTTTGTGGGGAACAAAATAGAATTTGACAGAACTTTCAAGGAGCATTAGTGTAATTAAACTTTCTTTATTATTTAATTTCATATGAATATAATTAAAAATTTAAACATTTTATTTTACATTCTTACAAAAACTAAACATGGGAAATGAAATAAAGTTATATTTCTCTATTACTTTTTCAATATTACCAAACATGGGAAATGTATGGGAAATGAAATAAAGTTATATTTCTCTATTACTTTTTCAATATTACCAAACATGGTACATTTCCCAAGACATAAAAAATGATCCATTAAATCCTTTTAGTGAACCCATCGGACCACTAGTGTACGAGGAAGGAAATTGAGAATCACAGACAAGGAGTTGCATTGCCTTGCATTTGTATGGTATTATTGGAAGAGTAATGCTAGGCTTACCACATTTTTCATACCACAATTGTACCACCTCTCTAATAGAGGTGGAGCCCACCAATACAATGGGGCCCACCTCTATTAGAGAGGTGGTACAATTGTGGTATGAAAAATATGGTAAACCTAGCATTTTCCTTATTGGAATCATATTTATATTTAATTTAATTAATGTATGGTGGTGAATGAAAGATGCATTGAATTAGGTAGAGAGAGAGAGAGAGAGAGAGAGAGAGAGAGAGAGAGAGAGAATTGGTCCAGCACATGACACATGCATATGCCCATATGCTGCTGCTTATGCTTCTCCTGAGAGAGAGAGAGAGAGAGAGAGAGAGAATTGGTCCAGCACATGACACATGCATATGCCCATATGCTGCTGCTTATGCTTCTCCTGCTGCATCTGACGTCTATGTCTATCATCTCCCTCAGCCACAAATCAAATAGAATGCATGCACTACACACACTTACTATTTTCTGAGGTCCACTTGATACCACTGCAGTGCACATGCGGCTAGCTCATCTCATCTCATCTCTTCACTTGAAGAAAGCCCACGAGACATGTCAAATTCCATTTCTTCTTTTCTTTCTTCTTTTTTGGTCAGGATTTTCATTTTCTTCTCAACGACAAGAAACCGGGATTTCTCGTTTTGCAATGAGAGAAGGAAATGCCTTTTTGTCTTGTTACTCTAGATTAAATTTTAATGAAGTTGCGTGTAGAGAATAAAAGTCAAGCATATCATGATAGAGAAAATCATAAGAGATAATTCGAATCCAACAAACAAATCATAAATTAATATTTATTCTCTAATCACTTTTGATGTTACCTTGAAAAAATTCTCTAATCACTTCATATTTTGAATTCCAATACCATAAAAGAACTTGTAGAAAAGTATTACCATATATAATCTACTTCCTTATTCGATAATTTTTTCTTTTTCTTTTTCTTTTTTGAAAACAGAAATAAATTGATGTGAAGAATGGGTCCTTCTTAGTTCTTACTTACTGAGAAAGTTATAAGTGAGACAGGACATGTATCATGTATGTAGGCTTTTTATGCTTTCAAAATCAGCTAACGACATAAGCAATGTATGACGATGCGTAGATAGATGGCCACCACCCTCCGCATGACCTAGCTATTCGCAAATGTAATAAAGAACTGAGACATAAAAGGAAAGGAATGATTTCATACTTGAATAGATTTGCAAATGGGCCCCCTTAATGTCAATTATCTTACAAGTTGTGTTTGGTTTATGAGAAAAGCACAAAACTTTATAAAGCAGGGATATTATTATTTTTCTATTCTTCACTAATTATGATACGCTAAGTAAAAAATTTATCACATATGACATATCGTGATTAATAGGGAATTGCAAAATAATATTATCCTCGTTACAAACAATCTTTCCATCAAATTTTTTGGCGAATTACTCGGAATGTGAAGTGGGCTTTTCTGAACTGAATTGGGCCTTTTCTAGAGAGAGATAAGAAAAAGGAGTGAGAGAGAGAGAAATAAATAACAAGAGTCTAGGGGTGAAGAACCTTGGGGGACACAGCCCTGATTTTCCAAAACCAGCAACTTGCATGTCAGCAAACCCCACTTCAATGTGGAATTCACTGAACCAAACCTTTTTTTGGCTCTCCTTTCTCTCTCTCCCCCTAACATAATAATAATAATAATAATAATAAATAATAAAGAAGGGAGGAGAGAAGAAGGGAAAGAAAAGGATAGTAATAATAATACAAATACAGTGCAACAACCCAAAACCCATCAAAATTCGTTCCGTTGCTTCAACAGGTTGATTAGCTAGCCAGCAGTCTCTTGCTTTTCAGTTTTCACCTTCCTCATTCTTTCCTTCTTTATCTCCGCAACCCAGCAGCCCCTTTCAGAACTTCTTCTTCTTGTTGATGATTATGTATTTATTCTGCCATAGCCCAGTAAATCGAGCCCGTCTTTGACTCTGCCAAGAGAGTTTTGAGTTCAAGGTGGAAGAGCCATAGATAGACACTGAGATGCAAAAAGCGCTCAAGGGGACCTCTCTTTCTTGCTGCCTCATTCGGAAATTTTCCTACCAAGATAACCAGAATCAAACACAAACGCATCACAGGTATATATATATATCTATCGACCTTTATAATTTGTTGTAGATTCCACATGTCCTCTGCTTTCCTATTGTTGATTTCTCTTGTTTCATCTCCTTGAAAGCCAAAAACTTTATTTTTTATTTTTTAGAAAAAGCAAAGAAAGATGGAGATTTCATTTCTCGGTTTGTTCCCCTCCCTATTTCGTTAGTTCATTTGTTGGGTTTGGGGGCCAAAGGCGCTCGCTTTAACAAAATTTTATGCTTGTTCTGTTTGTTTGAATGTTTTCCATATGTATGCTATTGTACATCAGCAGTAAGATTGATTGATTGATGTATGTGAACATATGTTATTTTGCGGAATATATATTTGTTCCAACATATATACAATATATATGCTCTCTTTTTTTTCTTTCAACTTTTCGTGGTTCATGTTCTCTTGATTTGGCTTTCAATTTTCGATTTTGATTGAAATTCTTGTTCAGTTGGATTATTTGGGACGACGTCTCATGGTTTGTGCATTGTAGACTTGAGGAACTAATCACGTTTTCTTGCGATTTCTAGTATCTTTCAAACAAGTCTGAACGTCATAGTTGAGATCTCAGAAGCATCAAGCATCACAGGCTCCAAACAGATTCATTGAGTTGTGGGCTGCATTGCATTGGATTGCTTTGCTTGTTATAATAGTTTGTTTAGATTTGTATGAAACCGGCATTAGTTAAAAGTGGGTTGGAGAGTTTGAGTTTTAGGGATAAATTGGGTTTTGAAGAATTCTCAGTGATATTGGAATTGGGTCAATACTCAATACTCTACTCAGTTGGGTGCTGTGTGTGATTTTGGGGAGCACATCAGGTAAGACTTGTGCCAGAAGGTTTTACTGATTTGCAAGATCGTTGTTCAAGCTGCATCATGGATGTTAAAACAAGAAAGGTTTCTGGTGCCCCAGTGGATGAAGGGCATCATCATCATCATCAGAGACACATCAAGACAATGGAATACCGTCGAACACTATCACACGGTAGAGGGAGTGGCAGAAGACTGCTGCCGGCAAGCTACTTCAGCCTGGAGTCGTTGCTTTTGCTTATATGTCTCACGGCGACTCTGTTGATCCTTCCTTTGATGCTTCCACCGCTGCCTCCCCCACCCTTCATGCTGCTGTTACTTCCCATTGGCATTCTAGCAGTGCTTATGATCTTGGCTTTCATGCCTTCTAATGTGAGGGACTTGACTTATACATACGTTTAAGTATATGGTGTGTTTGTTTCCAACACAACATATGCACGCACTTCTTTCATCATACAATTTTTGTACTTCACCGAATGTGGTTTTTTTCTTTTTTTTTGGGGTCAAACACTAAATGTTCAGTACAAGAAAAACACTTATTTTTTCTTCTTCTCCCTTAACCATTCGCAAAATGTTCAATACAATACAACGATAACAGGATGGAACAAGTGACATGTGAGGTGAGGAAACTCAAATTTCACGGTAAATGGATCGTGATTCATGTATACCCATATGATTGTGATGACGGGTTCTCCTTGTTGACCTAATATATTTCTTTTTCTTTTATTTAACCAAATTTTGCCAAACAGTATGACCAATTCTAATTGATAAGGATGCTGAGACTTTCCAGAAATAGGCTGCCAAAACATTTTTAATGCGGTCTTCTGAGGGTGGGTATTTTACGTTCTGTGGAAGCTGTCATTTGAGAAAGTGAATACTGACCAAATGTGGGTTTTCTTTTACATCCGAATTCGATCTTCTTCTATGTAACTAGTGCATAGTGTAATTTAAAATATCGCCTATCAAAAAACGAACAACACTACATTATTTTAATAATGGAAATCTCTCATGTATAGGTTTAGTCAAGTTGGTTAGAGTAGATAAAAAAAATTAAGGGAGTTTCACTAAAACACCCAAAATGGAGGTTGAAATTATAAAAAAACCCAACACCCAAAACACTTTATAAACACACCCAAAACCCATCATTACACACACTCAAAACCCATTTATAAACACACCCAAAAAGTTGACTTTGGAGTTAATTTTGAGTGTGTTTCTATGTTTAAATAGTACTTGGGTTTTTTTATAAATATATGTCTAGGATTTGGTTTATTTATAAATTTGTAAAAAATTAATTACTTTGAAAAATTGAATTCTCTCTCTCTCTCTCTCTCTCTCTCTCTGCGCAGGGTGGGTTGCGATGGGGGAAATGGGCTAGAGGGGCACGGGTCGGGGAGAAGGGGAATGGGTATGGGGGCTGGGGTTCTGTGGGAGTGGGGTTGAAAAAACCAGAGGGAGGGGGCGATGGGTCTCGATGGGGAAAGGGGGGAGGTGTAAGAAATCAATGGGGGTGGGGGGGAGGCGGTGGGTTTTTGGGTAAATGCCCAGGGAAAGTGGGTTGCCGGGGGAGTGGGCGATGGGTTTCTGGGTTTTGCGCAGGGAGGGAGAATTCCAATAGTTTCGCGGTCATTCCGGCAAAGGCAGAATCATCACTCTGTAACTCAAAATATTCAGAGCAGAATTATCACTCTTTCAGTTGGCCTCCGTCTTCCCCAACATAGATTCTACAGGGACTACGTTTCCTGCTAGAGGAAATACCCCATTCTCAGTGTACAATACCGCCAACATTTTTTACCAGAGAAATTATTCCAGTAGTTTCGCGGTCATTCCAGCAAAGGCAGAATCATCACTCTGTAAGATACACAGAGAGGCGGAGAGCTTGTAATAAAAATAAAAATCATCATTCTGTAACGCAAAATATTCAGAGCAGGAGGAGGGGTAGATTTTTATGTTGGAGCTTGGAGATCAACAACGTCTCATTTTTTAACTCAGCTGTACTTGGGTATTTTTTTAATGTTTCAAGTTAGAAATGTTCATTTGGATTGTAAGACATTGCGAATTTGCAAACATTGAAACAGAATGGCTCTATGCACAGAACCCAGAAACCTATTCCTTCCCCTCCCCCCCAACCCACTGATTTGTTCTGAAATTGCACCTGGGTTTTCTTGAATTTCAGCTCCAACTATGTCTCGAGCATAGTTTTCTTTTGGGTTCTTTGACATTTCAACAAACAGTTTGAGCTCCAACTTGGTTTCAAGTTCTGCACAGGGAGAGGGGTGGGCTGCGGGTGGGGTGGGGGAGGAGCGATGGGTTTCTGGTGGGTGGGGGGTTTACAAGGACAGAGCAGGAAGGGGTGGATTTGGAGCGACTGGTTTTATTTTTATTTTTATTTTTATTTTATTTTTCCTTCTAAAATATATATATATTTTTAATTTTATGTTTGTATTTTAATTTTTTATACTAATTAAAAAAATCTAGGTGCGCAAAATTACTAAAAACACCCCTACTACGTCATCAAACTTAACGGACTTCTAGATGGAGTTAATGGTAAGGGCAATGTAGAACATCAAACCCTGGTCAGGGGGCAAAGTAAGTCACTTTAACTTTAAGGGGGTAAAGTAACAATTGACTAATATTTTAGGGTGCACTGTAGCAATCAATGGAGATCTTACTATCGCATATATTATCAAACCCACTTTAACGATACTACTCCAGCACCTTTTCTAGTTTCCTCCTCCCCTCCATCTTTTCTAGTTTTCATCTTACCGAATAATAAATCTCTTCTTGTGACTTTAGTTGAGTCATGCTTAGAGCATCTCCAAGGGAGATATCAAATATCAAACCTCAAATTTAAATTTGACGACTGATGTGATAATTTGACATCTTTTACAGCTCACTCCACCCGATATGTTAAATTAAATTATTATTTTATTACATTTTAGTATTGATTTATTTTTAATTAAAAAGAAAAGAAAATAAATAATAATAAAATATTCATTTGACATCTTGCTTTTGGGATGTCAAAAATAACATATCAACCTCCAGTCTTCATTCCACATCAACTTTGACACATCAGTTGGAGTGATGTGAGATATTATTTCCAATCGTTAAATGTCTATGTAGCACTTTTGACATATCGGTTGGAGATGCTGTTATATTTTAAGTATTCAATCACCTCTTCTATGTTCATCCCTCAATCCAATCTTTGCCTCAAAACCCTTTCTCTAAATTCTTCCATTTTCTCTAAATTTCTACCCACGATATGAATGACTTCGCCGTGAGTTGCCTATATGTATCTCACGATCTTGGTCAAATCAGGCTTTTGTTCGCTATTGTGACTCTTATTTGCTTTTATGCGCAGTTGGATATTGTTGAGGTTGATTCTTCCCTATATATGTTCTACATGTTCTTCTTGGTTAGATACGGTGGGTTCTATGACGGCACAACTTTGATCTGTGTGGTAGTCATGGTTTAGGCTTATGATTTAATTTAAGGTTTTGTTTATTTTGGGCTGTTTGGATTTGGATATGGTCTATATTAGATTTTGGTGTTTTAGGTCCTGTTTGGGATTGCTTTTTTTTCTCCAAAAATGTGCTTCACTTTAAAGTTAAGTATAAGGTTTTTGGTTAAAATAAAATATCTCAATTATTTTAAAACCAGTGGCCTTTTGACAACAGTTTTTAAAAGTAGACACTGTGTTACTTCTCAAAACTGCTTTTAAAAGAAATATGAGCTTTCAATGAATTTTTTAATTTCCAAAATACCATCATTAATTTTTTTAAATGACACCACCTCCACCTCCACATCCAACTCTACCACCTTCATCACCTCCACCACCAACACCACCACAACCACCACAGCACCGCATGATTAAGGCATAACACTTTCAATATCATGTTCATTTTAGTCATTATTCACAGTTACAACAATTTTATATTAAGATTTACCAACGGTTTTGACACTGCTTTTTGTATTAACACTTTAAAAATATTGTTTACCAAACATAGAGTTGCTTTACTTTACAACTAATTATTTTCAAAACACAACATAAGCAATTTTTTTTTTATAAAAGTGACAACAATCCCAAACTAGCCCTTAGGGGGGTGTATTTAATTAGGATTGTATACGATTTTGAAAGATTTTTTTGAAGTGACAGATTTCCTGGAATTGTATAATTCCTATAGGTTTTACCTAGATTTTTAATAAACTTGTATAGGCTTTTATTATAGACTTCCATACTTTTGTATGAACTTTTGTTATAGATTCAAATATATTTGCATAGACTTCCCAAAACTATTTTCTTTTATCACTCTTTATTCCCAACACTATTTTCTTTAAACTATCTTGACCTAGCCACTAGTCAACCATCCCTTTTCTTCTTCTTTTTCCCCAAATTCTTCATCTACTTGTGTGCACAACAATGAATTTTCCTTTGAAATTTCCATGAGTTGGAAATTTTCATACCTAAACAATGAATTTCCCTTTGAAATTTTCACGAGTTGGAAACTTTCATACCTAAGCAATGAATCTCCCTTTGAAATTTCCACGAGTTGGAAATTTTCCATTGATTTTGTTCACGAACAGCAAATTCTTTGTCCAAAAATTCAATTAAAAAAAAAATCCTTTGTCCAAAAAGCAAGGGCCCTATCATCTAGTAGTGTTATGGGTGACGGAAATATATCTCAACCTTCCGCTACCTTGACATTGGCTTCATGCCGAGATGATCTCCATGGTAACTTATAGGAGATAGAGAAATCTCTAGCCGAGCTTTCCTCACAGCAACTCCAACTAGTTGATTTGAAGAAATCACTAATGGAGGAGCTTTCCTTAATACAGGACGCTTGTAACCACCCAAGGTCAGTGCATGGCTTAGTGCATGTTTGCCAAACAATGGAAAATTTTCTAAACATAGAGAGAAAAAAAACACGTCATATGAAATCTTTGGGGTGTAGGTTGGACTTATGTTGGCCTTTATTATTTATACCTAAACCCTACAAATTCTCCAAACTCCAACACTTAATTAAATTCTTCCAAATCTATCTCCAACACTTAATTATTGGACTCAATCAAATATGTCCTAAAAGCACCTTTGAATGGTTCTCCTCGGGGTTTTGGTCTCTGGCTCTATCTATGTCCATGCTCACGAAAGAAAGGTGGCAGAGAAACATGGCTTTATTCATTGGGATGCAGCAACAACATTCCATTGTTCATTCTCTTCTTTGAAACTTCCTTTGACAAATTATTTTGGGTTTCTACATCCAACCAAGACAAAAAAGGCGACAGGAGAAGAAAATAAAGCCCCCAACACGAGATGGAGAGGAGAAGCAAAACGAATTAAAAGTTACAATGATAGATATAACTTATAAGATAATAGTAGTCAAATACAAGCGCGTTATATCTCAACTCTTTTGACAAACACATTCAGACTATCATAATGTGTCATGTAGAAGAACTAAATTACAAGGTAACCGTATGATGGAAATAAAATTGACAAACCTTGGCTTTGTCATCTGAACCCAGCTAAGACATTATTATCCATTACATATATCGGATAGTGAGGGGAAAAAAAAGGGAAGTGAAACCCCAAAAGTAAGTAACATCTGGCTATGCATTGCTCAGCGAATGAAGTAAAAATGGAGGAAGATGATGCTCCAGAACAGCCAAGAGCTCTCCGCACTGGCTCACCCCTTCTAAGACCCCACCGCCAAGCCTGCTTACAGCTTCAACAACCTGTCCTCTCAGTTTTTGTGACAACAAACAGCCACCTGCCTTGACACACTCCCTATACAGCGGCAGGTAAGCAATCGTTACCCTCAGAGGGGCTGGTAGATCTCTTAAGCAGATAGGAGATCCACCCCATTTTAAAATCCTCACCAGGCTCAAGTAATGTTCTTGTCCTTGTCTTATTCCACGCAAGAAAGCTTCCTCTGACCAATGCTCCCGAAGAAAAGCTTTTAACTCAGGAGCTACACCCTCATCATCAGACCGAGAAATATTGTCTGCAACAGCATAAGTAGCTGCTGGATCACCCAAGAAGTCGGAATGGAGAAGAAATGCGACACCATCAAGAGAACCACCACTTCGTTCACCAGCAGCCTTCAGAATTTCAATGCTTAGTGCGGCAAGGACGTGATGAGGAACATGAGGAAGGAGATAGGCAGCAACATCAACTTGGCTACTAGAAGTTGCAGCTGTGAGAGCAAGGCAGAGCTCCATGTCTCGGCAACCCCTTTTCACAAACCACTCAACAACCTGCATACAGCCCCTCTCAGCAGCTCTCATCAGGGGGCCCAAGAAAGCTATGGCATTACCCTCTTCCACAAGGCATTCCATAGTACCAATCTTGCAGTAGTGAGAAGCAAAACCCAAAGCCAGGTCAACATCAACATCCAAACTGTTCCTTTGGGCAATCTAACAACACAAAACCCAGATGCCAAATATAAGTAAGATGAAAAAATTCCAGACAAACCATATATCATAACAGCAAATTTTGGGTCTCGATCTTCTTCTCAAAATTCTCCTAAACCAGATGCCAAACAAAATTGAGAAGAAAAGCTGCCAGTAGAACCATATATCATAAAAGAAAATCTTGGTTCACAATCTTCTTCTAAAAATTCTCCTAGAACTGATACATAAGCAAATTATTTATTCAAGTATGCTTCAGCATAAAAGAAGCAACAATGAATAATGTCAATGTCAGAAAAAATATTTTCGATTTTCCGGATTTTCAAAAGTACTAGTAAAAAGTAAGAAAGGATGGACATTACTTTAGAATTTTTATAAATTTATCATTAAACACATAATCAAAAAACAATACACACGACCAACACATGAGCTTGAATATCAATATATAAAACCATCTTATAAAAACATTTCAAAAAAAATGACGATTATAGTCATTAGAAGAACTAAAAACTTTGGCTTAATAACTATAATACTAATTACCATTATTATATAATTAGTATTTATATTATGTTGAGTATTACCTAGGTACTTTTATATAAAAATAAAATAACTAACAACAGTTGAACATAACTAAATTATAATAGATATTAGGGTTATGAATTTATCCTAAAAGAAAAAAGATGCATATTTTTAAATTTTTTGTTTATTTTTGTAGTAAATGCATAAAGGACAACCAACCTCATTCTCTTTTCGAATCCAGAGAGTTAATGAACATTTTTTGGAAAAGCCCTTTTTTTATTCCAACTATTTGATATTCGGATTCTGCTTCATTATTATTAGTAAAACGACTTCTTTTCAAAAAACAAAAAACAAAAAGATTAGTAAAATGACCAAGCAGTGATACAACATTGATACATCATACATGAACAAGCAACCATGACACATCCGTCTTTCAGATGAATGACAACTAGGAATGAAATCCTCTAAGAACCTACAATCTAAGATAGTAAGGGGCCGCCTGGTAATGTTTTAGGAGAATGTTTTCAAAGAATATTTTTTGAAAATGAAAACAAGAAACAAATTTGCATTTTCAAGATACAAGATACAGTTACAGAAAGAAAAAAAAGAATGATACAGTTATAGATACAAGATACAAGAATGATACGGTTATAGAAAGAAAAAAAAAAGTGAAAACGTGTCTGGTAACATAAACAATGAAAAATGTATAATTTAACAAAATAAAATAAAATTCTGATATTTTTTAAAAGGCTAAAATTATCATAAAAATTAAAAATTAAAAATTTAACAAATACAAAAAAGAATTACGGTGCAAATATAGAAAATAAAATTAAATAACAAAAAAGCAGTTGCTTTCAGCCGACATCCTCCCCCCTTTTTCTTTTTTCTCCTCCACCTTTCTTTCTTCCTTCCCAGTCCCCGTTCCTTTTTTTTTCTCTCTTTCTCTTCTCTCCTTTCTCTGTTCTTCTTCCTTCCAATTATACTGAGATGAAATCCACTAATCATTTGTGAGCAAGATTTTGTAGGAAATAAATCTAATAACATGCAGGTCCAGAGCGCGCTAAAGCAGAGAACAAAGACATGACCCACATTATATATGCCTTGCAAAGGCTAATGATGATATGCATGCCTCGTGGAGGAGGCTATTAATGCAAAATGTCGAGGGGGGCGTGATTAAGCCCATAAGTACTACCTAAGGAGGTAACCCAACCTCTGTGATTGGTGATCCATGAAGGAAGTTCAATGCGATTGAAACAATCCATACTGTGTGATTCATATAGCACTCATAAAACTATGGAGATATCCTTGAGATATTCTTCTGCTCATCCCTAAGGGAAAAGTGCTATTTTATGTGACGCTAGGAAGACATTTATCCCTGAATGAGTTTCGAGGCGAGCAATCTCCCGCAGGCTGCAGGTCACATGTACTCTTGGAGAACTCACCTAAGTGAGAGACGTCGTGAGGCCGCGACTGTGAGAATTGGGCTATTCTCTAGTAACTCTCATGAGAATCAAGATTAGAGCATGGCCATAAATAGTGCTACTCCGCATCCAAGTCTCAACCAATACTACGTGTGGGATATGTTGAAGTTTGGTCAAAGGTGCTGAGTTCAATACGTTGTACAATCAGGTTCCTCAAATGGAGACTATCATCACTAAGTGAAGGTTCAAGCCCGAAAGGCACCTACACCTATTGCATAGTATTATGTTGCCCATATATATTTTGTCATGGTAAAATTTTGAAAACCTTGTGGGGGATTGTTGGAATTTTGAAAAGGTTTTAAATTTTTTTTTTACTGTTTTGATTTGTTTAATTACTTTGGCTGTTTTATTTTATTTATTGTGGGGGTTAAAAACATTAAATTTTCAGGTTTTATTTATATATTGAATGTCTTAATTTTCTAGTTTAATGTGGTGGAGGTTATATGTTCTTGGATGCCTATAAAAAGCCACTCCTCCTTCACATTTGAAATACGACCACATAACACAAATACAAATACCATACCATACAACCACAACCACAACCACTACTACAATCCGCTTCTCTCATCTTCTACCTTTCATACTTTCTCTACTTATATTATTATTTTTGGGCAACAGTTCTGACTTGGAGACCTATATCCGACATGCTCATAACGGACCTTGAGCTTGTGTTTTTGGGGTCGTATCTTAGAGTTAGTAACTTCATGTAGGGAGGCTATTAGGACAACATCTTTAACATGCTTCACCATACCAAGCTTGCTTTCATAATCTTAATTTATTTTACTTTTATTTACATATTATTTGCTTATTTAGTCACTTTACCTTAAAAGACTTTCAAATTTATTTTATATATTATTTATATTGTAAAGGGTTTTGCCTCTCTCTGTGTGCAATTTGCTAAGTGGGTTGTGGTACTTCGATTTGGTACAGGTGGTATTGATGGTAGGGTCGATTGGGTTTGACTGGGTGGTGGTGCGAATAGCAGGTGGCTGGTCTGTTGTGGTGACTATGGTTCAATTGGCCTGTAGTGGCTGTTGGGTGGTATTTGACGATGGTGGTTACGATGGTGGCTTATGCTCTGTTTTTTTGCCAATGAATCCATATTCTCTGAAAATGAAAACCTCATTTTGATGTTTTCTGCATTTTCAGTGAATTATAAAACAGTTGAAAACGTTCTGCGTTTTCTCAAACCACCGAATGCAAATCTCAATGTTTTCTGAGAATGAAAACGGAAAACGGCCTCCAAAAACACCACCGAACAGGCCCTAAGTATCAGAAAAATACATAACTACATACATACAACCATGCTTGTTAAAATAAAGCTTGCTTTTGTTTAGTTTCTTGTGAAAAAAAAAAAAATGCATAATGAATTCTTACTCATCTGATGTTCTTAGGGTGCCTTTCTTCCATTTTTGGCTTTTGTGGAATGTTAGAATCATGGCAGGCATGAATGAATGAATCAAGTATAGATTCCTTTTTCTTCTTTTTTTCCGTTCCTTTAATTTCTTTTATCAGCTCCTAGTGTCCCATTGTGGAATTGGTGAAGTCAGAAAGCATTCTAATAAACTTCATGATGCCAGGCTGCCCTTTCTCTAAGGTTATTTTGTAGCTTGGTATAGTAATATATTTTACAGCTTTCTAGATTTTACCCAAAAATAAACCACATGACTAATTTTCCACATAAACTACTAACAGAAAAGTACTCAGGCAAAAAATAATATCCAAAAGCTAGGAAGGCAAATAAACATCATCATGGCATCTAAACAAAATATTAAAGTCACCTGCAATAAGATGCGCACAAGCTCTGTACTCCCAAAACGAGAGGCTTCAAGAAAACACTGATTAACATTGTCCGCACCCCCTTCCACCAACATACCCAATAAACCATGAATTGCAGTTGCCGAGATCCCAGATGCCCAGCCAGAGTTGAATGAACTAGAAAAGAGAGTTAGGGGAAAGCAAGCAGCATCAAAGGCTTCCGTGAAATCCTTCCCGGAAAGCTGGTTACCAGCAAGATCTATGAACGTCTTAAATGCTGATAACTGGAGTTGGATCTCAACTGATGAGCTATTGTTAACTCTATCCTTCTTACCCTGACCACGAGAATGGAAGCCTATGCATTTCAGAGCCCATTCGGTAAACTTTTGAACCTTAGCACCAGCTTCTGCCTTCAAGACCTCATCTCCATTGCATTCCTGGAGACGCTCATGCAACCTATCAAAAAAAACAATGATGCAAAAGGCACACCAATAACAGGATTAAACGGAAAAAGACTGACAAGGTGCTCAGCAGACACAATAAAAAATACCACACTATACTCTTGTACTTCAAATAAAAGAAGGGAAAATCAAAGGACATCAAAGAATGAAATCTATGCATTCTTAAGTTTTGATAGCAAGTGGTGCCTTTTGCACAACTCCCAGGTTTTCTACATGTACGTTCGTACACAGATTGGCTAAAAGCATATGAACTGGCACATAATAATTACTATAATATGATAACCACAGAAACTGAATATATGCACTTTTTCTCCTTAACGAATTGCTCACTTCATTAAGAATTTAAGAACAAGAGCAAGGGCATAAACGAACTAGAACTATACACTTCAAACACAAACTTCAGTAAATAAAGTAATTTTATCCTACTAGTAAGAAAGATAATGCATCCTAATCTACCTAGTCCTCCTTATTAGTTATAAAGTCTTCATCTTCAATTCTGGAAAAGACTTCTGTAGTCTTTATGGACCCATGCACAGTACAAGCGCCCATGCAAAAACACAGCAATATTTGTCGTTATACAAGCATATGGTATTTTCTAAGTGTTTCTGATTCAAGCCTGCGCAACAAATGCAAAAGGTCAAAGAAAAAAAATTGAAAACTACTTTCTCAAATAGATGGCAAAAACAATAGCTCTCAGTACATATTAAGTGGCATCCCTACAAATTCAGCATGTATATCAACAGTACCGAAAAATTAACACAGGGTTTCAAATATTGATAGATGATCACTCATTAACTACAGAAGATATAGCAGAACCATACATGATGTCAAATCAAATTCAATCTTCTCAGAAAGATAATAAAATAAATAAATATTTCCCCATATAAGACTGAAAACGTTAAGCCTTACCTTTGGGCCATCACTGTGACTGTATCTGCAAGACTCATTGTTCGGCTCTGACAAGCAGAGACGCAAGAAGCAAGAAATGAAGTCCTCAAGGCAGCTCTGGTGAAGTCATATGCACCATTGACAATTATCTTCTTAATCAATCCTGTTATCCCATAGAGCTCTTGTTGTGTGCCCAAGAACCATATTGAATCCAGAGTGATGCACAAAGCATCATTCAAGGTTTGTGGATCAGCTAACAGGATCAAACTCTCTGCAAGTTCCCAATCATGGGAACTCACCGCACCCTGAAACAAACGACCCAACTCAATCCTATCTTGTCTACTGAGTTTCTTCTCTTGCTCAATTTTCTCCTTCTTCTCCAGGTTGGAATTCACCACAGCGGCCCGAGATTTGAGTTTCTTGGCACTACAACTACAATTAGTGGACATCCTTGACTCCTTCCTGACAAGGGGTCCTTCTCTAGAAAATACCATATTACTTCCCTCCCCTTTGTCTGATGCTAAACCTTGAACTCCGTTATTTGGACAATCAATTCCACTCTCTTCTGCTTCCATTTCAATATAAGTGGGGTCTTCAGAATTAGTCTCGTTTACCACAATCCAACCACCATTACCCTCAACAGGTGCCATCTCCTTTTCCATCCTCACCCTCTATAGACTATTCTATTCCCCTTCCCACGAATTTCCGTAATTTAAAATAAAATTAAAGGAAAAACCCCTCTAATCAGGCTATCACACAAATTTCCCAAAAAGCATCATCAAACAGCCCAAGTAGTAAAAGCATAACTGATAATATAATGGAAGAAACTCATCGCTCAATATTCCAAATCCAACAACACCAAATGGTTAATGCACGAATTCGTTACAAAAGATTACTCCCTTTTTTTGTTTCTCCTCCTTCGATCACTGCTCCACTTGGAGTTAGGCGAACAAATCGAAAAGCAAAGTCCTCAACAGGCAATGGAATTAAAATAAGCTCTAAATTCTCGAATTCAGAGACAATCCAGAACAAGCAAACCAGAGAAACAACCTACCAGCCATACCGTCAAATATCAAATGTCAGAGAGGACCACAGTCGCAACAACACTGGAAAACCCTAGAAACCCTCCTTTCAGCGAATCCGAAGGGATTCCAGCAATATATCAAGGATCGAGAATCACCCTATAACACCCAGAACCTCGTTTATCAACACGTTAACAAATACTAACAAAATCGTTAAAGGCATCAAATAAAAAATAAACTATCTAAAACTAAAACAGAATCTGTTAGGGAAGGAGGAAAGAAAGGAAACGAAAAAGCAATGCAATCGAAAATGAGTGCATAAATAGCAAGAACTTAAATAAAGAGGAAAAAGCAAAACGAAAAATACATGGAATGAATAAATAGATATAGCAAACCTCTGATTAATTGTGGTGGAGGACAGAGACTCATCAGAGAGCAAAACCCTGTGATGTTTATTCATTCCCTTCAATTTTTTCATTTCCTATCTGGAAAACCATTATAGATGTTTTCTGTTTATTTTATTTACTTTAGGGTTAATGGTTTTATTAGTCCCTGAACTTAGACCCGATTTGCATTTGAGTACCTCAATTTCCAAAATGGTACTCATGGTCCTTCAACTTCATTTTCGTTAAGACAAATGGTCATGTCGTCAATTTTATTAACTTTTCTATTAAATATAGGGGTAAAATGGTATTTTTGTATTAAAACCCAAAAAATAAATAATTAATTATATCTTTAAAATAACAATAAAAGAAAATTAAATAAAAAACCAACACAAAACAAAAATTCAAAATCAAAATCAATCATCGTCCCCGACCCTCTCCCCCAAAAAATCTCATCGTCCCCGACCCTATTCCAATTCCCCCACCCCCATCTCATCATCCTCGCTTCCACCACCTCTCTCTCTCTCTCTCTCTCTCTCTCTCTCTCTCTCTCTCTCTCTCTCTCTCTCTCTCCACCTCTGCTACAATTTGGTTGTAATATAATATGGGCACTTGATTTCCAGACACTATAAGAATTATTGAGGGTCACTCTAATATTATTGTGATGCAGCACTTTGAGAGTGGTGCAGCCAAAAGGGCGGCAACAACTGCTGGCATTCCTTGAGAGATTAGGGTTAATTAGGTAGCCGCGGTCGATGGTGTACTGCAGTTGGGGATTACGGCTGAGGGGTCGCACTCGCCGTCGAGTCCTGCTTTGATTAGGCCGCTGCCGTTGTCCAACAAGACGACGTTTTGATGCATGTCTAGGTGGAGGGGGGTTGGGTGGTGGGGGTCTAGGACTGCTTTGGCGCGAGGTTGAGGTTGAGGTTTAAGTGGAGGTCTCACTCGCTGGGTTTTGGGGTTTAAAGGGTGTATTGCAGAGATGGGATGAGCTGGAGTTGCAGAGATGGGAATTGAAGGAGAGCTGGAGTTGAAGAGATTCTGGGTTGGACTGGAAGGAGAGAGGGATTGAAATTTTATTTGTTTTTATTTTTATTTGATAGGTTTTAATTGAATTTAAATATTTTATTGATATTTATTTCACCAAAGCTTTTAAAAAAAAAAATTACCATTTTTTGTTTGTTTTTAATATTTTATTCATATTTTAATGAATTTAAAATTAAAAAATATAAAAATACCATTTTACCCTTGTATTTAATAGAAAAGTTAACAAAATTGACGGCATAACCATTTGTCTTAACGAAAATGAAGTTGAAGAACCATGGATACCATTTTGGAAATTGAGGTACTCAAATGCAAATCGGGTCTAAGTTCAGGAACTAATAAAACCATTAACCCTTTCCTTTATTATTCATTTTGTTAAAGGAATCCGCCAATTTGACCCTTCAATTCTACGATCACTGTCAATTTGTCTCCTAATTAAATTTTCTAAATTTTAATTAGTCTATGTATCTCTCAATGTTAAATTTCTACACATGTCATTCAATTTGCCTCCTAATAATAATGTCTCTTTTTTTATAAATTATAGAATAGTACGCTAAATGATCATATGGAAGAGTATTTTTGCTCATCATTTTAATCCAAGGTCTATGTTCACTATCTTTCTCAACACTAGATATGTGTCCATATGCATAATCATGGTTCCATAATACAAAGTAAAAAATTTAACTATAGTTATGTTTATGAACACGTATAAAGTATTAAAAATGGTAGTGATTAAAGTGGTGAGCAAAACTATTTTTGGTCATGTGGTATAGTTTGTGCACGTATTATAATATGAATGAATGACATGATTGATTTTACCCCTTTTAAGGAATAATATCGATACATATACTTATACTATAATATGTGGGCAAATTATACCATGTGGTCGTACAATCGTACTACATTATAATTACTTGTAATTTACAAATAAATTGGTGTTCAAAACACCAATTTATAAATGATTTTGAAGTGTTTCAAATCTTTGTGTATTGTTGTTTCAAATTACTGTAAAAAAGAACAATTTGTCCTTTATAACATCTCATGTGTGCGCCCATCACATGACATTAGGGGTGGGCACAGTTCGGTTTGGACCGATTTTTGCATCAAATTATAACCGATTTAGTATTATTCATCCGGTTTGGTTCGGTTCGGTTTTTATAAAAAAAAATTCAAAAACTGTCCGATTCGGTTTGAATCGGTTTCGGTCCGGTTTCGATTCCAATTTGATTTTGAACCAGATTATAAAAATTTTTATTTTTAATTGTTTTTTAAATACAATTATCAACTAAAATATTATTATTTTACTTGAAAATTAACAAATTATTCAATTTCATATAAAAATAAATATTAAAGTTAGAAAAGAGAGATATTTTGAAATTGAACTTGGATAAATATTAGTTTTTTTTAGTGAAATTAAAAATATAGCATTAAATATAAATATATATTAAAATTATATATTTTTTTAATTTGACCGGTTCGGTTCGACCCGATTTAGTTTTTGAAGACATGGAACCGGATTCAGAACTGGTCCAAATCGGTCCGATTCGGTTTTTGACCAATTGTTGACTTTTTGGTCAACTCGATTTTTTTCCGATTTGGTTCAGTACGGTTTGGCTCGAATTTCCAGTTCGCTGATTAGAGTGCCCACCCCTACATGACACTATTAAAATGTGGTGGTATGTGTACTAATCCGTAATCGGATTAAGATGAACTGAATTGAGAATGAGTTGAATTAAGGAAATTTAGAATCCGGATTCCTATGAAGTTTACCAAACCATATGAATTGGGGTAGGAGTGATATTAATTCCTTTTAAGTTATTTAATATTCTCATGAATTGGAATTGAAACCAAATTGATTACTAAAATGCTCTTGTTGTTGGGTTAAAGTGATGACAAATTTGGAATTTTTAAAATTTGTGTAAGGATATAATCAGTAAAAAGATGAATTCCTAATGAGTTATTTCTCCATCAATTAGTACCACCTTTCACCTAAGAGTCCAATTCCTCCAAAATCATGAGTTGATTCCTCCATGTGAAGTAAACACATGAGTATCCGTATTGAGGAATTCAACTCATTATTTTAATTCCAATTATAGATTAGTAAACATGTAATGTGTAGATATTCACGATGTGTGGTAAATTGACCAATAAAAGTCGTACAAAATTTTAATGTGTAGATATTCGCTTCTTTTTTTTTGTTGGAAGACCTTTCTTATTGAGAGGGTCAATAGCATACTAAACTCACACACACTACACGGATGCTAAGACTTGAATCCATGACCTTTCCTAAAGGAGTAATTGCTCAAAACCACTACACTAGTGTGTCTTTTATAGATATTCACTATTAAATGTAATACATAATATTTATTATATATTTATAAATGATAATTTTAAATACAAAACCTGGAAAAGTGCTTACGGGCATTTGCAATGTGATGTTATAAACTACAATACAAACATATAGAGAGAAGAGGATTTGAACTTTCAATGCAAATGGTGGGCACAGTGTCATGGTTAATTGGACTAACTCATATATGCATACTTTACTTTTTATTTTATTGCAAACATTTGCATGTGTTTGAAGGAGGAAATTTAAGAATGTTGATAAATAGTAAAAGTATGAGGTTTCAACTAAAATGGCAATGAGATTTAATACATGACTTTAAAGTTTATATACATTGGAAATTATACTATGAAAATATGTGATGCTGATGGCAGTAGCTACGTTAGTAGGGTTGATGTTATTGGTGATGTTTGATGGGTCATGTGAGGTGCTCGTAAGGAGGTGGCGACAATGTTGGACTGGTGATGATAATAGTGGTGGCGATAGTAGGAGTGATGATGTTGGTCATGTTGTTGATAAGGCGGTGAGGATGTTGGGTTGGTTAGTTAGGAGAACTCGTATTGCCCATTTTGGGCATGTTTATGTATCAGTAATGAAAAAACTAAGGAATCAAAGAATTTAGGAATCGGAGAACTACTAAATCGGTATGGGAAGAATCATTCCCATTAAGCTGTTTACTAAACATATGGAATTAGCAATGGAATGAGATTGATTCCCATTGTTATTGTTTACTAATTTGCATGAATCGGAATCCAAATTAATTTTAGAATTATGGTAAAGTGATAAGGGTATTTTTGGAAGTTACTAAGAGAAAACAGGAATGTGAATCGTATCAACTACTCCCCCCCTAGTTGATCTGATTCCTAGTTTTAAGGGAATGTGATTACGGATTTTGAGGTAGAGCCCACTTATTTTTTCATTCATGATTGCAAGTAAACGCAGGAGAAGTCAGGAATGAAAATCATTCCCTTTCCTTCCATACTCATTACTAATACGTAAACATGCCCTTTATTTGATGCGATACACGTTTTAAATTGGCATGGTTACTTGTAAGCTGCAAAAGAATGGGGGAAGTCATGAATCAAAGAGCTATATGATAGTAAGGAATTGGAATCTGATAGTTGATATGATTCCCAATTTTGAGGCTATTAACAAATTTTACCATGGAACTCTCATACTTTTTTATTATGTTAAGTGTAAATAAACGCAGGAGAAGTACAAAATGAGATTAATTCAAATACCCATGTGTTAGTAAACGCACATGAAGAAATAATTGAGAGCATATTTACTTACTAAGAATGGAGGAAGCCATGAATCGAGAAATTTGGATAAGGGAATCAAAGTATTGGAAGTGGATCAACTACTCTCATAGTTGATCTTATTTCAGAGTTTGAAGGTATTTGATTACATATTTTAAAAAGGAATCCACATAATTTTTTTTATTACTTATACATTAGTAAACGCCAGAAAATCAGGAATTAGAATCATACACTCACACTAATAAGAGCATCCGCAATGGGGGGTGTATTTTCGGGGGTGTAAAACCACTTTTACATCGCCTTTATATTTTTGGAGGTTGTAAATGTGGTTTTTGCTCAAATGGGGAAGATATAAAAATCCTCGTAAGCTTTTCCTAATGGACACACAAAGCATTTTACTAGAAATTGTAAAAATGAATCCACATAATTTTTTATTACTTATACATTAGTAAACACCAGAAAATCAAGAATCGGAATCATACACTCACACTAATAAGAGCATCCACAATGGGGGGTATATTTTTGGGGGTGTAAAGCCATTTTTACATCGCCTTTATATTTTCGGAGGTTGTAAATGTGGTTTTTGCTCAAATGAGGAAGATATAAAAATCCTCATAAGCTTTTCCTAATGGACACACAAAGCATTTTACTAGAAATTGTAAAAAGGAATCCACATAATTTTTTATTACTTATACATTAGTAAACGCCAGAAAATCAGGAATTGGAATCATACACTCACACTAATAAAAGCATCCACAATGGGGGGTGTATTTTCGGGAGTGTAAAGCCACTTTTACATTGCCTTTATATTTTCGGAGGTTGTAAATATGGTTTTTGCTCAAATGGGGAAGATATAAAAATCCTCATAAGCTTTTCCTAATGGACACACAAAGCATTTTACTAGAAATTGTAAAAAGGAATCCACATAATTTTTTATTACTTATACATTAGTAAACGCCAGAAAATTAGGAATTGGAATCATACACTCACACTAACAAGAGCATCCACAATGGGGAGTGTATTTTCGGGGGTGTAAAGCCACTTTTACATCGCCTTTATATTTTCGGAGGTTGTAAATGTGGTTTTTGCTCAAATGGGGAAGATATAAAAATCCTCGTAAGCTTTTCCTAATGGACACACAAAGCATCTTACTAGAAATTGTAATATATTCAGATTTTTTTTTACAAAAAAAAAAAAAAAAAAGAAAAAGGAAAAAGGAAAAAGGTAGTAGTGCTGATATATTATTAGTGCAATACCAGCACGACATAGATTAGACTTGTGTGAGAAAGTGGGAAGAGAGCTTGAGACCAAAACCCTAGAATTGTGTGAAGTTTGATCTGTTCAGATCAAAGAAGCGAGGAGGCAATGGATGAAGAGTATGATGTCATAGTGTTGGGAACGGGTCTCAAAGAATGCATCCTCAGCGGTCTTCTCTCCGTTGACGGCCTGAAGGTCACACCTTCCGCCACTCCTACACTTTTTTTTCTTGTTTTTTGAATCTCATCCATGGACTCTGTTTTTTCACTTTGATTATTATTATTATTATGTGTAATTGCTTTTCCAACTGGGTCGACGGGGTATACTCGCAGTTGTGATCGGACGGATCTAGATGCTCCAAACAATCTCACGGTCTTTTTTTTGTTCCATTATTTTCATTTCTCCGTTTATGTCTACTTGGATGTTTGTCTAAATTCTTATCGTCTTACTTCAACTGGTTTTGATCTGACCCTATTAGTCCAAAGTGCGTCTAACCAAGTGCGCTTTACTGTCAATCTTAGACCCTGAAAAAACTGCCACTCAAACTGGGCTGCCAGGATATTAGCAGCTTCAACTCTTACCCATTTAACATCCTCAATTCTCCAACTATTTTGGCAAATAACCAAGGAGAAAATCTCTAATGATAAATGTCTGACAGGGCCAGTGGGATTTTATCCTACTTCTATAGCTTGCCTGATGACAACCGCTCCCCAAAATTACTTAACGTCTGTGCTTAGTTACTACATTATTATGTGTATTTGAGTTCCTGATGCGATGTGAAAGTTTTTGCTTGCTATGACTATTTGCTTCTATTCGCCTTAACAAACTTTCATCTGTTTAAACTGGAACAATTGTTTGAGATTGATTTTCTGGTTGATTTCTAACTATTTTTCTCTGAGATAATGAGTACTCCCTCCTACATGTAGAAGGAATGGTTATTAAACCACTTGTTCTTTTGTTGGTGCCTTTCCTTCTCTTCTCATTCTGTTTTTCCATGGTCTTTCCTTTTTGTACTTATTTCTTCTGTTGGGGCATGTAGGGCAAAAACCTTAGCACCTTTGCTATTTATTAACCCTTATATATTTACTGTTTTTTTATTTATATAAATTTCTTATCTGCCGATGATGATTGAGTGTTGATAAATAAAAAAAAAACTAGGGACTTTTAGTATTGATGCGTGCATCTTGTGAACCAGGTTCTGCACATGGATAGGAACGATTATTATGGAGGAGAGTGTGCATCACTTAATCTTGTCCAGGTCCTGTTCTGCCCCTTATTGTTTAAACCAAAATCTCAATGAAGTATCAGTTCTGTACTTCTATTGCAATCTCTCTCTCCCTTAAACTTTCCAGTTAAATATTTATCTTGATCTTTAAATGATTAACTTGCAGCTATGGAAGAGGTTCAGGGGAGATGATAAGCCCCCAGCACATTTGGGTTCTAGTAGGGATTATAATGTGGACATGGTCCCTAAGGTAGGTTTTGTGTGTTTCCTTGCTTTCTGCATTGTGTTTGGCCCATTATTTGTGGGTCTTTTATTTATATTTATTTTCTAGTTTTCTTAAAGTGTTGTATTTTTCTCTGTGTAGTTTATGATGGCCAATGGCACTCTAGTGCGTGTTCTAATTCACACAGATGTCACCAAGTATTTGTACTTCAAAGCTGTGGATGGCAGTTTTGTGTATAATAAAGGAAAGGTAGAATTTGTGCTGACTTATTCGAAACCTGTATTTAGTATTTACACACACTCAGACATATATGTGTATAGATTTTATCTTTACACTTATGAGTGGCATATGAAATGTTGCAATAGGTTCACAAGGTTCCAGCAACTGACATGGAGGCACTTAAATCTCCACTCATGGGTCTGTTTGAAAAGCGCCGTGCCCGCAAGTTCTTCATATATGTTCAAGATTATAATGAAAGTGATCCCAAAACACACGAGGGAATGGACTTAAGAAGAGTGACTACTAGAGAGTTGATTGCGTAAGTGATTGGATGTTGCCCTCTTTGCAAATGAACTCATTGTTGCAATCTTGATGGTCTCAATATCTTATAAAAATAAATTTTAAGCAACGGATCAAAGATTAGTTGGTTGGCATATTGCTTAATGGGTGTTCAAAATTTATGCGATAAGTATTTGGGGTGTAATGTTGGGATGGAAACTTGTTCACAGAGAGAGAGAGAGGAGAGAGAGAGAGAGAGAGAGAGAGAGAGAGAGAGAGAGATTTGGGGTGTAATGTTGGGATGGAAACTTGTTCACAGAGAGAGAGAGAGAGAGAGAGACCTAATTGTACCAACCAATGATTGCCTTTGTTTTATATTGTATATGGTTAATCTCTACAAAGGTGAGGTGATCTTATTTTGATTGCACTGTTGATACTGTACATGTGATGAACTTAGTAACAATCTGAGACCATTTGTTTATTTTTTGTGTGGTTGATGTTTTGACAGAAAATATGGTCTTGATGACAACACTGTTGACTTCATTGGGCATGCATTGGCACTTCATAGAGATGACCGCTACCTGGATGAACCTGCACTGGAGACTGTGAAGAGAATGAAGGTAAATACTGGTTGGGGTTCACAGTTGATATTTGTATCCCTGGATTTTAAATTCGCATATATTACAAGTTTCATTTTTTCATGAACTTGAGTTTTACCTCTTGTTTTTGTGTTAGCTATATGCGGAGTCTCTTGCACGTTTTCAAGGAGGATCACCATACATATATCCATTATATGGATTAGGAGAGCTTCCCCAGGTCTCTTTCTCTCTATTTAAACTATTGTAATTAATGTCAAAGTTGGTAAAGATATTCATTTTATTTTTTTGGCGCTTCATGTAGGCATTTGCACGACTTAGTGCAGTTTATGGTGGGACATATATGTTGAATAAACCTGAGTGCAAGGTACTCCTTACTCATGTTTCTTGGATGTAACACTCTTTCACACTCTTTCCCTTATGTTATTGCATTAGTTTTTTCTACTCTATATTTGGAAAATTGCTGTGTACGTGAATTTTATTGTTGGTCGAGGCTGAGTTTGGTACTGCATGATACCAGGTAGAGTTCAATGATGAGGGGAAAGTAATCGGTGTAACATCTGAAGGGGAAACTGCTAGGTGCACAAAAGTTGTCTGTGATCCTTCTTACTTGCCCAACAAGGTAAACCCTTCTAAGTTGGTTTGCGGTTATAATATCAATTTTCTATTCACCTTATGCATTGTAAGTAGGCAGATGATTCTATTGAATTATAGGTCCATAGGGGACAGACAATTGCTTCTCGTTTCTTCTGTACCATGCTTGAAGGGTGAAGAAAAAATGCTCATTATCCCACACTTGACTGAAAATTTATTGCATTTCTACAGGTTAGGAAGGTTGGAAAGGTTGCAAGGGCTATTGCGATAATGAGCCACCCAATTCCGAACACCAATGATTCTCATTCAGTGCAGGTTATCCTGCCACAGAAGCAGTTGGGTCGCAGATCAGATATGTGAGTTCTTTTGTTTGTGACAATTATGAAGGTTGCAAGCAATGCACTTATGTATCTTGTATCTGTGATTTTAGAATGGGGTTAAAGGTATCTAAATAGTTAAAATGTTTCATGTCTGGCGCGTGGTATGTTTACCTGATCTATAGTTGATTGGTTAGAATATACTAAAAAGATCTAATTTCATTGGGCATCGTGGAAATACCACAGACTCTGTAACTTTGGAAATCATTCGTGCTCTGCAAGTCCTATCTGGGATAAGGTAAAAGTTTGAGCGAACAACCAAATTCTTGATCTTACCTTGATCTGATTTGAGGTCTGTGTCACTGTTGCTTTAGCAAAAAGCAATCCCATGACTAGCTTTTCTTTTGCTATGAGAAAGAAATGGCATCTTTTTATTTTTCTTTACTTTTCGAATACGAAGAAAGTAATGGCATAATTTATACATACAAATGAACACTAATTGTTTTATCTCTGTTTTGTATTGGATATGCAATGTTATTTCCAGTGGATTTCTTAATCACTTATCTATATACTATGGAGCAATGGTTTGTTGGTGGATAGTTATTTATTCCGATTTATCTCTTATTATCATTACTACACTACTACTACTACTACTACTACTACTACTATTATGTTATTATTTTGTATCTATTGTACAACAGGCTAAGTTTTGTGATCTTTTATGACCGAGCAGGTATCTTTTCTGTTGCTCTTACTCTCACAATGTTGCTCCAAAGGGAAAATTTATTGCATTTGTATCAACAGAGGCAGAGACTGATCATCCTGAGACTGAGCTAAAGCCAGGAATTGACCTTTTAGGGCCTGTTGAAGAGATATTTTTTGATATTTATGACAGATATGAGCCAGTCAATGAACCCTCTTTGGACAATTGCTTCATATCAACCGTGAGTCATTTTCAAGTCTTGGCCTGTTCCGTGTATTCTTCATTATTACTTATGCACACTTGACGTATGCCTTCTTATGTTTAACAGAGTTATGATGCGACAACACACTTTGAGTCCACTGTTATGGATGTACTCAACATGTATACCTTGATTACAGGGAAGGTAAGAAATATAATAATCCATACACGGGCTAATTGGTTCCATTCTTTTCCATTTCATGTCTCCTTCAAGTCTCGATGGAAATTGCCTTCAATTAAAATTCAAAAGCTACTATTGACTAACTTGCTCTTGTTCATTTTACTGTTTCAAAGAGTTATGTTTATCATACAAGGCTTAACCAAAAATACCTGGAATTTTGGAGCAGGTTCTTGACCTCAGTGTGGACTTAAGTGCCGCTAGTGCTGCAGAATGAGTAAAAACTACATGTGGTGCTTGTACAATTGTGCTTTGTTCCAAGTACGTTGAACTGCTTAAGTTGCTGGTGGTAATCCTCATACCGTGGAGGACTATATGAGTTTTCACTTTTAATCATAGACTTGATATGTGATATAATGCTGTTTTAAATGTACTAAACGTCCTTTCAAGAAAAATTGTACTTTAAAACATGTCTAGATTTCGGACGTGCACTTGTGGTAATGTTATTTTCAGGTTGCGAGTATGCGGGGAGGCATATAAAAGTATTACTTATCAGGGGAACTTCTTTGAAAACCACCCAAAAAAAATTGTACGGAAAACAACAAATATTTTTTTCTGGAATCAACCAATAACTCTCCAAATTGTTGCCGTATTTTTATTATTTATAAATCAACTATTGATGATCTGCAAATTGCGTACGCAAACTCATAAATTAAACGTCTTGAGTTTTAGTTTTTTATTTTCATTTTTAGTCCTAGAATATAGAGGAAAATGAGAGTGAGAATGAGAGTAAGGATGAGATTGAGAGAGAGGATGAGAGGGTAAGATGGGAGGGAGGAGTACTAAAAGTGAAAACAATTTCAAATAAATTTCAGTTTTTAGTTTTTGTTTTCACTTTTGTTATTCCTCTTTCCCATTCTCTCTTCTCATCTTTCCTCTCAAATCCCATCTTCACTCTCATTCTCACTTTCATTTTTCCTCTTTTTCTTTTATAATCTAGCACAAAAAATAAAAACTAAAATTGAAATAGTTATCAAGCGTCCTTATTTTATAAGATTTTATGCATGTGTTAGGCATGAATAGTTGATGTATGAATTCTTTCACCTCATCAATATATGAATTCTTTTACCCTATCTATAGTTCTTGTATGAATATGAAGTCATTTTCTAGTAAATTTGTTGTATTTCAACTTTTTCTAAAAGATAAAAGGCATTTTAGGATTCAAAGTATGAGTAACTTAATATAGAGAAAATTACTCTTATGCACTTATCAGTCAAATAGTTCATTGTTTAAGTCATCCCTTCAAAGGTGATCCAAATTAGTTAAATAAAAAATAAATTGCTCATTTCAATATTTCTTTTAATTATATTGAAAATAGTGTTATTGTCTCTTTATTTGATTACTATAAAATAAATAAATATTGATTAGTTAATGCATCAATGGAGGAGGAAGATTTGAATTTAGAATATTTTTTGGTAAATACAACGAGGTGTCCCCACACCCGAAGAGTGGGATTAATCCCCTGCCATTGAGGTACTAAGTAGCTCACCAGCTGAAGGTGATAGTTTGTCAACCACAATTTGGAATATTTTTCAATGAAGTATTAATAGACTAAGAGTGTATTCGTTTTTTTCTTTTTATTTTATTTATAAAAATGATAATGTTTTCTTGACCAATGAGTAGGGGCCATGGCCAGCTCCCATAGTGTGATGGGGGATGTGTGCAAGGCCCGGGAAAGAATTCACCGCCGTATGGTTGATCGGCGATTACTATCGATTCCGGTTTCATGTAGGCGAGTTGCAGCCTACAATCCAAACTAAGGACGGGTTTTTGGAGTTAGCTCACCCGGGGGATTCGACAAAGACTCACCAAACTCAATTCTAGCATTCTTGCTATATTATAGCAAAGGTTGTGCATAGACATTTAAAAAAAAAAAATTGAATGTATAAAGTCGGCATATCATTCTTGCTATATAATTTATAACAAAGGTTTACTTCCACTTGCTATCTTGATTCTATTGAAGTTTACTAGTAAGACTAGTTTGAGTGAGACCAGGAGGTTTTTCATTTTGATTTATGAGTGGCAGTTCAGGCTCAATTTCTCCTGTCTTGAGATCATCTTCTCGTGAAGATTCCTTATTTCCTGCTACTTGAGCCAATTGGACTGTCTGAGAAGCCTCTTTGGGTCCTCCTTGGCTAGAAGAAGAACCATTAGCAGCCTTTCTCAACGCCTTGTTCTTTTTGGCCGACCGAGCCCAGCCAACAAGCCCCTCTTGTATATGTTCTTCAAATATAGCCTTCTTGAATGAACTTCCCATCTTCATTACAAGTAAACATAGATATATCTGAGTCTAAATTCTTCAAAAGGATAACAAAAAGGGAAAGCAATTGCAGCAAATCAAATTCTATGCATCCCTGCAACTCACCTGTGTGACAATTGCGTACAATGGCAAGGTACTGTAACTGCAGACGAACTGAATGAATGCTCTGAGAATGGATATTTGCATCCAGAACGAAAAAAACATCTCAGATTTATGAAGCTGTGTTGGGATATATCAATATAAATATAATACAAGGAGCACACAAACATATGTAATTAATATGGTTTTTACCCAATAACAAGTCTTGGGATGATATAACCAACTTGCCCCATTATGCAGGAATCAAATGAATATTGAACCTGCAAGAGATGGAGGCAACCAAATATGATAAATCTACCACTACCATTTTGATCAGATATAAAAGTTTTACTATGTAATTTTATATTACATTCTTACCCATATCCAGAAGAAAAATGCCAGTTCAAAAGAATTTTGGAACAAGATGATTTGAATCAGTAAGAGAACCAGTCTGGGCCTGTGGAACCAGAAGTGATCATCTGAAGGTTGAACAACCAAGTCCCCTTCGATTGCAATGTGTTTCTCAGCAACCTCATGGGCCAGTTGGGTAATTACATGCTCCAACTTAGTGCCAACAGCAAGTAAAAGCTGTAGGAAAGATTTAAGAAACCACCACAAACATTAACTTCCCTGTCCTATAAGGTTTGCTGGTTAGTCTGCGGAATTTGTGGAGACAAATGCACAAATTTATGGATCATTGGACATGGATGAGAATTACTATTTAACCATACAAGAAAATTCTGGTATACTCATCTAAAAAGAAACAAATATATGATCTGAAAAAGAAGACTATGGAGCAAAAAGAGACCTCATGCATCGCGTAGCTTTTATTATAGATGAGATGACCATAAACAAAGAAATAAGATAATCATCATCATCAAGATACGTATATATAAACTGAAATTTGGACTTGTGCTAAGAAGCATGGGGCAGTGGCAGAGCTGCAGGTAAGTCTAATCCAAACAACACAGGTGTTGGCAGTGTGATAAAGACAAAACCAGCACTATATTACAAGTATATATTTGTCAAACTTACAATGAACGGAATGAATGCTATCCAGAAATAGGCATGCCAACCTGCATAGAAACATCACAAGTGGCGGTAATGATCTTCATGCACCAGGTCAAAAATGCAAATGAAGATGAGGGTATATCTATAAGGTGGATTGTGTTCAACTCCAGTTCTAGGAACTTCTTGTCAATAAAACTAAGATAATTCTAATCTCATTTGATGTGTCAAGTGCTTAAGAACTCAAGATCTCTGCCACAAAATATCTATTTCACTTTCAAGGCAGAGACAGAGGATCTTATTGTAGGCAAATGAGTTGTACAACGTGCTGACCAATATCTCATTTCCATTCTAACTAAACATTGCAGAACCACAGTGCAAAGTTGTAAGAGCAACTGAATTTATTGAAAAAGGATAAAAATAATGACGTAGTCATTACAAACCCAAAAATAAACCGAAAGTTAAAAGCTTACCCGAGACATTCAGCAACAAGAAGATGACCACAAAGATCCAAAGATACCAACTGTAAATGATAATTAATAAGTTAATGACACAGTAGTATGCTTTATGAACAGAGAGAACAGTCCAAAGACATGATTCTAAACTTTCGTAAAACCCTGAAACAAATGATTTTAGACTATAGAAGTATAAATCTCCCATGCCTGCACTTGATGTGCTTGATTAAATCTTTAAGGTATTTTTATGTTGTGGATGGGAAGGAGTAAGGCAGTAGTAACTAGTAAGTGCAGCCCTGCCAATGAGGCTCCAGCCATTGCAGGGTTTATATAGGGTCAGATAAATGCAGACTTCTCCCCGTTCGAAGAGAGGGAGATGCGCTGTTTCCTGCTTCAAGCCTGTGGCTTCTAGGTTGCAACTCATCCTCAAAGAGTAAGGCAGTGAGCTAACTAGTAACTACCAAAAAGATGCAACTAGTGAAACTATGAGCATGATGTGAATGATCTTGTAAAATTGAAACTAACCTTATTCCAACGACTCTCTTAAAATCTGCTTCAAGGGCACGTATCATGTACTTGTGGAAATTAAAATTTGGATTCCCCCTGCAATGGGTCTACGGGAGAATTACTTCAAAATTTGAAACAGGAATTTTGTGGAAACATTCAAAACGTGTGATAGCACAGAGAGAAAAGAGGATGCAGAAATAAATAAAATAACTTACACTGATGAAGCCTAATCGCATTGTCATATAATCTGTTTTGGTCACAGACCCATAAAATTGCTTGAAAAACGCATGCTGGATAAGAAAAGAGCCATGAGACAAAAAGACAGACAGACAGACGGAGAGAATTATGCGACATTGCTTATTGATGCTGAAGGATGATATATATCATATGACTCACCAACCAGCCTAGAAAAGCTGAATTCTTTCCAATACCAAGAAAGCGACCCCTGATAAAGTCATGATCTTGAACGTGCGTGAACTTCTTTGTCAAAACTGCACACATAATATATATTCCAAAAAGAAGAAAAAGCACTCCAGAATCAATTAGAAGTTGAAGCACTTCCTCCCAATGTGAAATTAATTATAAAGAATGATGTAAATTAACATTAGCTAGTGGTACCTTCTTCGGGGTTGTACTCCTTTTTTGCGATAGAATCCTCCCAATGTTTCCATTGACGTATCTACTCCATTGAGAAAACATGAAACGGAAAATGTCGATGCTATAGAATGAGTCGATTAGACAGACACGAATAGGAAATTAAACTAAGGATGTTACCTTTGCCCCTCCAAAAAGAATGGTTAGAACACAGAAAGTCACATGCACCACAGCCAGCACAAAGATGAAGATATGAAGATGATGCAATGCAGTGGTGGATAACAATGGGACCTTCCCCTGGAAAAATTTAAATTAAAAAAAAGTAAAAATTAATTGGTGGCATAATGGCATTGGCATGATATTTCAAGTGCAACATGAGGGAAGGAATCAATCAATCAATCAATCTTGTTGTTTAATTACACGTTAGTTTGGTGGAGTTTTGATGATCAGGTCATTTCAATTTTCAGGAGATCCGGTGTTATCTAGTTAATTTCATTTGACCAGAAGACGCGGGTGGGTTAAAGACTATATATAATCAAATAAAAGATAATAATTGAGCACCAGCATTCGAATGGTCTCTCTCTCAAAGAGCTTTAAGTTAGAACTTGGAGACAAGTTTTAAAACTCAACTCCCTCCAACTATGCACCCTGTCTAAAAAAGAAAGAAGAAAAAGAAGATGAATACCTCCGGACAGCCAGCAGAATCAGAGTCGTCAGCAAGTAAGCGACGGGCAGTAGTAGTAGCAGTGGAAGTAGTCCAGGGAAGAAAGGAAGTAGTAAACAAGGTCTGGAAATGGGCAGTAGTACTAGTAGTGGTCTCTTGTTTTTCTTTCTTACAAGGCAGCCATTGACTAGCCTGTTTCTCCGTTATACAGATTTTGGCTATACGATCTTGGCACACCGTCAGCAGCAGTGATATAAACCCCAAAAGCATCAACTCTGCATCACCAATTCACCATCATATGATTGATCACTGATAGACATGTTATATTGAATGAATTGGATTGGATGAGTGAGGTACAAGGAAAGGAAGACCTTCTTTGATCTTCTGCAAGGCCTCAAACAGAGGTTTCTGGTTCTGTTTCTTGAGATACTGCAAACAAACAATTAAATTATATATATTAATAGTTACAAATCGAGATGAGAATATATGTGGGTGTGTATGTGTAGAGTGGATGGGGAGGATGCATGCCTTGCCAGTGTAGTGAAGGATTCTCTCGAGGGCTAGGGATATAAGCACTATGACACTACACACCAAAGCCACCACCCATGTCGGCGTGTGCTCCAACGTTGTTCCTCCTTGTGCTGCCATCCAATTCCAAATTCCAATTCTTTCCAAACCCTCTCCCTGACTTCCTCACCCCTGCCTGCTCTGCAGACACTCCTACCTAAGCTTAAGCTACCTACCCTAAGAAACAAACCAACATATTATATATCTGTATATATATATATATATATATATATTATACTCAGCTCCAGCTCTGTGGCGGCTCCGTCTGTCTGTCTGTCTGTCTGTCTCAGTACTGTAGTCTAAATACTTGCTTAGAGTAATATGTAATTTGATCTGTAAAAAAATAATTAATTAGTGTACATTATTAGGAACAAAGGCCTTAGGCCTGGCCAGGTGAGTTAAGGCTGGCTGGCTGGCTAATATATATGTCGCGGGCGGCGGGCGGATTGTGATGAGCAGTGAGAATAATAATAATATTATATCAAGGAAGGGAATTAGGAGGAAGGAGCTGTAAAGCAGCTTAGCTTAGCTTGGCCTACCTGCTACTACAAATCGCATTTCTCATAATTTCGTTTTGTGGTTGGCTTCATTCTCTCTGCGCGCCTTCCTTTCGTTTTGTGGAGGAGATGGGAGGTGAGGTGGTGGACTCCCTCCCAGTCAGTTCCAGACCTGCAGTCTTGTTCGTTCTTTGTGTTCACTCTTGACTTTGCAGTCCTGTATTAATATTTTTCGATCAAATTAAAGAAACAAGGAAAGAAGGAGGAAATTCCACAAGGGCCTCTTAGTCGCGCGGAAGACGTGGAAATTCCACAAGGGCCTCTTAGTCAGTGAAGACAAATAATAGTATATACTACGTCAAATTCATTCAAAAAATGTCCTTTCATTTATGAATATTTATTTATTTCGTTTGGAAGCTTCTATTGTCTCCTATCTCATACCACGCGTCCCTCTCCATCCCGCGTGTTTGACAACGTAGAAGAGTAAGAGATGTACGTCCGGGTTATGTGATGGATGAACATGAATCTGATGGGCAGGAAGAATAACTTGTATGTTACGGTAATAACACTGTTTTGTTGGCTCCATTCAATCACATTTTGTTAGAAAAATTATTACGCCTGATAAAACATGATTAGTTGGGATAACAAAAAATTACTATTCCCATCATATACAAGCATTTCTGGATCGGTAGGTAATGAATCAATCTCATTGACTTAATAATATTCAAGCCATCCCTAATTTGATTTCATATTGTTGCAAGTTGCAACCACGGAGAAGGTTTGAGAAAGGACTGGCTGGCTGAGCATCTGTGCTCTGCGTAGCAAAATTTGAATTTGCTGTGCTGATCCACTTGCGGGAATAATAAATGACTTATTGTGTTGATCTATTGCTTATATGTGACTTAAAAGCTGGATTCATTATGCATGCATTTTCAGAACCTCTTTTTTTCTCCTTTTTTGACATTATATGACGGATCTACCACCTTTCACAATCTCAAAGGGTGAGAGTGATACTTTGTTAGTTTCCTGATTCTCTACAATTGCTAACACAATCCTGAAAATTTTGAAACCAAATTGTTATCTACATTGATTTGTTGTATTTATGAAAAATGACATACTTCTGATATGTGGTATGGTTCTGTATAAACAGTTGTGAAATCATTTCTGAACCAAAAACAAAACAAAAGAATTATTCTGAACTCCGGTTTCTTTTAAATAAGATAATTACCAATCATGTAAATGTCAAGTACTTTGACAAATGACATTAATAAAGAGAAAAGACCACCTATTAATTTATATGTCATTAAAATGCGGATTCCATTGCCACAAAGCAAATACTGGAAGCAAACACACAAGATGGTCGTATCAATTAAGCCAGACATTGATGAACTCTGATACTGACCACTAATCAATCACGAACGCAGATGCGATTTGCACATGACACGGGGGAGATCTCAAAATCCCAATGACTTATTATTACACATCCCAATGACAATAAACTTATAATCCGACTTACAATGAAAGCACCAGTTTAATGGCTTATGCGGCTTTAAGAAATGGAAGAGTTGACAAAATAGCTCATTCAGAAATCAGCAAAAACAGCAAAAACATCACCCTGGATATAGTCATTATCTACCAAACTCACCAAGAAGCAGCTGTTCTGGACCTGCAATAGTCAAGAGAACATCACGTCAGCATTACTGAACTCAATGCTAATCAAAAGATTGAGTAGAAAGGTGTCTGCAGGGCTGTGTAGTAGGTATACGTTTCAACAATTAAAATCATAATTATGTCAATAAGCAAGAAGGGACATTAATGAAGAAAATAAACCTCTTCAAGCAATTTCCTAGATGAGTCACCCTCAGGGTATAAGCGGGCCCATCCTCTTGACCAGATTTCAAACGCCTCATCCTTCCAAACCATAAAACTAGCAGGATCCACAACAGTCGGTTGGATTATCTCCCTTGCGGGAAAGACTCCCCATGTCACAGCATTCACATCAGTCTGACCAATATTAGATATCCATCTCCCATCCTTGTTCACGGCCATGTAGGTTAGAGATGGAAGAGCCTTGCATTTCTCAACAAGAGCATCCAACTTCTCCTTCGAACAGAAAAACTCTAGATAGGCTTTCTGATAAACATATCCTCCAGGCCCACCCCAGCCTGAGAAGCAAGTAATAGATGTTAAGAGTCTACATATATAGGTAAGTTTCTAGACCTGGTTCGAGGATAATCATCAAATCTAAATATCAGTTTGAAGAAAAATAGAAAGATTAAAATATAATAAAAACTAGTTAAAACTTTTTTATGAGGGAGGGAGAGAGGTAGAACTTTTACCGCGCCAAATAACAAAATTTACTAGTTGGGAAGTGAAGTAAATAAGAGGAGATTTTTGTGAAGTACAAAGCTATACTTCAAAGCCAAACAGATGTTTAATTGGCGCTCAAGCAGATTTCTATAAAGACCTGAAACCCCATTATGGCAATACTAGTAATGGTTAAACCTCAATTAGGGATTTATGATCACCTTTCTGAACTCAATGTTGTGCTATAGTTTTGAAAAAAGTAATACAATCTGATCTTCATGAATGGAAAACAAAATCATATCATGTGGAATTTTTAGGCCATCAAATTCAAGTCAGTTTATGTCTCCATTGAGACTCACTCCTGTAATCATTAAGTGACTTCAGTGACTCATGACCAAAACTCTCAATGATAAAAATCAAATAATTCATCATAAATCCACGCTCACAAAAATGAGATACAAATTGAAATATTCACAAAATTGTCATGACCGTAAACTCACAAACATACGTATACTTATTACTTACCAACAGACGTGGAATCAGATCTTTCCCCATTTACCGCTGGTTGGCTGTTGATGGTAAGGAAACCTTTCGTGTTAATTTTACCTAGAAGTTCGTTTATGATCTTCGTCTCTGGCTGAAGCCCATCTAGTTCTGACCAAGGGCTGCTTCTCAATTTTCCAAGGCAGAATTTCTTAAATTTCTGATATAAAAGAAATTCCAATACATCAATTTATATCTAATTTGCTGACAATGCAGAAGACAAAACACACAGAGATGGAAACTTCACCTCATGGATATCTTCAACGCTTCTCAATGGGACAACCCATTCTTCAACAAGTTTCTTGTCGCGTGCACGTGGCCGCATGAACTGTTGAGAAAATTATGACTTAAAGTCGTACATAGCCAACTCTACCAATTCTAGTGCAAAGGGATAAAATAAGAAAGGATGTGTGCCTCAGCCAAGCGGTGGTTAATCAAATGAAAATAAAATGGATTATGATTACAAGTAAATTTTCCTTTGAGGGAACATCATGGGAAGGTTTATGTATTTAACTACTTCAAAATTTTTGAGAAAAAACAAAAAATGATCCACCCAAATTTATCACAAAATTATAGGTACCAAGATTAAACTTGTGTGATTATATGTACCTGATAATCAGTTAGTGCTCCATACGAAGGGTTACGAGAATCACCCCATCGCCCATGTGGATAAAGGTCCCAGCCTATGGTCCTTGATATGTAGCTCTTGGGACGATTAGCCCTACCATCATTTGCTAGGACGATTAGAAATTTTGAAAGATGTACAAGAAGTTAATTACATCCTTTTTTGTTTTCTTGTTTCTGTTTTTTTTCTTTCTGTTGGGGGTGGGGGGACAACAGTTGGATTGCATACCAGAATATTGGACGAACATCTTCTTTAACACGGAAAACATTTGCAGGACGTCTCCAAGGTAAAGGCCTTGATATTTTGGTCTCTTCAATCAAACCAAGATTCTGCCAAGGTAGTATGTTTAGAAGGGATTAGATTTGGTAGCAAGTGTTAATCATGCAAAGAGTATTATATACATCTGAAGTGAGACAATTAGAAAGGTATGAGAAAAAACCATTAATATAGCCAACGCTGATTTCTCCATGTTCAGTGTATAAAGATGCAACGTCCTAATCCCATGAGCCAAAATCTTCTTGCACATCTCGGTTCCAAGGTGAATTCCATAAGATTTGACAGCTTCTTCATTATCCTTGATAGGCTCCAAGGCAGCAGTAACCTCAGCTGGTATCTACAGTATCCCATTAATTGCAAACATTGCACTAATTTAATATATAAAGCAAAACTGCTGAATATGCAAAGGAAATGGCAAAAAGTTACTATGTTTTTTGTATCTTTCAAATGCATTTATCATTGTTTTCTTTATGTGAGGCCAATGTGTGTAACTAACGGTTTCATATGGTTCTGTGGGTTATATCCAAAGGCTATGTCTAGGGTAAAACCAGTGTTTGAATTGAGTTTAAAATTTATAGGCGTATATTTGTAGATCTAGGCTTTCACAAAATTCCTACTTTATAACTATCAATTTACCTCCAGTCTGAATTTATGCGAGTTCAGGGTTTTTTTTCCCTCTAGTGTTGGATGAGTGTTTGATTTTCCCTTAATTTTGAATCAGCCTTTATATGGCTGCTTAAACCCAACCCGACTCAAAATCATTCTAAAACCCCCAAACTTCTTCTTCTACAATCCTAAACCTTAAAAACGGAAGTTTAAAAGCCTAAATCACACCATATATTCAATTTCAGGATAGTAAGGTTGCCAAACATGTCCTAGATAAACAGCCAGACTACTTTTGAATGTCGCATGTTTTGTTCACAACACCAAGTCACATAGTGTTATAACTTATATGGCAAGAAAATATTTCTGAACCAATTTAGTTCCCCAAATTTTAGCCCTATTCTGGAATACTACTTGAATTTCACGATGTTAAGAAATAAAAAAATAATAAATAATAAATAAATAAATAAATGCAGAAGAGAAAAGTGAAGAGGTACCTTGGTTTTACAGAAACCAGTCATGCGTATGAATCCCTTGTAGTTATTAATGGGCATAATTCCAGGAACAATAGGACAAGTAATTCCAATTTGGCGACAGTCGTGGACGAATTTGAGGAAAACATCAGTGTCGTAGAATAACTGAGTGATAATCAAATCGGCACCAGCATCAACCTTTCTCTTCAAATAAGCGAGATCACTTTGATAGGCTTCGGGAGAGGCGAGGCCATTGGTTCCAATGGCGTCCGGGTGTGCCTCTGGTTTCAATGCCAGCCATTTGGTGATTGTTATGTTAAATTTAGACAGAAAATAGCAACAAAGCCGATAAGACAAGAATGAATCCTCCTTGATGGGGAGGATTGCTTATCCTTCTCTTTATCAATACAACGTTTCTATTTAAATTTTGAAAAAAGAGAGTAAAGTATGTATACCTGGATAGCCAGCAACAGTGACGCCAAAGTAGTCACCATATTTGGCTCTGATATGGGTGACCTGTAAGCAAGCAAACAGGCAAAAGATGAGAGAGCGAGAGAGATGTGAGATCTCTTTTCTTTTCGTTTTGGTTTTCCGTTTGGGGAAATGGTGACAAATATTATGAACTCCAAACAAATATGGCATCTATCTATCAGAAATAAACAAAATTGAAATAAGATAAGATAGCATTTATTTAGTGTTTATGAATTACCAGGTCGAGGGCGCAGGCAAAGCCTCCTTGGATCTGAACAAACTTGTCCTGGCCATGGGGCGGGTCGCCCCGGAGAGCAAGAACGTTTTGGAGGCCGTTAGACTTGATGGTTTGGAGGGCGTGGTCGATCTTGTCGACAGGCATGTTGGTACAGGTGAGGTGCATCATGCTCTCCACGCAGATGATGTTCTGCATCTTGTTCGCAATGTCCAGCGTCAGATCCGCCGTCGACCCACCCGCACCCCACGTTATGTCGCAGAACGCCGGGTTGTGGGCCACCATCCTCTCCATCCTCTCCAACAGGTTCTCCACCCCATCCTCCGTCTTTGGCGGGAAGAACTCGAACGAGAACAAAACCTTCTTCTCCTCCAACAATGCCTCCTGGATCTTCTCTATCACCTTCATTCTCTCTCTCTCTCTCTTACCTTTCAGATAGATCTGCAATGACCTGTTTTGCTTTTGTTTGTTTTTGTTTAGAGAAAGAAACCCATCCACCAACCACTTGACTGGAACAAGTTTACAGAGAGAGAGAAACTGAGAGTGAGAGTCACCGACACGGCACACTTTTAGCCTATGGCTCTATATTGACTATAACTAAGAATGATGCATAAAAAAAAATTCATTTAAATTTAGAGCCAGATTAGATTTGCAACAACTCAAAGGACAATGCAATATGGTGGCATTTCCCCTCACCCCCCCTCTCTCTTATTATAGGATAGGAGCCCCCACCAACCCCCATCCCCTTCTTTCTTCTTTACTCCCTTCTCAAACCCCTAGTCTCTAAAAAGGCTGTTAAACCACCCACACCAACAAATAAATAAGAAAAAAAGTCATTTTTGGTCTATGTAGTTTGCCATTTTTATCACTCTGGTCATGTCGTTTCAATTTGGTCAATTTTATACTTTTAATTTCGAGCAATTTAATAACAAAAAATGAGTTTATGTCAAATGTATGTAACTTCTGATAGTTTATTGTCATGTGCCCCTCACTTTGAGGGACAATTTTGTCCAATCTATCGCAGCTTAAGGTCTGCCAAACTACCCTCCCTTCATTCCAAAGAATTTTGTATGCATTGGCGAAAATACCCTCGAAAATGCATCATGTCCATAGCTATGACCAACACTAAAATTTAACGGATTTGACTGTAATCAGAACACTTTGATAGTGTGTTTACTAATCAAGAATTGGAATTCTTATTAGGAATTCATCTTTTTTACCCATTATATCCTTACACAATTTTCAAAATTCCAATTATGTCATATACTTTAACCCAAAAATGATGACATTTTAGTCATTAATACCACTCATATCTCAATTCCATATGGTTTAGTAAACAACTTCAATAGAAATTTGGAATCTAACTCCCCTCAATCCATATGATTTAGCAAACAACTTCATTAAGAATCCGGAATCTAATTCTCCTCAATTCAACTCCTCCTCAATTCAATTCCTCCTAATCCAATTACTGATTAGTAAACATGCCATGAAAGTTTAGGAGGTTGAAAACTAAATTGGAAATTCAGTGGACAATGGATTGGATTAGTCTAGGTAGGTGACTGCTAAGTTTTTCAAAGAATAACAGAGGTTAGAATACTTTTTTTTTCTTCACAAAAAGATAGAATACCATTTTTCGTCACTGAATTTTAAAGTTTTATTTTGGTCAGTGTGCTGCATTTTTCGTGAATTCCCCAGCCACTGCTTTGATACACCCAACACCAGCCCACCTACCACGGCCGCAACCAATCGTAGCCCAGCAACACCTACCCCATCAACACCCCACTATCCACTGTTCTTGTATCGAGGGGTAGTCGGCGAACAACGCCTCAGCGGGCTTGCGTTCGTTGGACAAGTAAAAGGCTGCGCATTCCTTCAAGGCCTTTTTTTTCATAAAAAAAAAATATTTTTAATCATTAATCAAATGAATTTTAAGCTTTTTTAAGTACGTATATATATATTAATTTTATACAAATTTATAAATAAACTCAATCCTAGACATGTATTTATAAAAAAACCCAAACACTATTTAAACATAGAAACACACCAAAAATCAACAATTGTATATTTTTTGGGTGTGTTTATAAATGGGTTTTGAGTGTGTGTAATGATGGGTTTTGGGTGTGTTTATAAAGTATTTTGGGTGTTGGGTTTTTTTTATAATTTCAGCCCCCATTTTAGGTGTTTTAGTGAAACCCCCTTAATTTTAATAAGTTAATAAATGTTTTAATATTTTAATAGGAAACAGGACTGATTGTAAACGTTTGTAAATATATATACAGTGACCAAATAAAACTTCACTGTCAAAACCGACCCACCAACCATTTCACATCCTTGTCTACTTCCTCGGTCCCACCACTCTCACTGGCACTCAGAGGACGGCGAACACGTTTGCTTGGGCTTGGAGTTGGGTTGGTGGCGTGGGACCTACCACACCTACTCCTTCCACTCCTCGCCTCTCGTAAACTTCTCCAATTTCTCGGCGTCCTCTTATATATAAATATAATAGCTTGTTTTTGTTCAGATCTTTTTTCTTTAATCTTTGATGTGTTCCTTGCTGGAGGATTCATCATGTTGTGCAAAGTCGTGGGGTCTCTCGTTCCGCACATCAGAGTTTTCCCCATGATTTTGGCCCAAAACTCAGCTGATCCTTTTCTCCTCTTCAGACACACTTGCATGGTGATAACACTTTTGCCCAATAAAATTACGAAACGAGTGACAACTTTTTCATTATTGTCTTATTGGCCAGAAATAGCAAATTCATGTAAGTGTAAACTGTTCAATAAATACCTCAAAGAGACCGAGCTACCCAAGAACAACTCAGTTGTACATTTCCAGGCCCACGAAAACAAACAAAACGCATTTAATCCGCCAGTGGAGCGGACAGTGTCCCTCCTGAGAGAGAGAGAGAGAGAGAGAGAGAGAGCATGGGATATTTTTTATGTTCAACAGTTAGTGCTGCACTCTGTCTGATCTGATCCAACAGTTGGTGTATCGTACCAAGCACGATGCGAAAATCCAACCAGCCTAAAATTAAATTAATTAATCTACGATCACTTGACACAGTGAGAAACCAAAATTATTTATCAGAACAAAAGAAACTCATTCACTGAATTCTAATGTGACCGCGCAGATCCAAAGAAAGTTAACCAGCGCACAACACCAACCAATTTCAACTGTCTTAAGTTGAAAGTAAACCCTCCTACTGTCGCTATGCGTGTTGTGTTGGTGTGGTTTTCAAAAACTCAGCTTTCGCATTTCCATAGTCTGTCTAGTCAAACACTTCTAACCACAACAATAATCTCATTAAACTAGAACAGACGCATACTTATTATCCAAACAAGAAAAGAAAAAAAAAGGTGCAGAATATATTTAATACAACATCCTCATCAGCCCTATGCAAGGAATATAAAATACTTGCTTTGTGAGATTAACACCTCTGATTCTTTTCTTTTTTTTTCTCTTTAGGGAGGGGAGGGGGCTTTATTATCACTTAGGTTTGGTACATTTGTTACAACATGCATTGCAAAGAATTGATCCTTAGTTTAATGAGACAGCAGATTGAAATCTAAATCAGCGTTCAGTAACTTTAGTTATTGGGTACCTGTGACAGAACAAAGATAAATATCAGGGTGACCAAGTTGTGCATTCAGTTTAAAGCAATTATTAGCCATGCCTCAGAAAGGAATATGGACATACTGTCATACATGTTACGATTGCGGACCACCACACATCATCCTTGCTTCAGCAGAATCCTTCATGATGAAAATAAGCACCGAAACAAAATATATCATCAAACATTGCACATTTAAAACTAGTAGTACCAGCAAATGAATATACAAGACTTTTTTTTATTTTTAACACAAGGCTCAAGTGGATACATGAACACAAATGTCGATAAAGTCATGGACAGAACCACACATAGGCCTGATGTGGCCAGGGCCCCCCAACTCCAGCAACTCCTTTGAAGTTCATATAAAACCTACAAAACTATATGTCTGAAATAAGTGCATGTTGCAAATTCTCCATTAAAATGGAAGTGGAGGTACGGCAACACATCCATGCAAAATCAAAGAAGCAATGCATTTCTTTGAAATTTTGTCCTCCCAATCTCACCACAGAACCCCCAAAACCTCTCCCCTTCCCAGTACCCAAAAAAGAAAAGAAAAAAACCCTTAAAAACTATATTATAGTCAAACAGGCCATACTTAAGTATGTACGTATCAGTATGTATGCTTATACCGAATTAAGTAGTAGATCTAGCCTTGGTACTGGTAGAACCCAGTGGTCATGCCTGACCAAACAAAACAAGAACAGCCCTCTCATATCATAGGTTTTGTTTAATTCTCATGACAACTTTGCATAGAAAGTGCAAAGAGTTAGCAAACACGAGTGTGAGACATCGTATGGATAAAATTTGGGAACAAGGGGCTGAGGATGAGGATATAAGATGCATTAATAAAGGAATAATTTGCACTTGCCTCACAATCATATCACAGTGTTACAAGTTCCCATTCTTCTTTTGACATGTCAAGGAATTCGATGCCACCATCTTCAAACATGATCTGCAACCAAAAAAATAGGTCCATTTTCAATATCTTAATTTATTACAATAATAACATTTTATTGTTCTCTCTCTAAAAAGTAATTCATCTCTTACTGAGTGTTTTTTGGAATATCTATCAAACCGCTTGATAATCCCAAAGGATCTGAAACATTGGAAAATAAAGAATAATATTCAGCATCAGAAGATTTAATTAAATAACATGTAACCTCAGAATTTAGAGCATCAACAGATATGTATAGAAAATGGAAAAAAAAAGAAAAAGAAAAAAAAAGCAGCACAAATCAATTATAAATAACTTCAACAGAGAAGACATCAACCTAAGGCTATTGTTCCAACTGAGAAACTTGTAAAAATCTTTTGACCGTAAACATCACAAGCACACACATAGAGCCATGAAGGCATTGACATTTGACGCTGTCCATTTCACATCTATTATTGCTCCAAAATAAATTTTCAGATCTCTTATGATCCCTAATGTTTTCCTATTGTTCCCATAACAAAGACGTTTTCTCCAATTTCCACCTCTGGTTTGGTTTTCGTAAAATCTTTAAACTTTCTTGAGGTAGTGAAGATCAGCAACCTTGGCAACATCAGAAGGCCACTAAATCAAACCCAGGATTTTAGTATCATGAGGGAGTTAGTTTTCAGAATTCCCCAGATTAGAAGCAGGAGGAACTCACAATATTTTTTCTTCGTATTGCACATAAAATAAAACAACTAACACCAGTGCATAACACATTGAGGAATATGAAGCACTACTCTAAAGTGAAAAGATTCATAGATATTCTGAAATTACCTCTGATTCGTGGGGCGACTTATTCGAATCACTTCACCAATGCAATTGCAAGAACGTGTACCTCTTTGGTTATGGAAAGGTTGTGAATTTCCTAACGGACAAAAGGATGTGAAACAAGAGTTTCAAATAGTATATCATTAATTTTGAAACACTAGTAAAAAGCAATAAATACATAATAGAAAAAAGCTCACCTATATGTAGACCCCCGTTCTGATAAACCTTTTCCAGAAAAGAGTCCCACAATTAGTCCAAGTTTGCAGAACTTCAAATATAATTATTACAAAAGAAAAAAAGGCAGTCATTTGTACAGCTAAAAACTTTACAAAGTTAACAAATACAATAAATCATAGCCAACACAGAAACATTTCAGCAGCAACTCTTGGAGCTGATTTCAGACATCTATCCTCCAGTATATTAGTCATAACCAACTTATATCCAGTATGGGTAGGTGAAATGAGGAGAGTTAGTGTGCTGGGAGGGAAACTAAGCACTAATGAGAATTAAAATGCTAGCAATGCAAAAGTTTTCATTTCTACAATATGCCACTTAATTTGCAAGAGGGAAGGATAAAAATAAAAAATTGTCCAACCTGTTTCAATAAGGACCATCTAGAACTAATTGAATGGTGATTACACCAAAATGGTCTATGACATCAAACTTTTAAATGACCGTTTAAATTAGCAGCAAAACTTTGTAGGGCTTTGGCAGATTGGTGGTGATTTTCAAAACATATGAATTTCTGTTAGAAGTAAACAGAGACACTTGTACATACGTCTTTAGCAGAAAGAATTGCTTTCAATTTGGGAGAGGACACAGCCACCTGACATGCTACTAGTTTCAAAGCAGCAACTGATGACATCTTTGGCTTGGTAGGTCTGACACCAAGTTTTCGCCGACAACCACGTGCACCGCAATGGCAATCTTGATCTGCACCAAATTGAACAAACCTGCTAAATTTATTAGACTGGACTAGAGGAATACAAAGTTTCACATCTAGCAATAGTTTTAGTGCAAAGGAAGTCCATGATGATTCTAGAAAAACATGCATCAATTAGTAAAGCATTAAATTAAAGGGTTATGCATGTGTTCATACTGATAATCATAGGTCAGGTGTTCTCCCTTTTTTACATCACGAGTTGCGAATATACCAATTCTTGTTTCGCCATCGATTATCCTTCAAAGAAAAGAACAAGGAATACATGTAAGATATAGTATTAACTACAAAATGACCTAAAAATCAGTAACAAGGTCAAGTAGAAGACCATTTTTGCATCTCAGTATTAGGACAACAACTATGGTTTATATATCTCGACTTGTTTCCTTTGTATGTGGCATCAATAACCATATCTCGATTGATTTCACATAAGTAAAAGTTTGTTTCTCCACGGTGTTTCATATTCCATAGCCTTTCCTCGCATGTTTTGTCATCAATAACTGTACAAAGAAACAGCATTGATTAATAGGTTTCAAATGATATTTTTGGTAAGACGATAACTTTCAAATATAAAACAAGCTGCATGTACTGATATGTAGAGCAAAAAAGGAATAAGGAAGTCACCTTCTCCCACATATTCTATCACAAATTCTCCTTGCTTAATATCTTCATCCGCCACAATTCCAGAACCACATTTCTCAGTCTACAAGAATACCCTATTCCATTAAGTCACTTAACAATGTCTATAATTCTAATAAGTAAATATAGTTCCTGGAAACAATTTAGTCAATGTACAAGGCATTAGAAGACCAAAGAAAAAATAATAACAATAAATGATTTCCAAACATGCAATGCAAGCAGCCTCCCTTATGTGAAAAATATGTTGCCCTGGAATCTATCTTCTCCGTTCCAAAATTGAGACCCTTGATATTTTTATGGGGAGGCAATCAATTACATAAAACAATGAGTTGAATAGTTATATTGCTAATGTAGCAAAACAGACGCCAACTAAATTGCAGATAATGCAAGTTTAATAAATGTCCACCAACATGGAAGACAAATGTCTGAATAGAGAGTCAGCTATCTCTTCAAAGAACCTTTCAGCCTTCAACTTATGCTATTATATGTGTAAAAACATGAATCCAAAGGTCTGCAAAGTAAATAAATTCATATGATTTGTGGTTCATAAAAAACCTGAATAGCGTCCAAATAGATACTAACAAAAGCTATTACTTCAGACAGAACTTCAACTTATGCTAATTTGTATGTTTAAACTTGAGCATTTCATATCTGCAGTTCCTCCTGCCCTTCTTAAGAAGTTACAAGTCTCCCCCATACCTATTAAATTTTTCTCTATTTCTATTATCTTTTCAGAAAAATAAAAATAAACAAAATCTTAACCACTGCAATTTATATTCCAACATAAGGCGCATTACCTGCACCAGTTTCATCTTCTTCACAGGCCGGTGCTGGAATGGTTTGTTCAGACAGGAACTTCCACATTTACAGACTGAGGAGCAGCTAGACAGAAGCATCCTGCAGATATAACACATTCAACTTATTTATTTTTAGACAAAAAATAAAACCTGAATATACACTATCACGTAGAAAATTAATGGCCCTTTTTCCCTATATCTACATCTGCCTGCATCAATAATATCATAATGCCTAAGGTTGCAAGTCACCGAACATCACGACCATAGGTTTCATCCCCTTAATTAGTTCCACAAGGAAAATGAAAAACAATCAAAAACCCACAGCAAGCATATTCTTCTGTAGTATAAATGCCTGCACTTCTCTATGAAAAGGCATCCCTCAATTGAGTGGAACACTGCCGAATAGCTATGCCCCCTCAATGAACAATGTTTATAAAACAGCACCACTCACTGGACTGGAATCCTGTCGAAGAGGTATGCCTTGCATAACTTACTTACCGCCTGTACCCAAACTTTATCAAGATAAGAGTTCAAAGTAAAAATTTAGGATTTAGGAAAAACCAGACTATGGTTAAATATCCATGTCCAAAAGATCAAAATGATGTACAAGTACAGTACAAGATGATCAAATGCAACCTTTACATTGCTCCTTTATTACACATGAGGTAACACAAACACCATTTACAATGATCGTCCTTACCCACAATGGCAATCTCTACCGCAAACACTAGAAGACCCTTGTGATGGGCTGCAGGAACAGAATATGCCATCATCCTCAAGTCGTCTTTTAATCTTCTTCGTGAGATATATATCTTAAATTTGTCAACGAAACTAAGAGTGGAGAGAGAATTGAAAAACACTTCCAACACATATAAAACCATTGAATAAACAGACAGATGGAACATATCCGAGAAAGGCAGCAAGACAAAAATATTAAACTATGGCAAGTCCAACCTATGAGGAGTGTTTCATGGGGAAAGAAAAGAAGAGAAAACCCGATAGGTATGTAACATGCACTAAAGTATATAAAATTAAAATGATAATTTCCAACATGAAAAGGTTTGTTCAATAAAAATTTAAAATTAGTGAGTTTAAGACTTAAGAGGATACTGCGCTTTATAAAAGTGTAGGGCATCGGTTTCCATTTATTAAACCAATCTGGAAGTTCAAAATCTACAGGATTTCCAATCTGCTTCAGCAACTTGTTGAATACGTTCCCAATGTGACTTCGCTCAGAATTCTGATAAGCAAGAACTTAAGTCATAAAATTTCATAAGCATAGAAAGCAAATATAAGGAAATAAGAACAATATAACAACCATTCCTTGGAAGGAAAAAAAACTCATTGAAAACATCATGAGCAAGCAAAGGCATCCAGGGAAAATTAAAAAACAGAGAGAGAAGAATAAAATTAAACAAAGAAAATCGGAAAATCTGGTGAGCACTGGAAGCCTTACCCCAATACTAAATAAATAAATCAACAAGAAGCAGCCAGAATAAATGTGTTGTTACCCAATAATTTTAAATGGGAAACATAAGTACTTCGCAGCCAGAATCCATAGACCAAAACATTGTAAGAGGAAGGATAGAAGCTTATCATAAACGTTAAACAAACTTGTGAGAAGAAAGCGAATCTCTCAAAACAATGCCACATTATCAGTTTCTCCAAACATGTTTCTCAAGTCCTTTCATTTAAATTATATTAAAGCTAAAATAAAAAGGTATTATGTCAGCAATAATTTTTTCTCGATGGGCATCCTACAACGAGCCGACAGTTAACTTATAGAAATCTGCAATTGCATCAAATATACATTGTATACAGCTGAGTGATATAGTGACCCAATTACGTAAATAAGCATTTGAAACAAAATCAGAGACACATTTCAGAATAAAAAATAAAAACCAAGAAAACAAATTTGACATATCATTCATTCAACTACTAAGGATATATCAAATATTGGGGGATTCAATTGCAGAAAAAACAACCTTGTTCATAGCAGGCATGGCACCAAGAGCCGCCACCGTGTAATAATTCAACAACTCACTATAGAAGGCCAGAGAACTTCCACTCGACCAGGACGCTTGGACCTAGCTAGGTATATCTTCTGCATACACTACACCGGGGGTGATGACTGATGGCCAAGTCCAAGTCCAAAACCAAGTCGTGGAGTAAGAAAAGAAAATAATATTTTCAGTACTGATGTAGAGTAGGGACTGGAGATGATGGGTTTGGGGATGAGGAGAAATGGTGAGATTTTGTTGGCTGCGAGCGAACCTCTACGATCCTTGGAGTCGTGGTTCCCAGTTTGATGCGCGTCTCAATTTGGGTAACAGAAATGGGTTAAGTTGGCATTACATGGATATGGATGGAATTATCAATATCATTTAGGGTAATTTGGGTAACAAAACATTTGGCGATTGTTTTGCAGGCAAATGACGTTGAGAAAGTCTGAGGAAGAGAAAGTGGTGCGTGGGAAAAGAGATAGGTCAATTGGGAAGACATCAATGTCATTGTGGAAAGAGTAATGCTATTTGGACACACTTAGTTGACACCCGCTAATGCGTCAATGTATCATTTGCTGAATAGAAAACGAGGAGAAAAAAAGAGCAAATTATACATTGAGACGTCTGCGGGTGTCACTAAGTGTGTCAATGTTGTGTGTCCAAATAGCATTACTCTTGTGGAAAAAGTTTCTTCCTATAAACAAGGTGGGATGAGATCTTAGGCCCCTATAAAAAAAAAAAAAAAAAAAAAAAAAAAAACACCCCTCACCCTCCGACTGGATGAGGGGAAAATAATTCGGAATTGAGCTAAAAGTTATAAATTTAAAAGGAAAAATTAACAATTCCCTTGCTTGATAACTTTTATTTTTTATTTTAATCGAAGCATGAAATTTCATTACGAAAAACTCACCCAAAAGGATGGAACAAATACAACAATACAAGGAATCACATATCTAATCTGTAATATCATATGAACAGAGCAACAGACTACCTCAGATGATGATATCAACAGATAAACAAAACTAAAAATTAATTAAAAAAAGCTAAAAATTAATTAAAAACAACATTGCAACAATAACCACAAAAACCCAAAAGCAACACTAAACAGCCATCATAAATCAGCAACACTCAAGGCAACCCCAAGGCAAAACAAACAGAACCATCAGGACAAGAAGGAGGTGGTGCAAGCACCTGAGCCGTAGTAGTGCTATGACTCTACACACCTTCCAAGATAAATGCAATAAATCGCTTTGTGGGTTATCTACTACAACAAAGGGAAGCATGAATCGATTGGAGAACAACCAAGGGATAACACTGAGCATAGTGGATTGGTAGAGATTTGATGGAACAATAAGGATAATAGGCAAGAAACCCTAACAGAGAGGCATAAAGTCCCAGCAGAGAAGCATATAGCCCCAGCAAAGGCATAAAACCCTAGCAAAGAGGCAAAAAGCCCAAAAAATGAGCAGAAAAGCTCGAGCAGAACAGCAAAAGAAAATAAAAAACCAAGGAAGAGAGATGGAGGGAGGGGTAGCCCACCCCCCCCCCCCCCCCCCCCCCCCCCCCCTTCTCTTTAAAGGAGGAGATGCTGCTCTGGATCTGGGTTTTGCTAGGTCGCGGCGCTGGAGAGAAAAGCTTCATGAAAGTTCATGTGCATGAATAAATGTTTTTAACTACATAAGCTACAAGCTCATTGCAAATCACTCTGTTTGGATGAAGGAATTGAAAATTTCATAGAATTCTAAAATGACGGAATGTAGATTTTTATCATTTCAAATTTTGGCAATTGAAGATTTCAGTGTTTGGATTTCAGAAAGTTGATATAAAGGCCAGAAAATAGATTGGGAAATAAAAGGAAAGTATTGATATAAGTTTGGGATCTGGTTTTTCAAACCCATCACAAGGGTACCCCCTAATTGCTTAAAACATTGTCATTTATAAATAATGCCCCACATGTTTCGAGTACCCCTGAACCATGTGGTGCAAGGATTGCAACTCGGATAGAAGTGATATCTCCGAGGCCTGTGAGGATTGCGACTCGGATAGAAGTGATATCTTCGAGGCCTGCAAGGATTGCTACTCGGATATAAGTGGTATCTCCGAGGCCTGCGAAGATTGCAACTCGGATATAAGTAATACCTTCGAGACTTGCGAGGATTGCGACTTGGATAGAAGTGGTATCTCCGAGGCTTGCGAGGATTACGGCTCGAGTAGACTTGGTGTTTTCGATGCCTGCGATGATGGAATTGACGGTTCAGGAATAAGGGGTATGCCTAAGTGGAGAGAATTTCAGTTCTGAGATATTCTTAAATTAAAATAAATGGAGTTTAGTGTATGACATATTTATATTCAGTATATGATTGATACGAGTATTTGGAATAACTACATGTGGCTTAATCCCTTGTTAAGGGTACGTAGGCAGCCTAGAGATTATAGGTGCAGCCGCGAGGTCAAGTGGTAAAAATGTAGACCAGTTAAATTATTATGAAATCTAACATTATTCTGGGGATGTTCTAAGAAGTTGAATTGAATGTTGTTAGCAGAATGGTGTGATGCTTGATTTTTGAATATAATTCGATACATGCTGGCAGTTGGATTATATATAAATATATATGCTTGTTTTACATGTAGACATTTTTGGGAAATGTTTAATTTACAGGGGAGACTCTGCCAAATTTTCGGCAGAAGTCGAGCTTGAAATTCTTTGGATTTGGTTTAGAAGGGCAATTTGGTCGTTTGTGCCTGGCACCTGCCAGGTGTCGAACACGCAAAGGGTTCGGCTCGGATTTCAAAGTGAAATTTGGGTATGGTCCTGTCACCTACACTTCAAAATGAGTCAATATGTCCCATGTGCTTTATTTTTGTGTCCCCCGTTGCCCCCTTTCGTCAGTTTGGTCAGTAAAACTGTTAACTTGCTTACGTGACATGAGTATTTTAGATATTTTAGTTATTAAAAATTTCAAAAATTAAATTAAATTTTTTAAAATTCTTTATAAAAAAAAAAGTTCTTTAAAATAAATAAATAAATCCCCTAGCACCCGAATAGCCCTACCACCATAACAACCCAAACCTTCCCCACCGCTACCCGCTGCCCCAAACCTATGGCCATCACTCCACCATTTTTTAAATATGATATCCCCACCGAGGTGATGCACCCACCCCAAAACCATTAATAATAATAAATCCCAACCCACCTAGCCACTTTCAACCCCTAACCATACTCACCCAACCTCACAAATCCAATCTGCCCCCAGCCGTAGCCATCCCAACAAATTATCCGAACGCCAAAACCCCAAGGCGCAGGAACTTCTCTTATCTTCTCCAACTGGGTTTGATTTGATTTCATGCTTGTCATTTTCACATATTCTTTGTGCAGCCGTAAGGGTTATGTGATTGGAGTTTATAAACAGTAAACTCAAATTGAAGAACTCTATTTTGTTTTTTACTTTTTTACCATGGCGGAGGAGAAATCAGGGTGGCAAGATAGGGAGGGAATGGTAAGCATGGGTTGGGGGTGGTTGTTGGCGATGAGGAAGGGTTGGGTTGTGGTGGTAAAGGGCTATTCGGGTGCTGGGGGATTTATTTTTTCCCACTTTTCTAATTTATTTTATTATTAAAATGTTTCTAAAATGTTTAAAAATGTTGAGAATTTTTAATAGTTAAAATTACTAAAATACCCATGCCACGTCAACAAGTTAATGATTTTACTAACCAAACTAACAGAATGAGGTAACGGGGGGACGCAAAAATAAAGCCCAAGGGGCATATTGACTTAGTTTGAAGTAGATGGGGCAAAGTGAGATTTTTGATGAAGCACATGGGGCATATCAATAATTAAGCCTTGAATAAATTCCGCACTTAGTTGCCAACCAAGGGAATTGTCAATTTCTCCTCTTAAATTCCCAACTTTTTGCTAAATTATGAGTTATTTTCCATCATCCAACGGAGGGTTTAGTTTTTTTTTTTTTTTTTTTTTTTTTTTTTTTTTTTTTTTGGTGGGGCTTTCTCATTCATCAATTTTACATCACCACATATACATTCTAACTTCTTGTAAGTGGGTTCTGGTGTGAAGTTTGAACGTCTTGATTAGGGGTGCAAGTTGCATTGGAAAAATTTGATTCTTGCTAGTTCGGATTTGAAAATGTCCAATTTTGGCATGTCCAAATCAAATATGACATTTGAAAGTTATGAAATATGAAATATTTTGGAATTTAAAGCTTAGACTACAATAATGGCTAATTTCATGTCGATGATCAGTGTCAGTCTTGAGGGTGGGTAAGGAGGGCGACGGTCATGGGCCTCGCATTTGTAGGGCCCCAAATATATATGTACCAAATTGAAGAATATGATGATTAGAAAGGAGAATAATTTCAATAGTTTGGCATTTAGAAGCTCCAAATGTAATTACAAGTGTTTCTGAAGAGCTCAAATGAAAATTTATGAAAATTATGTAATATACGAACATCAATTGCATGTATTTAAGTATTTAATTGCTAAAAGTAGCAATCAATGAGAGAAAGCCAATAGGACTAGAAATTCTTTTATTTATCCAAAATTTTTTGTTAGTAGATTATTTAGCAAGGAATATATGAAAGAGAGCAAATTATTTGTATCCTCATTTTTATTAGTATTTAAATTATTGTTTATTTCTAGATTGGGGCAACGATTATATGGCCAATTATGGAGCCATGTTTGGTTAACCAAATTGTATTTAATTGCATTTTTTTCCTTGTTAGTTTATTATATTCAAGAGAATGAAAGAAAAGGGGCCTCATTTTCATTTCTAGCCTAGAATCACCTAAAAGTCAGGGCCAACCCTAGATATGATGTAATGGCCAAATAGACGTTATTTCACCAACATCTAGGTATTATATATCTTAATTTAAAAAAAAAGAAAAAGTACTATTATATATAATAGGTTTTTGAACTTTTGACACAAATTTTCAATTTTGAGCGGATTTCAACCTTTAAATGGTTGGCCCAATTTAAAGTTTTGAACAAATTTATGAAATTTTCGAACAAAATTCCGAAATATTCTAAAATTTTCAAGTTTTATGAATTAAAATGGATGTTGAAATTTCAAAATTGTTTGGAATAAAATTGGACTTTTTTTTCTCAAACATTATTTTTGGATTGAAATTGGAACCCATAATTCCGATCCAATTCACCCAGAAATAGGCCAAGATACCAAAAAAAACAATAAAATTGAGAAAAATTAATTTTTGTTGTAAAACGACAAAGGAAAAACTGTTAAATATGATTTTAGCTTGCTTTTATATATATATATATATATATATATATTGAGGGACACCTTTTAGGGTACTCTACAATTTTTTTTTCCAATGATCCAAACCATTGATTTTTTAGGTCTTCATTCATAGATCATCTTTACAAAAAATTAGACAAATCGGAAACCGTTTCGACATTCAATTGTGTTTTACAAAATCAATGAACACGGTGCTTCAAGAAAGTACTAAAATTTCAATAACTCAATTGAATGGTCAAATGATATTAGATTCAAGTGATTTTTTGTAGAAATGATCTTTGAATGTGTCTCTACAAAATTGACGTTTGGATTAGTGAAATACAATCCGGAATGGGCTATACAAGGGGTGTCCCTCAAATAAGCTTATTTGAGGGATCTCTTAATGGAAACTCTCTGTATATATATATATATATATATATTTATTTATTTATTTAAAACAAAATGGTTTTTAGACGGGGCTTAACGCGTTCCTTCCTATCTCACTCCAACACCTGACATCCGTCCTCCAAATAATTTCTCCACCCCCAACCCAATGGCCCCTTATTAGTGTCCGACTATCTGAGATTCTTGAAATAATATGTGATTTGGTCTCTCCCACCTTTCCTCAATTTCGATCTCTTTCCAGTTTCTTCCGATTTATTGGCTTTCCAACCTCTCTTTATATCCATGGAAAATCATAACGCCAAATTGAGCTCTGGCGGTGGACTCAAACCCAACAACAATAACAGCATCAACGAACAAGAACAAAACCCCAATTTGAATCAATGCGAAGAACAAGAACAAGAAGTAACTACTGAGTCCTCGCAATTGGTGGACCCTCCCTCACCTCCTGTTCCGCAGTCTTCAAGAACTCCCTTTACTAATCTCAGTCAGGTCGATGCTGACCTAGCCCTTGCTCGAACCCTCCAAGAACAGGTCCTCAAACTCCGTCTTTGCCGTTCAATTTCGTTTCTTTATCTCTTCCGTAATGTGTCTCTTAATTTTTCTTTCGATATTGCTTTGTTTGTTGAATATATGAGCTAGTCTGAAAATTGAAACATGATAGAATCTGAATTCTTTGTTCTGTTTTTTTTACCTTTTTGTTTTTCATCTTTTATGGGCTTGAGCAAAGGATTCATATTCCACTTATTTGTGATGGTTTCCTTAGCAACCGAAGTTGGACCAAAGAATTTCATCTCGCGCTAGTTGTTTGATAGCTTTCTTTTATTTCTCTTTAAATCCTCTTTTCGTTCCCTCAGCGACCTATGGAATGTTTCAGTTAAATTTCATTATAAATTCTGATCTTGTTATGTGATATTCAGAAGTTAAATACAGCCTAAGATATAATTTCCAGTTTTTGTATCATCCTTGTCTTCTCACGTTTTGCAGCTACCATTGGAGGGCTGTGGTTTCATCTTATGATGGTGCCATTGTTTAAATTTTAGACTGTGCTTGGTATGTGTACTGTTATAGCCACAGTTCTGCACCTTCTTATCAAATAACTGAGGTCTGCCCAATAGAATATTACATACTTTTCTAGGCAGTTCATTATGTTTTACAGTGTCAATTAATTCTTTAATATAGTAGGCCACCAACAACGCTCAATTTCCTAAAGCTCGCAGGCTAGTTTTTTACTCCATCACCCACTTCGGGTCCTGTTATCCCAAATTCTCGACCCACATCACCATGAACCCCAAGTACCACCTATGGATAGCTCTCTACTGAAAGAGTGGTGTCCAGGCTTGGAAAACAGATGGCAGATCGTCTTAATGGCCCTTGCCATCGGTTACCATGGAGGCTTTGATGTTGGTAACGTCATGGGGGGGCAGTGAGAAGCAAAGGGGTTGATCGGGGAGTGAGAGAGGATGACGGTGTATGATGATGAAAAGATAGGTGGGATTAGAGAAGAGGGTTGGGTAAAGGAAAATATAGATGGGTTTGTGGTGGTTAGTGACACAGCTACAGAATTTCAGCTTCACTTTTGATCTCTTTGAAGTTAAGATCCACTTCTTTCACGTCTGGTTTCACCATAGTCCATGTGAAACCCTCCTGTTGTTTTTTTGGTCTGGTAAAGTTAAAGTTCTTTTTCTCTTGGGGAAATTGGGAATCAAGTGGTTCCAAATGAAACCCTCTTGTTGATTTCCTTTCCTTTTCATTGAATAGTTTTATTACTATTTTCTCTGTGTGAGTTCAATTGAAAAGTTTCATTATGTCTGCCCTTTCCTCCCTACTCGATCCCATCAAAGGCACACACATTTCCTCTTGCACAGACTCAAATGGCTTCGCCTTTAGCAATACTTGATAATCCAGTGGTGCTATCAGTAGATTTTACTTTCCTTTTAGACTAGTGCCCAAAATCTTGTGTTCATGACACTGTATTTTGAGGACCATGATTTTCTTGGGGTTGGACTAGTAGTTGGATTTTAGATAGACATGGTGATGTGGTGAGGTTGTCTGTGGACAGATAAGATGGTGTGCTCCGGTGGTGGAGGCCCGGAGTTGTTGACAGGAGGTGGAAAAGCTAAAGAAGAGTTCGAAGAACTCCTGATACGGCAACTACCGGAGAGGCAAGTTAGTCGGTTGGTTGAATTGATTCTCTTGAGGGTGTGGTCCCCCAAGAAAGAATGTGGACATTTGTCTCTAACTAGAAAAGTAAATGCTTGAGCTTGAGTCTAAGGCCCACCATTCCTTTCAAACTATTGAACAAGGCACTACATGGGGGCTCTGAATGTTTTAGGGAGTTAAAAATGCTACTAAGGGTGGTTTTGGAATTTTAACATAAAACTGAAGGATGGAGTGCAGAAGCACAAAGGGGAGTGCTAAAATCGCTTCCCTTGATCATTACATTGAACTGCATCTTTCAAAATGATGTTCCTCTGCCAATTTTCCTCTTTGTATTCCTTTTATAAGCGAGAAGAGGACGGAAGGCCTTACGTGTTGTTGCTCATCACTATTTTGTATTCCCTTTTTCCGCCTTAGATACTCTAGGTTCTTGCCTAGGGACTGAAGATGAATAATCCATGTTTACATTTTTGCCTCATCCTATCATGTTTTTTCTAATCATAAAAGCCAATTAATTTTTATTTTATTTTTAAGGAACTGGCCTTTTTTAACCACTCATTGATTGCCTTATTATCGCTTTGGCAATCTTGAGTCAAAGCTTCAACTCTCAATGATAGTTTTGCATTTGTAACGATTATAATTTGTTTATACCATGACCGACCAAGCAACTAGAGGCAATGTCAAACGTCCTACATCGGAATATTACAAGAAGTGAAGATTTCCCCTCACCTATATAAGGAGACCACTCTCCACTTAGAAGGGGTCCCTAGGTCCTTGCTCTCTCTCTCTTTTCCCCTTTATCTTTGGGCCATACTCCTTGTACAATGTAAACAACCATTATTGTAATGAGAATATTAGGGTGAACCACGTACATCTGTCTTCTGCATGCTTGCTTACTTTCCTTATGTCATTTGTGATTGCCTGCCGAAGGCTTACATGAACTCGCCGATGACACTTGCCTTCCGAAGGCACATACCCCTGCTTCGCCTTCACACATCATCCATCACACCCCACACTTCTAAGTTGGGTCCAACATTTTTGGGCATCAACATAATTGAATATATAAAAAGAATTTGGAAGGAAAGCGAGGAGGATATGTTGTTCAGATACCAATATTGATGCAAGACACACAAGGTGGGTGTTGCTTTGGGACGTGGTGGGCTTTAGATGGTAGAAATTTTTGTGATGAAAAGAGGATATATGATGGTTGCTGTAGATTTAGGGCAAGTAGAGGGATAGAGAACAACGTACAAAGAGAAAGAGAGGCAATACCATTGGCACCAAGCCTACAACAAAACCTAATTGTCATTTATTCAAATTTCCTTTTGGCTTACAAGGAATAGCCTTGTTTATAGGCTTCAAATAGAACATTTAATGACTTAGATATTTTTTAGCAAAACACTCATTAATTCTGTAAAAGACTTAATTAAATAGTACATATAACTAAAAAGACATTGTATTTTGCTAGGAGCCAAATAAATACTCATAATAAAGCTTAATATTAACTCTTAGATTGGTGCTTGACCTATTTGTTTATTTTTCTATTGACTGACCCTTAAACTACCATTGACATTTCATTTTAAACCAAACAGATCTCATTGTTAGATTTGGGCCAGTGGGCTCAGTCTTGGGCTTCCAAAGAAGGATATTTCTTTTCTAACCAAGCTATAGCCTCTGCTTCAGTCAATCTTAATGTGAATGCTGTTCACTGTCAATCTTTATTTATAAGTGGTATAGGTTGTTTGTGGAGAGGTTTTGTTTGATCTTGTTTTGCATGTGATTTAATTGGATATTGAGTAGGAAAGGGCATACATGATGCTACGAATGAACAATGAAGATAGTGATTATGGAAGTTGGGAAGCTGGAAGTTATGTGCATGAGGATGAGGATGATTTTAATGATTTTCATGACGATACTGATGATAACGATGATGAGGAGCAATATGATGGAACTGAGGTTGACAATGATGAAGATGCGTTTGATGTGCATGCTCATGATGATGCTGGAGAGGATGATAACCCCAGAGTTGAATATGACCCGGCTGTTTTTTCAAGTGATGAGGCCTATGCAAGAGCCCTGCAGGATGCTGAAGATAGAGAGATGGCTGCTAGACTGATGGCTCTTGCTGGGATTAATGACCGTGAGTGCTTGTGACTGTATTAGAATTGTAATACTCTTTTTATATTATCGCTTTTGAAGTCCTTAAAATTATGTAATACTTTTGTTTCGGGTATATATCTTGTTGTGTTTGCAGGCGAAGTTGAGCACACAGAGGAACATGGAGGTAACTCTCAGGTATTAATTTGTAGCTTGTATGCTGAGATTAGTTTGATGATTGAGACTCTTCTAGAAGATAGTAGCAGTTCTCTGTTTTGTCTATGATCAAGATGTTTCTCATCCACTGTTGGTTTGTAGGATACATGGGAGGAGGTTGACCCAGATGAACTTTCATATGAGGTGAGGCGGCTTTAAATTCTAATGCCTTAGGTAGTGCATTTTCTTTTTGGCTTGTTCTGTGACCTTTATATAACTTTATCAGGAGTTAATTGCATTGGGTGAAGTTGTTGGAACTGAGAGCAGAGGGCTTTCGGCTGATACCATTGCCTCATTGCCTTCAGTGAGCTACAAGACAGGAAGTGGTCAGAATGGAAGCAATGAGTCGTAAGCACATATTCCTTAGTTTTATGTGCTTTCTAGAAGTTGTGCATGCATGTTTTCTTTTCTTCAAATTTTGTTACTTCTGTTTCAGGTGTGTTATTTGTCGGTTGGATTATGAGGCTGGTGAGAACTTGACAATACTATCTTGCAAACATTCCTATCATTCTGAGTGCATAAATAATTGGTTGACAATAAACAAGGTATGGTTTTGAAATTATATATTTTCTATTCACTGCCAATTTCAAACATTCCTATAATTCTTAGTGTAAGCTGTTCATGTTGTTTATAATTTTCCTTTTTACTTTCCAAAAGAAGTTATTATTTTCTTAATCCTATTCTCTCCCAAATATACTTGGAGGCTTTTTTGTTTCCTTCCATTTTTTAGAATATCAAACATGGTACCTTCCTTCTGTTACCAAGTTCTCACACTTGTAGATTTCCTTGCTCATTTTTTTGTGAATTGCTACCCCTTCAATCTGTAGTATGGTTGATGACTCTTATTCATTTTGTTTGGGTCTATTTGACCTGTCCATGTTTTACAAAAAAGTGCTTCTCTTTTTCCCACTGATTATCTTTCTATGTCTGTGTATGTCTTAATCAAAACTTTACACATTTATGTATTTGTGTTGGCACATATGTATGGTTTCGGCCCCATGTAATGTTCCTTGCTGGGTGAGATCAATTGGAAATTACATCTCTCAAGTTTAGATGGACCAAATATGTATTTTAACTATTGCCTAGTTTTTCCTGTGTGTCAAAGTCACTTAATAAAAATGAAAATTATTCTACAAAATCACTGTCAAATAAAAGCTATGCATGGATGCGTATCTTTGGATCTGAAATTCTATGACAGTTGGTAACAGTTGTAGCTATTTGTTTCAAATCCTTTGTGGCTGGTTTTAACATATAAGTGTTGTTTGAAGTCTCCCAAGTGTAGAATTTGGGGCCTTAAATTCAGTTTATGTTTGGATTGGATTTGAAATCTGATCCTTCAGTCAAATATTCTGAATCATGATATTGAAGCACCCCTCTTGATCTATTTCCAGCCAAGCTGATGGAGTTTCCTTCCACCTTTATATTTGTATTAGGGTCAAAGTATATAACTCCTCCTGTCCCCTCACACACCAACCCCCGCTGCCCCCCTCCCACCACTGCCCAACTGCCATCACCCAAACGCCCAACCACAACCAAGCACCGAGCCCCACGCACACTTCCATCTGCATCTCCATTACCAATTCAACAAAACCAAAAATCAAATCCATCAGAACCCCCCCTTCTTGGTCTGGCATCAGAAACCCATTAAAACTATGTGATGCAGGACGCGTAGGGCCTAAATTTATTAGTTTCCTAATGTATTTGTTAGTTTCCTAGATACTCTAGTTTTCCAAATTCTAGTAGGATTTCTACTTTTCCAGATTTCCAGATTTCTAGTTTTAAGTTTCCTATTTTATTTGGGTTATGATTTCTGTTTAAGCAAGGGATTTTTATCCTATTATGTCTAGGTTTTAGTTTGCTATAAATACCCCCATGTAGTTCTTTAAAATTCATATTTGGATATTGAGTAAACCGTCTCTTAAAACTATGTGATTTCTGTCCTTCTCAATTCTCTGATTTCGGTCCTTTCTTTCGTCCCTTCTTCGATCTATATTTTCGTCTCCTCGACCTCCGATATTCTTCTTGTTCTACTGTTCTACCATTTCTTTCGTCTTTTCGATCTATATTTTCGTCTCCTCAATCTCTTATATTCTTCTATGTTCTATTGTTTGAATGCTTAATCTAATACCTACGGGCTGTACTACATCACTATGCCATTAAGATGATTTGAAAATCCCAAAAAATAAAATCCAAACGAAAAACTTAAGGAAAAAAGGCCAAAAGGGTATGGAAGCATCCCAATCATGGGGCCTCGTTTTTCTTCTATGAGTTTGCAAACAACCTAAAGAAGACTTATGAAAGGGAAAGGATCAAAAGAAGAGAAAATAAAAGCTGAGTTATAGACCTGATAATGAATCAGCAAAAGAAAACGAGAAGAAAGGAAAATGGAAGCAGTGATGGGATTGACGAGGATAATGCCTCCCAGGCAAACCGAGACAGCTCAAATACACTGAGATGGGTCTCAGCACTGCTCTCCCTTTAATGGCCAAAATGACAGGGGGCTTAATAGATGTAGCTTGTAATATATGTTGGGATGCATATCTAAATGAGCCAATTTGAAATAGGCCCTCACAGGGTTGTGGAATTTGTTTATACTTAAGTTATGCTTTTAATATGTTCTCCCTCTTGCTCCAAAAACACTACTTAGTATTGCAGTCAGAAAGTTTTCGACTACAGTTTAGGAATCTTCAGCTCTCCTTCCTCTCCCCATTAAAGAAAAAAGTTAGGCAAAGGGGCTGTCAAAAAGTAAACATGCTTCAACATGTTCTTCACAATGTTTGATTTTCTGTGAGCCAAGGCTGGAGAAAATATGGTAGCAGTCTGCATGAACAGCCAATTTTATTTATTGTTTTCTGATATGTAAGACTTAGTTGGGACAATTTATATGGTTTCCGGTGCTTGAAATCCATCCTGTTTGTCAGGTTATTTTTCACATACTCTGGCATTAAAGCTTAAACCAGTTACAATGTTTGGTTATAGTTAAAATTGCCATAGTTGTAGTTGAAATTTGCGATAGTTGAGAATTGGAATATGAACAGTTTTTCCATTCCAAATTGATTTTGTTTTAGTTGAGGCAGTGGTGATTTCTTATTATTGTGGTGTTGAAATTGTGGTTTCATGTGTGCTTGTGGAATAGAGGCACTTTTCATTTTGGAGAAGTATTGTATGTTACTGATTTAGCCTGAAAGCTACTACATTATGCCTTGCACTGTTACTGCAGGTCTGCCCTGTTTGCAGTGCTGAAGTCTCCACCTCGGGAAACAGCTAGCAGAATCTGTGGACCATCTTTTCTGGAAAATCAAAAGACTATTTGTACAAGTTGTTGCACAAGAAGGGCTAGAGCCCTTGTTGGTTATTCATATTGCGTCTCTTTCACTTGCGAAAACTGTACTATCCGACCATTCAAATTAGATTTACAATGCTTGTATTATATGACCTTTCTGGTTATTCAATTGAGAAACACGGTGGCAGGTTTTGCTTAATTGTAAGTTTTCTGGATTACCCTAATGATACAAAAGGCTGGTAAATTAAGTTTCTCCGTATTTTTTCTTTTCACAGAACTTTGCAGGAACTTGAGTAAATTTATTATGCAGACGACTAGGTTATAGCATGCCAAGCCAACCCCTCAGCAGCTCATAATTATGTATGGTCAGTTGCTAATACAGAAGACGCTTGTGTGTCAGTCTTCCAAGGAAGATGAAAAATTACTTATTATATATAGCAATATATAACGTATGTGTAAAGTAAGACGCAAAATATGGGTCAAATGGATAAAATGGGTCACTTTGACTTTTAGGGTGCAATGTGAGATTTGATCATGCTTTTAGAGGGCACTGTAGCAATTAAGTCTTATTATAATTTACTATTTATGTGACCATGGGAAATGAAATAAAATGATATATGTCGGTTATTTTCCTAGCATTACCAAACATGAGAAATGAATATTCCGTTTCCCATCTTTTGAAAAATGACACGGGAAGTGATTTTCCCTCAAATCTGTTCCGTGAACCAAACGGGGTCATAGGGTTTGCTTTGTTTGCCCGCAGGTGTTAAAAAAGACTATGGGATTGTTTTTGGTAGTTGATACTTTCTAACGATAGATACAAGTAAATTAGCTTGTTTTCTAATTTTACTCATTAGAAAATAAAGGTAATGATATTGTCAAATTCATTGTAACACATGTTAGAAATTTTTAAATATAATTTATAGTAAAACATGTTTTGTTTTAACAAGTTTTCTAATATGTTACCTAAATGTTGGTAGGTTCAGTTAGACAAGGTACTATGGCTGCCTCCTCACAGCCGAGTTCAATTCTTTGTTCCTCGATTAGCTTATTTAAGTTACCGGATTTATAGCTTCCCTCATTTCTGATAAGTAAATATGCCATAAGATAAGAGAGAAGTGAAGAATGTGTAAAATAAAAAATCATTTTGACATTGCTGTTAGATATCCCCCTCCCTCTTTGCAATTTTGTTGTTGTCGAAATCTCCCTCTTGCCTTATCCATTCTTTCTTTCTCGTTTCTCCCATGCATTTAGCAAAAAACCACACAAAAATATTAGGTGGCATTGTAGCATCAGAATATTGTGTCGCGTATGTTGAGCCGTTGAGGGTAGTTGAGCGTAGTTGAGCGTCGCTAAGGCACAACAGCGCACTCTAATTTCTCGACATTACAAGGCAACTGGCATAATAGTCGATTTAGAAATGGCATTGCCAAGAATCTCAAAAACTCATCCTAATCTCTGGAAATCAACGAAGCCGATCGACCCAAATGCGCTTCTTTCACTAGTCTTCACCAAGAACCTTACAGCCTCGTCAAATACACCAAGACCCATTTGCACCAGAACCCATACTGGCCCTTCTCTTCCTTCACACCTCACCGGCGTCATCAATGGTTTCATTTCCATCTTCACCAAGCAACCCTTTTCCCCAGATAACCCAGAGTTGAAGAACCTTGCTTCAAGACTCACCACCAAAGTAGTAGAAAGTGTGCTAGATGGCCTGAAGAGTTGGAAAATAGCTCACGTGTTCTTTACCTGGGCACCAACCCAATCTGGGTACAAGCACAATTGCTATACTTACAATGCCATGGCCTCTCATCTATCACGCGCTCGACAAAATGTTCCATTGAGAGCCATGGCTATGGAAATTGTGAATTCGAATTGTTCTCTGACTCCTGGAGCTTTGGGTTTCTTTATAAGATGTTTAGGTAGCGTAGAGTTGGTTCAAGAAGCTAACTTTTTGTTTGATCAAGTTAAAGTGAAGGGTCTTTGTGTTCCAAATAGTTATAGCTATAATTGTTTGTTGGAGGCTATATCTAAATCTAAGTCAAGTTCAATTGAATTGCTTGAAATGAGATTGCAAGAAATGCGAGATTCTGGGTGGGAATTCAGTAAGTACACGCTGACTCCAGCGTTGCAGGTTTATTGCAATACAGGGAAGTTTGAAAAGGCTTTAAATGTTTTCAATGAAATGTATGAGAAGGGGTGGGTTGATGCCCATGTCATGTCTATCTTGGTGTTGTCCTTTAGCAAGTGGGGTGAGGTGGATAAAGCTTTTGATTTGATTGCAAGAATGGAAGATCGCAATATTGGATTGAATGAGAAGACATTTCATGTTTTGATTCATGGGTTTGTGAGGCAGTCCAGAGTGGATAAGGCCCTCCAGTTGTTTGATAAAATGCGGAAGTCAGGTTTCACAGTTGATATTTCTCTTTACGATGTACTGATTGGAGGACTCATTAAGAACAAGGAGCTTGAAAAAGCCTTGTCTATGTATTCGGAAATGAAGGAGTCGGGAATCCATTCTGATGTTGGGATACTTACAAAGCTCATACCATTTTTTTCTGATGAAGGGGAAACAATCCGTGTACTTGAGGAAGTCCAGGAAGATTTAGATGAAGAGGATATGCGTTTGCTTTACACTTCTGTGTTGAATGGTCTTGTTGATAACGGCTCCATTGACAAAGCTCATCGACTTCTTCAGGCAATGATGGAAAATGAATCTGATGCTGATATTGAGGCAGATAAGCTCCTTGTAGTTAAGAAAAGGGTTCATCCTGTCACAACTAATTTTCAAATTGTCATTGATGGTCTGCTGAAGTTTGGTAAGTTGGAGAAGGCCTTAAGCCTTTTCAAAGAAATGATTCAGATTGGCTGTAAACCAAATGTGTCAATATATAACAATTTGATTGATGCACTGTGCAATTCAAATAGATTGGGGGAAAGTTATAAGCTTTTGAGAGAGATGGAGCAAG